CCCCCTGTTTTTAACTGTTTTTAGCATCACTGTATCCATATAATGAAATTTCATCAAATTAGTTATAGTATGGTTGTTAGACAATACGGTTAATTTTGTCTTCCTTATGACATCACCTCAATAATGTATTTTTCTAAATTTTTAATATTAATTAATTACAAAGTTTTATATGTAACTAATTTTGCATAATTCATTGTTATTTTATTTAGGTCATAGTTTATCCAACAAAGAATACTGTTAAAAATACTGGTGCAAGTATTATAATTATCGGTAGTTGGTTATTTTCATTAATAATGGCTAGTCCAATGTTTATTTTTACATCTGTTAGTGTGGATACTATCCGACCAAATGGACATATATGCAGTGCTAGTACAATACAAAGTGAATGGCTTCGTCAAAGTAAATACATTTATGGTATTATTACAATTGTTTTCCAGTATTGTTTACCATTAACAATGGTCAGTTATGCATATATACGTATTTGTTTAAGAATACGTCAACGACAGTTCAATGTAATACGTAAACCTATTCCAACTGCGATAACTTCTGAATTAATATCAGGAAATCAATTAGATTTCGTTGAAATTGAGCCAGATTGTAATTGCAGAGATGATAAATTGAAACAAGACAGTCGATTAACATTAACTTTACCAATTAACAATATACCTGATTCTTCTACAGGTAGCTGTAAAAATCGTGGTCTTCATCCTGTGCGTTGTTATAAACTAGCTGTATCACCTACATCAACATCATCGTGTGAAAACAATTTTAAACAGAAGATAGAAAATTCCAGATTTAAGCTAATTCAACGACGCCAGACTCGAACAAATACATTACTTGCATCAATTACACTATTATTTGTATTAGCTTGGTTACCTTTACATATTTTTAATGCTGTTATGGATCAACGTGAATCAAGAATACTTAAAGAACCATTCGATCTTACCACATTGCCACAGCCAGATATACTAAATAAAAATAATACAGAGAATTCTCTTTTTGATGAAACATATAAACTTTTAAATTCAAAAATGAATACATTCACATTATTACCAGAGCATAATCATACAGAAACAATTATAAAAGAATATGGTATTGGTAGGAAAATTACACTTATACATTCTTTTTGTTTATTATGTGTTCTTGTATCAGCTTGTGCAAATCCTGTTCTCTATGGTTGGTTAAATGAAAATTTTCACAGAGAATTTATATTAATGTTTCCAATGTTATTTCGTTCAAAAAAACAAGTTTCATCAGTCACAATAGGTGTTGACCATAATTATGTTAGTGTTATACAATGAACAGTTGTAATTATTATAAGTATCATTTACATAAACATTTTCAAGTATATATTCATTATTTAATGTATTATATTATCTTAAATGAGCTGTGAATGAAGCACAATGTATTTTATCAATTCATGTTTCTTCCATTCATACTGGTAAATTTGACCTATTAGGCATTCACTGTTGATTGACAAGAAGTGTACATAGTCTTCTTTTCTTTTTTTGTTGTTGAATTTGATGTACAATATTTTGACGGTAATCGTTGAAGATCTCTAAAGAAATTTGATCACTATCAGCAAATTTTTTTCAAAAAAAATCTATAATTTCCTGTGACTTATAAAGATTTGAATTTTGTTAACAAGAGAAGTAAATACCATCATTGTATATTATAATAGAAATATGTGGTATGACACTATAATAATATTCATATTTCTGGTTCCTTCTTATTTGTTTTTGTTTTTACTTTCGTCAACTAAATAAAAAGTAATTTGAGCTAGATTAATCGATTGAGACAGTTATGTTTTCTAGTTTGAGTTATTATCCAGTTCACAGTAATATAAGTTTGATACGATGATGAATTAAATATAATTCATTACTGGTATCAGCGTAAATAATCAAACTAACGGTTTTTTGTGTTCAAGGAATAGAATGTCGACGAAGTTTGATAGCTGTACATTTACTAATTATTCTAATTTAGAAAAATGTTTCAAAAATATTTCTTATTTGGACATCAGGAAATTTGATAACTATGTCTCATACTCCATATAATAATGATTTTTCTATAATGTAACATATAGGAATTTATCTGACTATTATTAGAAATGGAGATCTTTTGGTAATTATCTTTATTCCGTCAACAAAAGTGAAGATTAGAAATGACTAAAACTCATTAGAGAAGCTGACAGCATAAAAATGTGGAATATTTCAGGTCAAAGAGATAGGCAGTGAATTGCTCAACGTCTAAAAATATGATAAGCGTAGATTTGAAGATTATTAGAATGCTTCTTATCTTTTTTTATTTGCTCATCCCAGTTTGAATACTAAATGATATTATTTGAATGAAATATCAGCTAAGAGCAACCACTGAAATGACGTCTTAGTATTAACTGAAATACCAAAAGTTTACGCGGGAAAGTATAGGAACGACGATGGCCGTATTATATCTTCAAGAAAAATAGTTTCTCTCTATATTTGATCTTACTTAGTCGAATTACTATGTATAGGAAGAGTCGGATTCTCGGAAGCGGTTGCTGATTATTTATCTATTGATATGACCTTTCTCTTTACCGATGATTCATTCACTATGAGGTAGGGACAATAGATATGTTGATGTCTATTGGTTTGTGGAAGAAGCTTGTAGGTATCTAAGATTCATAACGATAAGAACAATTCCCCTCAAAGTATTTCTACAGGTTCAAACTACCTCTAATCCCCTCTAAAACAATAGATGAATCTCAGCTACTTTTCTTAGTATAGTGAATTAGTGTATAATGTACACCTTGATTGATAAATCATGGTAATATGATTAAATTTATTCCCTTTTTGTTCAATATGTTGTTTTGTAATTCTACGTGTTCACAACCATAACACGTAGATCCTACATGAATTTATAAAACATTTTTTATCATTCACTAGGCTTTAGACATAGTTTTTTATTAATAAAATGTAGCGTTTAATCTTCATAAATATTCGCCGCAAATATATACTTCATTAAAAACAAACTTATATTGTAAATCCAAATAACTAAGGGATCGTTTAGTCAATTAATTTGAACTACTAAAAGCCTATTTATTCTGTTTGACTAAACAGATGTATATACTGAATCGAATTTTTATTTCTATTCAGCATACACATTTTTCTGTTTATTCTTTTTATAGTTTTATACATTTTTTAGTCAGAATCGTTTAGATAAACAACGTATCGATTCAGTCACTTCAATCATGTCTGATTTTTTATCATATCAAATATTGTAATCTTACTTATCATAGAAATTATTTTAACAGATGATAACTGATATGAAATGTCCGATTTAGTCTTAATAATATCAAAGATCGACGAAGTAAATATTGTAAAATATACTTTTTGATGGTGTTTTGTTCTCTGAGCTGGATGGTTTGGTCGTGGACCTTTCATCGTTCTTCTGAACAACATCATCAGCACAAACTTCAGATAGAATATAGTGTTTGAGTTTCTTATACAAATGATGGTGCACTGCATATATATATATATATATATATATATATATATATATATCGTGTTTTAATTTTTCTTTTCCAGTTAAGTTTATTAGTGGTTAATATTAATCGATGCCCTAATAATCATTAGATAAGTAGAAGCTGAAATAAACGAATTATTGTAAGTCATCTTTATTAAGTACTGGCAATAACTGAGTTACCGCTGAACTTTCAGGTTTTAGGTTGAACCCTTTTCATGTTGAACTCTTACTTGGAATTGTATCAAAACTATATGACTTCCTCAACTGATTGAATTTAGGAAATATGGACCACTTGATTCTAAGTTATTTAATAATAAGCTTACCACAAAAGCTTTTAGTTATAGGTTCAACTCAATATATGTTCATGATTGCGAAGTTTTATAACATAATTAACAGCTTTTTATTACATCTTACTCGTTGTTGATGCTTCAAGTGATATTTTCTGAAGTGAACATTACTTACTTACGCCTATAATCCCTACCCCATGGAGGAACATAGGCCGCCCACCAACATTCTCCATCCAACTCTGACCTGGGCAAACTTTTCCAGTTGTTATTCATGCTTTTCATATCTGCTTCTATTTCCCGACATAATGTGTTCTTTGGCCTTCCTTTTTTCCACTTACCTTCAGGATTTCAAGTTAGGGCTTGCCTCGTGATACAATTCGGTTATTTCCGTAATGTGTATGTTATCGACTTCCAACGTGAACATTACGTTTAGTTGTTTTTTTAACCGTTTAAAAATTAATCAACACTTATGAATTTTAATAGCTGAGATCATGAATCAATTGAAGCTATACCAATTGGACGGTCATTTCATCCTATTGTAGGACTCCTCATAAATTCATTTGTACTCATTTTATTGATGAATATAAATGTTAACATTAAAAGAATGATAGTCAGTTGTAAAACGTGTTGTTTCAATAAATAATTTTGATTGAACGTGACATTAATTCATCTACAAATAGAAAGTTTATCTCGAAAAAGCCTATTATAGTTTCATTTAAACGTTTTGTCAAATTCTGATAATCGAACTCAAGTATAAGACATATCTCTAAGATGATGGAGAAGTTTGTGCTGGTGATATCTTACAGAAGAACAATGAAATCTTGAGGACCAAACCATCCCACTCAGAGAACAAAATTCCATAAACATATCTCTAAGTTGTTAAAATGATGATGTATTTCGACACTAATTTCACTGAGTTTTCTTTCAAAATCTTCAGTTTGTAAATATATATATATATATATATTTATTAGTAGTACAATTATCTTATTTCTTTTCCGATTAGATGAAAAGTTCAGCCTTAATTGGAAACTATTATTATTACTTAAATAGACTGATAAACATTCTCTACACATTGAAACTGTACATTTTTCAATGAATTCATACCAATATAAAGTTATAACTAAAAGTATTTCATTTAGTCAACGTTTGCATGAAGATCTATAGACTAGTATCATGTTTAAGAATATTAATACAGTATTTGAGTTGATTGATCACTTTGAAATATCACAATTCCCGCATAAATTAATATACACTATGATTCATCATTATTATTCTTGTATAACACATACAATACACATGGTTTATACATATACAGCGAATAATGGTCAAAGAGATCACTTTACTATAAATTTTTCATGGAAACAGAAAAAGATACTATTAGTATGTTCCAAATAAATTTCATAACATTCAAGTTTTAAAGTACAAAAGAAAAACGTTACATCAACTGTTGTCTATAGAATTAAAGTACACACATTCAAATCATTCGATATAACTTTGTGATATATTCGCTGAACTTTCCTTTTATCAATGAACCACCAAAATATCTCCATGAAATGATTTCTTTTAGGCTGTTAAAAATTTCATCAATTGGTTGATTCTATAAATAGGCATATGAAATAAAGTAAAATGAATTTGATTTAGTGATATAGATAAAGAAATTATTCACTTAAAGGAAACCACATTCCCAGATCTTACTGACTTTCCAAACATCCATTACCTGTTTCGAAAAATAACTCGTCACTGAATCTATGTTGTCAGTTTAAGGGTTGTGGAGATTGTTAAGTTTTTGATTGAGATCATGAACCGATTGATGTTAGACCACCATTGTAAACCTGAAAGCACTGGACGGCACTGCTGAGAACGAGACGGCCGTCCAGTGCTTCCAGGTTTTCAATGGTGGTCTAACATCAATCGGTTCATGATCTCAATCAAATTCTATATTGGTTTGTACGCAAATTTAGTTACTTTTGTAATTGCCTAAGTGAACAGTTAAAGTGAAAGCTACTAAAAGCATTTTTCTAGTATTACAAACTTCATTAAATACTATAAAGTGAGATGATGCTACTTTAATTACATCCCTTAGTCATAAGATAGTTACCATCAATCTTAGTTTATAAAAAAAGAACAGCCAAATGTTTTATTTCACTCACTATTTGTATAGACAAATTAGGAACCATAAATGTAAATTTTGTTGATCCATTTTTATCTTGATCAGGATTATGCACAATTTTACCAGTTCGAAGAATTTTATCAAATTTGTCTAACCATAAATTGAATTCATCCTAAATTAAGTAAAAAAGGTTGAATTATTAATTGGTAATGTGGTGCGTGCTACTTATATTGATATAAGTAGTATATAATGCGAGTGAGGAATGTAATGTCTGGCAGCAGAAGATGGGGAAGACCAAGAAAGGAAGAGAGGGAATAGAAAGCAATTAGTATGGAAATGCAAGAACAATGAAGTTCGAGACAATTATTGAACATTTTGCAAATTAAGTATTATAGTATGGTTTTCTATTTTACCAAGTAACTCTCTAATTGTATGCTTAATATAATTCGATTGTCCCCACCCGTGTTCTGTTCACTACAGTAATACTATGTAAGAAACTACATCCATCTTCGAAAATATTGAGAAAATTTAACAAGCTTCTTGCTGTCACAAACGGTTATGTGGAGATTATAACAATTAAAAAAATCCTTTCAAATTATATTAACGACTATGTCAATGGAAAATAGTATTTATTCAGTAATAAAATTCGATTTTTAGTAAATTCTTTCTAATTGTATATAGATATCAAATAAGTAGTATGCAATGAACAAAAACAGTTAAACGTTATGTTTCCATGTTATTGAAATGTATAAATGATAAATTGAGGCGAACAGATTTTTATTTAAAATACTAACTCATTTAGATTGTGATTTCGGTAACTTGTTTTCTCTATCTAAATTTATTGGTCAGTGGCTTCTCTGAATCAGCCACCCGTATTAAAATTGTGTTATCGGTGAGACTATAATTTATAGACGAACTAATCAGGTATAGGATTGCAGGTTTCAAATTTTGACACAAACTTCACTCATACATTTGGATAAATAGAGCTTTGGCATTATAGCTGATGTCAGTTGATGATGAAAACCCTAAATCTAATTCTTAACTCTAACCATCAACTGCAAAACATAATTCTATTTCATCACACTGGTTTATAACCTTCATTTGGTCCTGGTTATTAGGTGGACATTCTCAAAGTCACTTTGACGTTGCTCAAAGGCCGTCTATAAATTATAGTTTCACCGTCTTACCTAACACTATTGCCAAACTTTAACCTTAATGATTTTTCTTACCCATGAAAGTACGTTAGAAAACTTCCGGTAATATTTATGCGCGTTATTCAAGGACATGGATCGTATAGATGTTACATATATATGTAATGAAGTTGATAAAAGATAACACTTCGGTATTTCACAGAAGAATGATTAACTGAATTCAGTAAAACTCTAAGCAGTCTAGAATACTCTTTTGTCTACAACATTTCGTAAAATCACATTTGTTTTAATGCTGAATTATGTAGCAAGCGAAAATTAAGTATTAAATGATAACTAATAAACCGATGTTAGTTATTTCTAACGATTAGAATGACATTTAGAAGAATATATTACAGTTAAAATTAAGTGATGATAAAGTTTTGAAATACTCTTCATATATTTTGAACTAATTTATTCAGTTGGTGTGTATCAGCTATTAAAGAGCTATCCTATATAAATATGTATTGAATCCTTTATGAGAACTTACCTGGAATTCCAGATCGGAATGATTGAAATTTTCAGAATCTAATGATTTATCATTTGTATTAACAGATGATGATTTCAGTGTGGTACTTTTGATATTTATATTTGCTTTATCTCTATCAGAAAAAATATTGGCTGCACTGTATTTTATCACTATTTTGTTGAATTGATCTATCATTTTAAAAAATTCATCACTATTATCGAATAAAACCAAGCGTTGTTGATAGAGATGTGCTTCACTAGAATTAAAATAAATATTAAAATGAATATATCAATCAGAATGCATAATTACACCATAAAATGTTTTTTAAATTTTACTAAACTCATAATTCTGTGAAAAGACTGTCGATAATCTACCATGAAAATTTAGTCCACGATCATTACTGTTGTACATCGAGTTGTTGAAAAAAAACTAGTGATAACAATTGAATTCTTAAGAAACAAAAGCCAATATAACTGATTTTGTTTATTCATTAGTTATATTTTAGCTGTCTCATCATTACTGTTGTATGAATGCTTTTTTTAAATATGAGTAAAAATATAAATGATAATTATATACCCATTGAAACTAGTATAATATGGTAATATATACATCATTACTCACAGTTTTGCCTTTGGTGAATAGCAACTGATTAGGATCGGTAGGCACTTATAAAAATTGCTATCATTTTCAAAATTATTGATTGTTTGCATCAATAAATATTTTGATAAGCTACTTCCTCCACGTCTAGTCTCATTTTTTATTTTAATAGGCGATTTGGGCTCGAAATTCATATTGTATGGTGATATGTATGATTGAATAAAATTTTCATTTTCTGGAGTATGATCATTAAACCAACTAAATGAAGTTTTAATGATATTAGATAAATTGCCGAACGTTTCCGTTTCTACAGAACCATTCAGTTCATATAGGTGAACTTGGAGTGATGTAAATCGTTGAAACCAGTATTCTGCATCTTGTGAATAGTAGGGAACTGCTGAAATAGGAATTATTACATTCTGCATCGAAACTTTTGTAATGCAATCTTCATTTTGACTTTCTACAAGTGGTTTTCAATAAAATTGAATAAATAATAATATACTTGGTAAGATTTTTAACACTATTTTATAATGTGTCTAATTTCTCAAATGAAGTATTTTAGACATTAGGTGTATACTCTGTTTTCAGAATTCCTGTTTATAAATTAATTTTATATAAATCTCTTATCAATTAAAACTTTGATAACCTACCGTTAACCATACTGCCTCAAACTCAGTTAATTATTCAACCAATGATAAACACTATTATGTATAAACTTAGGAGAGGACACTTGTTCGTGTAAGACTACTTTATTGAGTCGAACTACCTTAAGATAAGTTACGCAGGTTTGACAATTAACCAAAACATATATGAGGATTTACTGATGAGTCCGTCATCGACTTGGATTGATGGTATCGACAATTTTCCTCAACATCAACTTACAGGGTATAGTTGAATTTGAAGAAGAATCATAAAATAAAGTGGTAAATTTAACGCTTTGAACACTTAGTTTTAATAGCTAAAATCTGTATAAATATAATTTATAATTAGGTAGGCGTGATGTGTACGAAAGTTTCCTATCTGATCTCAATCTATGACCTAAATCATCTTCAGGTTATATAGATCTCGGAAAACTGCCTAAGTAGACAAGTTTACATTATAGATTCAACAGGTTTCAATGATGGATAAATGTGTTACACATGGAAAACCAATTTTTCTGCACTGTTTGTTTAATTGGGAATATACAAACATTGACCAGTTAACCATTTGTGTAACAGCATAAGTAATAAATTATTTTATTTAATTAAGATTGATTGGATTAAGTGGGAACAAGTCTGAAAACCCGAATATAAATACTCCGGTGGTTTGTTTCCCAATATGTTCCGGTAAATTTTGTGGTTTCCTAAACAGTTATTATCACAGTGTATTTAGAACTGCCACATACTGTCCAACAGTAGCATGATTCATATTTTCATAAATTATCAATAAACTGAGATCATAGTACTTATGGCCATGAATACCACATTACTTCGACAACGATGATGAAAAAGTAATTAGAGGTTGTTGATCTAGTGATTTAAATCGGTCTGAGAAATCAATAATACCATGTTTTATTTCACATTACCGGTTCTTTCTGTGAGGATACTTAGTCGGCAAATTCAGTTGTATTGTTTTTGTATGTATAAAATTTGTAAGAATAGGGTTGCACGAATTACTAAATTTTATTGGAATCATGAACCATTTTAAGTTACACAAACTTTGAAAACCCAAGAGCCGTGGGTGACCTTCTCTTCCTAACATGAGAATTCTCAGAGGTGACCATCCATCTTTCATTGTTTTCTGTGACAACCCTTTCAACACTCGGTAGTGACTGACCATCATGGACCAAATAAAGTCAGACTTGCGCGCCATTAGATGTTAGCTCAGTGGTTACGGGTTAAACTTTCACGCGAGATCAAGGGTATGGAGTCCGATTTCCGGATGCGGCGTCATGGTTTCGTGCCGCCAAGAAACCCTATATCAAAGCTAAACGGCCGTCCAGTGTTTAAAGATTCCGTACGATTGTCTAAATTTGATCAGTCTGTGATTTCAAAAAATAAGATTTCATTAGAAGTAAGTAATCAGTAGGATGAAGTGAAAACAGTTAGTGTATAGATTTGTTATTCGGACGTAATACTGTTGAAATAAACGTAATAACCATTGACTATGAGTGTAATATAGAAGCAGAATAGAGTGAAATAATGATAAAATTGACTTACTAACTAGATATCTGAAAGAAATTAAAGACAAAATGTCACAGAATACATTAATATACAAAGGGATTTATTGATTTGACCTGAAATAGCCGAAAAACTTAGATGTGTTCACATTAATTATAATAAATGATATTTGACTGATATATAAACAATTCAGTAAGTTATCAAACAAAGTTATTACTTACCTACTTATTTACTAAGTAAGTAATCAGTGCACAATTTCTTACCTTGACAATTGCTGACATTAGGACCTTTGATATTCTGTTTATTTCGTTCAAACAACTGTTTAATATTTAATACATTTTCATATAAAACTGATTCATACAACTTAAGTATATCCATATTTAGTTTAATTTTCTTCAGCTTCTTCCATTCATATTTCCGATTAATTAATAATTGATTTTCATCAGAAACCATCGAAGTAGAATTGAATACAACATTCCAATATTCACTGACAAGAGTTCGATTTTTCACATAATCGAATAATCCATCAAATTGATTTGATGGTTGAATTAAATTTATTAACTCATATTCATCATCACCTGAATAAATAAAATAAATAAAAACAATAACCAATGTTTTACTGTAACTTTCATAATAATCTAATATCCTTCTTTTGTTCAAGTTATGATAATAAAAACAAGACATATTTGTATATTTCATGATAAAGCTGCTGAATCATTCAAGAAGAATGTATAATGATAAAGTTTATTAATTGTGGAATAATACATCTAATGTTAGTTCAGACGTAATTTCCTGTTTTATTTCTTTACAAACTAGATGCATTTGTACATCGTCAAGTTTATCAGCGTAAACAGATAGTAAACTAAATTATTCCTGTTAAAAATGTTTTTAGGGATCTAAAAGTATATTCCCTTTCATTTTCTAAAACGTTTATCAAGCTTTAATTGAATTAACATGTCCAATATATCACAGGAAACATGTTCGTCAGAAATACGTTGTAGTAAATTAAAAAACATGGATAAACTCTACTGATATATCCAGGATAATTTCCTACACTTATCCTCTCAGATTTATCTCAGTAGTTCTCTCTAGATCACTCATTATGATATTTTATAATTGAGATAAACAAACTCAAATAGGCAAACAAACTCAACAGATTCAACATTTTTCAAATACTATAACTTACGTTTGTTAAAAAGTGATTTTTTCACAGATTTTAATACGCCAACCATTGTAAATTCGAAAGTTGTTTCGTCTTAGTGTGGGATTGTTCAACAGTGCACGTAAACAACCCTTCACCCAGGAATCAAACCCAGTACGCTATATCTCGCGCGTCAATGTCGAACCTACAAACGACTGAGACGGAATCCAAAGATGCTGTTGTCTAACTTTGATTGATCAACGATGGTGCAATACCATCTTGTTTAACTGTTGTAGAGAACTATCTCACACTCCACAATAGCTTCATTTCCACAGTTATTTGGTTAGTACCTTAATCTCTCACATTGTCCGGACATTCCATCTACGTATAATAGTTGTTGCACTGGTTGTTAGAAGGCGTATCGACCTCCTCAGTTTGGAGGAAGCTCGGTTTTCACATTTTTGCATGACAATTCTTCTACATGATGATCTCTCGACCCACCCAGGATAGAACTTTTTTTTACAGGATGAAATTGATAACCCCATGCCCAATCCCCCTCCTTTACTCGGGTTTGGTACTGACAATTGCCCCAGAAGAGCTACATACGGAGTTCCATAAAACCTTATACCTATATAAATGTATTTCCATAATATTACAACAAAATAAATTGGAAGAATTCACACCTAAAATTCGATTTCTACTACTAATAAACTTTCCCCAAATATTTTCATTGTTCCTTGAAGACACTAGTAATAAGGTAACAGAAAGCGAATCATCTTATGTTAAGCTGAAAATCACTGCAATCATTAGATCAAATATTTGTTTGTTTGTTTTTTTAAAAAAAAAGAAAGAAAACTTTTTTCTTGATCATAACATCTTTATTGTTTGCTTTTAATATCATGTTAACCAATCAAAATATTTTCCTTTTTTTAATTTTAAAAAATAAATTTAATTAATTATATTTTTTTATCATATTTTCTTTTTATTTATTTATGAATTCAACAAATGAATTATTGAAAATCAGTTCTATCTTATTGTTTATTTTAATTAATTTAATCGACTGACCTCATTTATTTGACTAACAAATTCCTTTCAATATATATATTGAACGTGCATCTATTTCCTAAGGACAGTGTACGTCAAAACAGTTATAGTTAACCGGTTAAGGATAGTATAGAACATAAAATTATTCTAAATGTATAAGATATTGCTCAAATGGTTACTTAGTTTCTAATGAAGTCGGTAATATTAAAATTATGTATGATAGTATTTTGTATGTTGTACAATGTCTATGAAAATAAGTTATACGGTACTTAAACTGTCAACACCTGGATTCATAGCATAATATACAATAATCACTGGTTTTATATTAATGTAAGCAAAAATTACAAAGTAAATATGCATATATTAAAATGAATGATTTAAAATAACAGTTGAAGGGAGTAAAACGTGATCATGTTTCAATTTTTAAAGTCAAACGAAGAATATAATAACTGTTTTGTTTCATACTACATACTCACTTTCACAATCTAGGAGTTATATATCTTAATAGAGTCTACTGAAAGTTATTTACATACCTGGCAAAATTATCCGAATGGAATCCAAACACTTCTTTCCTACTAAGTCAAATTGATGCATAACTGACGAATCATCTTGAAACGCTTTATCAAGTGCTGAATTTGTACGTTTGGGTGATTCACTTTTAGATATTTTGGAAATTATTGATTTATTTCTATTGTTTAGTTCATTTGGATGTAGAAAACCAGTAGATTTAAGAGTAGTTGATGACGAACATTGTCTGCGTTGAGATAAGAATTGATCAATCATTAATAAAATATTCCAGATACATAAACCAACAGACTGAGAAAATCTACCAAACGAATCATCGATCCCCTCTATTTCATTTGTTGATATCGCCTCAAGTTCTTTTTTCGATAGTGATGTTTTCAATTTCTACATTTTAAGTGAAAGAATTCAGATAATACATTGAATGATCTTAGAAATACTATATCAAAGGAATATGACATTAAAAATTAATTCTGCGGCCTTCTTATCTGTTCTATGATAATTTTTTGATAGCTCATTTAAGTAATAATAAGATACCTTAACTGGCATTTAACAGACACAGTGGCTCAGTAATGTGCTTAACTAGCTGAACTCAATATGTTAAATCATAGGAAAATTATTTTGGAAGATCAAGATAGCCGTGAGTTTGAATTTTCCCCCGTAATATGTGTCTTATGGATGGAAGATTTCGGCGAATACTAAACATATTATTTCGAGTATTTTTATAACTTCCGTATGCGTCTTGAAATATAGAAAACTTTATATACATACATTGAAAGAGATCTAGAATGTTTGGGTGTTTAAGACCTTAGGAAAGAAAGAAGTTACTTACTTAGGGCTGTTACCCCTGAGGAGAAGCATACTCCGCTCATCAGTATTCTTTATAGGACTCTTTCATAGGCAATCATTTCAAGTCCTTTCCAGTTGCTATGCATTCTTTTCATATCTACTTACAATTCCCGGTGCAATGTGTTCCTTGGTCTGCATCTTTTCCGTCTCCCTTCAGGATTCAAAGTTGGCGCACGCCTTGTGATAAAGTATGGTGATTTCCTCAATGTATATTCCATCCACTTCCAGTTTATCTTCCCAATTTTCTCTTCAGATGGAATATCATTGGTCCTCTCCCACAGTTGTCTGTTGCTGAGGATAAGCGACTAACGGGAACTGAGTATCTTGCGCAGACAATTGTTATTAAATATTTGTGCCTTCTTGATAATGGTTGTAGTAGTTCGTGAAGTTTCAGCTCCGTACAGTAGAATTGTCTTGACGTTCGTGTTGAAGATTGTGATTTTGATATTGGTTAACAGTTGTTTTGGGTTTCGTACGTTCTTCAACTGAAGGAACGCTGCCTATACTTTACCAATCCTTGCCTTCACATCCGCATCGGATCCTCCTTGTTCATCGACGATAATGACCAGGTACGTGAAAGATTCTACCTCTTTTAGAGCTTCTCCATGAAGTGTGATTAGATTGGTATTCTCTAAACAGTATTTAGGGATCTCACTTTTCCCTTGTGTGTGCTGAAGCTTAATGCTTTAGAGGCTATCGCTACACAAGTGATCTTCACTTGCATTTTTTGGTGTGTATCGGATAGAAGGTCCAGGTCATTTGCCACGTCCAAATTGTCATGTTCCATCCTATCCGTCTATCGTATTCCGTACTTACCCTCAGATGTGTTTGTAATCCAGTCTTCGTAAACCAGAAGAAAGAGGAAGGGGAGAGTAGGGAGCCTTGTCTGACTCCGGTCCTCACTTGGAATACGTTTGTCAGCTATCATACGTGTATGACATTGCAGTGTAGCTCAATGTATAAATTCCGGATGTTGTTGACGATTTTCTCAGTTACACTACAGCGTCGAAGAAATTTTCACAAGGCCCTCGTATCCATACTGTCATAGTTAAAGACGCTGATGTATAATGACGAGTTTAATTCAATTGATTGCTTAAAATTAATTCGTAGTGTCGCGATTTTGTCTGTGCATGACCAATCCTTACGGAATCTGACATGTTTATCTCAAAGTTGGACATCTACTGAATCTTTTATCCGGCTCAGCAACACTTTGTTAAAAATGTCTACTGGTACCGATATTAGTATGAAGCCTCTGTAGTTTTCACGTTTGCTCAGATTTCCTTTCTTTGGTATCTTGATGAGGTGTCCTTCCCTCTGATCTGTCTGTGGCACTTGTTCTTCCTCTCAAATCTTCCTGAATAGAACGGGGAACATTTTCGCAGTCAGTTCTATATCTGACTTTAGTGCTTCGGCTGGAATGTCGTCTGATGGCCATTCTGATTTGTTCGATTATTGGTGGAGTGACATCCGTGGATAGGTCTATGTGTGCAACCTCTAGGTCAGGTGTATCAAGTGGGCTTGATCTACTCAAGAGTTCTACATTTTCTACCTATCTGTTCCTCTGTTCTTGAATGGCAGCGAACGGCCTGTCTTGCTTGTTCTTGACTGGTCTCTCTAGTTTACCATAGTTCCCGGCTAATTTCTTCATTGTGTCATATAATTGTCTAATATTTGCTTATCTTGCAGCTTTTTCTGCTGTCGCTGCCAGGTCTATCGTGTATTTTTGCCCATCTGCTCTTATGATCTACTTCGCTTGTTTCTTTGCTTCTGTGTATTCGTTTTGTGCCTTGACTTTCTCTGTTATTATTCTACTGTTGTTAGTTGATGTCATCTTGCTCTACTTATATCTAATTACTCGAATAGATTTAGTCGATGCAAAATTAAAACTTTACATAAAGGTGCCTTTCGACCAGAAATAATGCACGGAAGCTGTGGGGTTGCTTGTTCGAGTGCTACTATCAAATGTATATTGATACTTTTCTAATGATAGTGGTAAACTAGTTTAAGCAGTCAATTGAATTATACTCAATTAAATCCATAAAGGTCTATTTTCATAATCCATGTCTAGTCTTACGTATTAAAAAGAAATAGAATCTGATTAATTTTTTTCGTTTCCGTAAAATGTTTATGTGTAAACATTATTGTTGCTAAGGTATGTTATTATAGTAGTAATATCCTACACGACATGGATATTTATTATAAAACTAATTAACACATGGCTTAATTAAACATCTATCTCTATATGAACATTTCGCAATAAAACTGAAAGTTTAATTCTATATTTTATGTATGATCAAAACTTTTCTTTTCAATTAACTTCAAGTATACATTTTTTACATTTAAAAAAATGAAATGAATACTGATTTATATTAACTAGATATTTCAAGGAGGTATGCTTACATTATCCATGATGTTCTGTACATGAGTAGTTGCTAAATGTTGACATTTTCGTTGAACATATACTAATTGCCAAAAATAAACTAACATTATTTCTGTTCTGTGTTGAAATCTATTCCAAGACAACAAAAAAAAAGAAAAGAGACAGAAATTTTTTTCAGACATACTTGAAGAAATAATCAATTGTTTTATGTTGTGTTTTTTTTAAATATAAATAAACTCATTAGAACAAATTGAATCATCTTTAAAGTGGAAAAATGTATTTGTAACGTCTCAATGAATGAATTTAATGTGAAAAAAACCTTAATAAAACATATCAATAGCATATATAATGAAAATCAAGTACATTAAGGAGTCGAAATCTTCTGATTAACTTTTCTAGACTGTTTAGCTGAAAGAAAATATAATGATTGTTTAAAAATCAATATTCTCCGAAAGTCAACATATTCAGGGGAATTTCTAGATTTTAAATTAGTATATCTACACTCTATGAAATTGATAGTGGCCAAAAATTTGATTACTAGAGTTCAAAAACTTGTTACTGAACTAAATAACATAGAAATGGAAAATGATTTTAATTATATCTACTCTAATGATGAAAAAATAATTAAAAATGAAGAAAAAAATGTTATTATTAAAAAAAAGAGTTAAGCAAAAAGAATGGGTTAACACAACGGTGACCCCATATTGTCGAGGCAATTTCAAAAGAGATCAGAAGGATTTTGACTCTTCAAAATATAAGACAATTCTTTCGAACAAACAATACTGTAAGATCAAAACTGGTAAGAATCAAAGATCTAGTACACAAGCAGGAACAACAAAATTGTGTTTATGAAATCAAATGTATTGACTGTCATATATGTAGATGAAAAATCACAACTGAATGTGAGGGTGAAGAAACATAAACTATACTGAAAGCACATTCCTAAATCCTCAGATGATGCAAGAAGACTCGGGAACAAATTAACAGTAGTAATACATTTGATAGAACTGGATCATACAGTTGATTTCAATGACACAAGAATCCTTCAAAAAGTTTTAAGTGAAAAACTAACAGCCAAATCCAAACAGTATTATTAGGAGAGATGGAATAGAATTAGTTGTGCCATGGCAACTAAAAACTAATAAGTAAGCCTGAACTCCTTATTCCATTTTATCTATCCCTTATTATCTGAATAACAGAGATTACATCCAACGGTTCTAATCAGTTGTCTTATCTGAATAGGTTAAACAATTAACTGGAACATTAAAATGATACAAACATTCAGTTCCAAATACATTCTTCCTCTTTGAATTCATTCCTTTATCTTGTTTATTTATCTTCATTTTATTCATGTTGCGACATTTTTGATTCATATCATATATAAAAATTATGTTATCTTAAAATTCACCGACCAGAGACAATATATAATGAATGAAATTTCTTCTCACTTACATTACACACAATCTATTATGTTAAAATTTTTCGTTTCACACCACATATATGTTGCACACTAATGCAACCATCTACTTTAAACCTTGTTAACGTTGATTGGATAACTTGTACAGTATATAGTGAACTGGAGAACCATGTACCTATTTATATTCGAACAAGCTTGAACCAGAATGCCAGGTGAAATGTTGGTTTTACTGAGTTTTTTAAAAATACATTCGTCCTCTTTTATGTCTCACATCAACTCGACACACATATACTGTGAAACTATTCGATCATTTTTGTTCAAATTCATAAAGAATAGCTAACTTATATTCGTGTACATTTGAATTAACCAGTAGTTCAAGAAGAACAAAATTTCAAAACTATCTAAACAAATATACAGTAATTTCAAATGAATCATATATTTGTAATATCCAAATGAGTAGGAAAATTAGATTTTCTGACCTTTCGTGACTTAATGTAAGCCACTTTTTCAACAATATAATCTGATATCTGATCCTCAGCATCGTACATCTCTTGATAAAACCGTTTTAGGAGTACAGGGCATGAAAAATCTTGTATGTCGACCATCATTTTATTTTTATGCAATCATCCGTATTTTAGACATAATGTCGTTTCTTACTGTAATGTTTATCTCGAAAATCAGTGTATCTTCTAATTGATGACAATTTTACAGCGACGTTTGGTGCTAAAACATGGCCTAATAAATATCCTAATTAATTCTAAGATATGTCAATGTTTTTCAGATATGACTATGTATGTAAATTTAGGTCTTTCATTTTATCAGAAGGGGGTTTTATGGAGATTGTAGTAATTTAATAGTTGAGTTTATGACTCAATTAAGGCTAGACCACCATGGAAAACCTGGAAGCACTGGACGGCTGCTTCGTTCTATTGTGGAACGCATCCACGATCCCGCCCGCGGGACTCGAACTCAGGGCGTCCATTCTCATGCGCGAACGCTTAACCTCTAGACCAACAGTGTTAATGCCTAACTGCAACCAATCCACGGACTTGCGCCACCGTCCACCATTGTCTTCGGTGAATTACTATCTCATAACAGATCCTGTTGAACTCCACTGTACACACGTTTCACTAGAACACCAGGAAATACCTCTTGAAGCTAGTCACCAGCGAGCACAGGATGAGTTTACCTAACAAATATATCTAAAGTTTGCTAAACCTTTTTTGAATTCTACATTTGAAGTTAACCTCTTTTCAGCTACAAACAAACAGACATCTACCTGCCAAACTCAAACTAGTACTGTTAACCATTCTATTGTTTAGTTCATATAGGGTTTTTAATTCATTATACTGGCCTTTTGTTCGAATTAATTTCTCTTTTTTTCTTCTTTTTTTGAATATTTACCGAAAGACAGATTCCTTTGAACGAAATCTGATCATTTTTCTACTAAAAGGGATTATTAAAAAGTCAGTTGCGGTAGTTACTGTAAACCTGCGAATATGTTTCAATATATACAATAACACTGTGACAAACAATAAATAAATAAATATATATATAAATAAATATTATCTCAGCAGATATCTCCGTTTGTAATGTCAGTCAACAGTTTAGCAGTGGACGGTCTCGAATATAAATAAGATAAACGAACTATGATATTTTACTATTTTAAAATTTACATCTAAAAAGGTCTTCACGTAAATTCATCTTCATGTGTTTATCATCTATATAATACAATCAATTCTAAACTAATAATTTTATGATAAATAAAAAAAAGGGAGTAAAACATTTTATAGTTTGACCTACAATTTATCACCCGTAACAAATGCAGAAATGCAAATTGAACGTAACCAGCTTTGAGAAGGTGATTGCCAATCAACTTTATTTTCTAAAAACAATCTCAATTCTATATGACCTTTAAAAATAAATCCAAATGAATATTATCTAACTTAGAAATTAATAATTTTAAACAAACACAAATTATTCACTGAACAAAACTACATTAACTTTAAAATAACTTACATAACCGAATTAAAATGAGAAAATTTATTTATTTGAACATATAAATACAAAGGGGCACCGAATACATATTCGTAGCACAAGTCACTTGATTTGTATGTGGGATGTGATACTGCCCAACTGCCCAGATCGAAGCAAATGACTTTCTTAGGAAGCTACACTCGGAGCCTTCGACCTAAACGTCTGATCCACAAGGCAGTGGAGCAGGGTTGGGAGATGTAGTCCTATGGTAGCGGATGACCAACGATTGGTTCATACTCCAGTTCTTCATTCAGGATACTGGAGCCCATGTGCACCATTGGTTTGGACTCAGGGTTTTCTAACTCCTCTAGGTGGACCCTCTGGATGCACCTACCAGGTCAAAGCACGGGACATTCACTTTTCGTCCGCTCGATTTCGTAAACAATGCCCTGACGAGAGAAGGAAGTGTGTAGGACTTTCATTGGGGTGGCTGTATACGCGTGGCCATGTGAGAGTATTTTGAAAGGAAGAGTTGACTCTCCCTACCCTCTGCTGTACCAGGGCATTTGGGGGCTATAATAACTCAGGTGCATAATTTGAGTAGAATTTCGTCCATAAATCATCGGCACAAACTTTATCTATGATAATGTCTACTAAAGGAGAAGTGTCTTGCCCATGAAGAATAAATACCTACTATTAGGAACAATGAAATATCATATTTACTCAATTGAATAGTCTTGGTATAAAACTTAAAGTTAAATAGAAAAGAAAACCTTCACCATTAAGAAGTCTTTATATGATGTAAAGTTTGGAAATAAGTTACATTGTCTGGTAACAAGTGGTGTATATAAGATATTAGAATCTGTCAAAAATGAATTATCATATTTTTTCATGAAAGTATCCAAAAACAAATATGGAAATAATCATCCGGATTATTTTTTTCATTTGCTGTCACAAATTAAAACTGATCATAACACACAAACATTAAAATATTGAGCCATAGATTTGTGAGATAGCTGATGTTATCTCTCATTAATAGAAGTAACATATAAAGATATCGTATGCAAATCTACAGACTGGTAACCATTGAAAATGATTAAATATTTTGTTTACTTATAGCATAGTAATATCGTTTAAATGTAGATGGTACTTTTATGATGGATAGATTCTATGATGAGCAAACAATGTGTTTTGTATAATTACCCCTGAAAATAACCTTAGAGATCTTAAAACAACCAACATCGAGGTCTACAGGACAAGCTGTGAACCACATATGGAGAAATTCGAACGCTTCACTTCTGTCTGAAGTTAGTGCTGATTATGTCATCCAGAAGAACGATGAAAGCTCCACGAGCAAACCATCCAGATCAGAGAATAAAACTCTATCAAAAGCTCTTAAAAAATTTTGTTACTTTCACCTTATCCTGAATGAATTATATATGTAATTCAACAGAATAACGGAAAAGTATTAACTCTTAATACACAACTAATGAGAATATTATGTTAGTCTTTGAGTTAGAACCATCATATTAAATAAAATTTAGAAACTTCATTATATTGTATGCTCCAAATATGTGCATCGATATATTATTAAACAAAATGGAAAAGTTAAATCTCAATTGTTTATATGAAATATGTCCTTCAATTGTTCTTAATAAACAAAAGCCTAACATCGTATAAGTTGTAAAGCTTTTATTATTCAAGTATGAAGGTTATTATTAATAATGATTGTCATAAATAAATATTTTGATCCTAGTTATATGAGTTTTCGTCAATATTAAAAATTCCTTACAAACATTTTGTGTTCTGAAGAAAAAAGAGCAAGATAAAAACTAAATTAATGAATGTTTTGTAATCTTTTAAATTGAACACTTTTCATATTTCGATAATAGTCCGACATTAGCTTATTTTGATAGAAACCCTTATAGTCAGTGCTCAGTTGACAGGAACATGGAGATTAGATTATCTAGAACGGAAATGTTGACACGCAATGATATATCACTGGTTGAAATCATGAGTCAATCAAAGTTAGACCACCACGGAAAACTTGAAAGCACTGGACGGCCGTTTCGTCCATGGTAGTCTAATTTCAATTGACTCATGATTTTTTCCAGTGAAATATCTAAAATCTCCACAAAAACCCCTTCTGACGCAATGATATAGTCTAAAAAACCATTGATATTCAGGGAGGGTTAAAAACTGAGCATTTCTTGCATGGAATCCTCAGAGTTGTTCACCAAGGAAGCATTTAAAGATCGAAATCATGGCTTTTGGAGTCGTAGTAACCATCTTATACTTGGACTAAGTAGTCACCATTCAGGTGTTTATGTTTCCTAATTTAGCCAACTCGATAAGGCTGAATCCCATAAGACGCATTTTCTCACTAAAATACGGAATCATCCCAATGCTACCTACTAGTACGAATAGAAAAAAATGATTTGCTCAGATTTATGTACATTTCAGTTTCATTTGAATTCCACTTCATCGAGGAACAACAATTAACTTTAAAACTCAGTAATAACATTCAACAGTATTGCATTATATCATCAGTTGATGGTAATTAAAATTGTATACAGTGGAATACAAAATAAACAGCCTAAATTAAGCATGCACCTCTAGAGACTTGAACATCATGAGTCTGGTCATTAGGAAGGTGATGGAAACTCCTTGTTGAGGAGACTCAGACTCAGATAAAATAAATGTCAATGATTCTTAATTTTCAACAGCTACTCACTTGATCTCGTTCTGCGATAAAATCTTACTTTAATAGAAATAGAAATCAATAAAAACACCTTATTTTAAAGGTGTGAGTTCATTTCTAATCAACCTTAGGCGATCTTTCTAAATGGTTCATGGTAGTTATCATATCACTCTGCATCGTCTATATCTATAATAACAAAAATCGGATGGAATCGTGATACCGTAACGATCACATCTATTCCTATAGGCAGGTACAATTTATTGATATTAAGTAGTCTGAAAATTCCTATAGAATATTTAAAAATAAAGAATAAAAAGAATGAATGTTTGAAATAACTTCACCATCAGACATTACAATTATAAGTCCATAATTATTATGTTCATTTATCAAAGTTAAAATGAATCATCTTTTATAAATAATTGAATAATATAAAGAATTACTAGAAACATTTTCAAGATAATATTCAAATCACATAGATAATTAATGAAAATATCAGAAGGGGTTTTGTGGAGTAATTTCATTAGTTAAGATCATGGGCCAATTAAAGCTAGACCACCATGGAAAACCTAGAAGCACTGGACGGCCGTTTCGTCGCGTTGTGGGACTCCTCAGCAGTGCACATCCAGGTTTTTTACATGGCGGTCTAGCTTCAATTGACTCATGATCTCAATTATTGAAATTATTGAAAATGTTAAACTCTTCAAATTACCTTTGATGAACAATAATTCACTTTCTATACATGGACAATTTGGTGGAAGATGTTTTAATATATTTTGAGAAAAAATCAAAACACCTAATGCTTCATCATAAATTTGACCAGAGCTCATATGTAACAGTGTTAGTATTCTAAAATAAATACAATAAATAATTATATTATAAATAAACACAAGAGTATTTCACATCATAAAATGTTTATCTAGACAAATCAAAGAATTTAATTCATATCCTGTAATAAACTGAATTCTTCAGTGGTATCCAGCTTTTATCATATTTTAGAATATTCACTGAGATATTGAATGGGATTGCCTTCAACGCTATTATTCGAATAACATTATAACAAGATATAATCAAAGAGAGGTTTTTGGGATATTATAGTGATTTAGTAGTTGAATTCATGAGTCAATTGAAATTAGACTGTGAATGCGCACTATTCAAGTGTTCCATAATAGGACGAAACGGTCATCCAGTGCTTCCAGGTTTTCCATGGTAGTATAAATTATTATTTATTATTATTACTCTTTCAAAATACTTTAATATAGAACGATAAGTTATGATATGAAGGGTTGATGTAAAACATCATAAAACAAATTTGTTATACATATACTTTATTTTGTTACTTTTCATATGAGAAAAGGAACTTAACTGTTTTGAAATGTTTATGCTCTATTTATCTTATATTCAAATGATGATGAGAATTCGTCAAACCTCTACAGCTAATTTCTTACTTTGAATATAAAATAATTTACTTGATTTGATTGATCTGTAATGTTGAACTAAAGTATTTGCAATTAGATATTACACTTATGTAATCTTAATGTCCTGAACTTATTGATTGATCAGCTGTCATATAGATTTTAAAATATCATGAGAATATGTTTTCTTTTTTGGTAACATTTTTTTTACTGAAACTTTTATACACGTTCACTTGTGATCAAGTGTTTGATGAAAATATTAACTTTTTGTAACTGAACATTCAAGAGGTGTGTTATAAAGTCCTTTTAATAGAGTTTTTTAATAGATAACTGTCAATAATAAGTAATATACAAAGTATTTAGTATTAAATGTAACAAGTTTTCAAGTGATAAAAACTTATCCTACATTAATGACAAATTTTAAGTACGTATAACATAATATTCCACAATTTCGCGTAGTTAACGTATATTTGTCTCCATACATATTCAGAGAGACAGAGACAGAGAAAACAATGTGAGTTCAATGACAAACAATAACGTAAATCAATGCATCACAGTTTCAACGCATGAACAAGCACAATCAATGTATACTTACACTTGATATTAAAGTTATTTATTTTGTAAAGTAGATATATGAACGTTTACTTTATAAGAAAACCTGCTCAATATAACACAGCATACTTTAGATTTCCTACCACGTATTTTATTTATAATACTGACTTTAATACTAAAATGTTGATTGTATATTTTTGTTTTTACGAAACATTTAGAAAAAAGAAACTTTAAATATATTAGTCAAATATTATGTGTTGTATATGACAAGTAAATACAAAGACTAACCTAAATATTTCAAAATGAAGAACAAAAAAAAGTGATAAATGACCAAGTTCAAAGAAACATATGGTATGTAAAGAAAAATGAAAGTTAAACAAAATCATGTCAAACACTGTTTAAACCTTGACCTAATTCAATACATTGAACATTTAATACTTATACACTATTTTGGAAAACTAAAAATAATTTTTTGAAAAATATTGTTTCCTTTTATATTTGATCTAAAACTCCATTGATTTATTGGTGGTCAGATTTTAAGTGAGTTTATGCTTTGATGTGTTATTTGTCAAAATAACATCATCTATTCTTTGTAACTCAATAGTGTTGTATGTTAGTCATTTTGATAAAAGTCATGGACTTTATTACAAATCTAGCAGACTTATAAACTGGATCAAGGACAACGAATACTATAGTAGACAAGTTCGTGTTCAATGAAATATCCAACTACAACATACCATTATAAAAAAACAACTAGTAAATATATATTAGTTTTATGGAGTTGGATAAGAGGTGCTAGCCATCTTGCTAATAGGTTTAATATTCTTTCGGTATTAATCCGAGAAATTATGAAGCACGTGAAAGGATATTATTTCATTTTTTATTATTTGTTTGAATCTTCTCATTGATGTTTTGGACTACAATTGATCAGTCTCTCATCGGCATATGTGCATCCTGTGCGGATTGCCTCGATATTGCCCTAAGTCACAATCATTATCAGTAAAGAGTGGAGGTGGCTTGTAATGGGATGCCGGACGTGTGTTTCGTCTTATTTGGGACTCGTCAGCCGAGTGTACCTGCATTCCAGATTTGATGTTCACTCCGCGACTCACTTCAAACAGACAATACAAAGTGAATTAATACTTCACCCGATAGCATAAGCTAGTGGCCACCGGGACTCAGTAGCTAAGTGGATAACGTGGTGGCGTTCGAAGCCGACGGTACTGAGTTCTAGTCCCGGAGTAAAATCAGCTCCTGGATGCAGGTACATCTACCTGACGTGTCTCCATTTAAACGGAAGGCACTTCCTAGATTCCACTGTTAACCACCACCCATTTTTGAAGATATACTATATCCACTGAGACAAGTGTATCCTGCGAATTCATTTAGAAATAGGTGTAACAATGTTCAGACGTGAGGTTATTTAGTGTGACTTCCGATAAAAATGACTTGTGAAGTGCATACAGAGATTGAAGCTTTTTAAACCAAACTTAATATGCTGTCTAAGCTTTTTTAAGGAACTTAACTATACTCATTTTCCAACTTTACGCTCACAAATGGTATCTCCACAATCAGATCAGAAATGTAATTACCAGATTTCATCCTTTAGAAACAGAATTGTGAAACATTTCGAAGATTTAAAAGCATGTAGAATATATTCTGATTTACCGACTAATCGATCTCTGTAATGACATTGGAAAAGATAATCATGGTTTCCAGATTAATTTATTAAACTTGTAATGTGACAACACATTGAATAAACATTTCACACAAGCAACATTGAGTGGATTATGTTGATTATTGACAAAGGATAAATACCCTTGCAAAGTGATCCTGTTGATTGGTCAACTAACATTTGTAAACAAGCGTATATGTGTATGAAATTCAGTGTGTTGAAGTCAAAATTTTAATTCACAGTCAATCATGACATCTTAAAGCAGTTCATATTCTTATCATTACATCACACTGATGAAATATTGATCACCGATACACAAGTATAATTGATCAGGGGATATTATCAACTCCAGTTTCGTACATAAATCACTAGCATAATTTTAAGAAAATTATAGTATTTAACATGTACAATCTGTCTCTGTTCATGTGGCCGTTTGATTAAGATGTTTCTTAAACTCCTGTCAGAATTGCTAGAATTCATAATTCAACGAATTAAAAACAAACTCTTTATGAAAAAGGTGGCAGAGTATCAAGTGAAATGAATAATAGTTCTTTCTGATTTACCAAGTATACCTACCTACAAACACAATGTCATTTTTTCATCTAATAATATTAATCTAATAATTAAATCCCAGTAAGTTTTGAAGTACCCTAACAAATATCACTGAATTAGTGTTTCGTATTATGATTTTGTTCGTATTTAATGAAGTGATTTGATGGAATGTAGATATCACAAAGTAATAAATTGTACAAATGTAATTTTCTATTTTACTTTCATTTAAATTTTTGTTCCTTATATAATCACTGTGTAAAACTAAGTATTAATCTATTCAATATGTGTTTTTGCAGGAATTTATCTTACTGGCGAATATCTGAATTACATACGTGCATACTATTTGATTTCAAAGCAAGAAAAGAAAAAGAAAATCTCTTACATCAGTCTTTTTCGTTAGAACGTGTACTGTAATCAACTAAAATATCTGTTAACACAAACTATTAGTTAGATGAAGGTCACAATTTAACAGAAAACTAACCTGATACAATCAGGATAATTATCTCTCATTTTATTGGCTTGTGGAATTAAGGAATGTGTGGATTTGATATCACCAAGTGATAACAGAATAAGTGAGACTCTTAATCCAATTTGAATTAAATTTTTCCAATTTTTATGAAGAGGCAGTCTGACTTCTGCTATTGTATTTTGGAATAATGAAGTGTTTCTGATACCCTCACCACAATTGTTCAGCTATAACAATGATAAGCCATCTTTATAAAAATTGCAATAATGTTTGCACGTAAGAAAGTGTAATAATCTGTTTGAAGGTTACAAGGTTCACAAATTTTGTTATGAAAGTTTACTTTTATTCTGTGTTTATTACATTGAAATTACGATTCCAGATAACGTACTACTGTGTTAGGGCTATATGTAAAAGTATTGCACTTACTAGACTTAACTGGTCAAGCGATTAGTGTATTTAGTCACAACACTAGAATAACTAAAACAAATAATGTGAAATCTGAGTCGAGATAATTTTAGCAGTTTATATAAATTATTCACCTTGAAGAAACTCATTATCAATTCAATTCATTGTCAACTCATCTAACTTCTAAACGACTTTTTTTACAATAAATATTTAGTCCCGAACAGGATGAAATACAAATCCCAGATTTTCAATGCTAGTGGCAAATTAAATATAATATAAACTTGTAACAATATCCTGGATATTAGTTCACGTTGCACGAAGTCCAAATGAGATTGATCAATCTCAGCCTCAAATCTTAACGACAGGGAGATATAAATGATCACAAAGAACATAATTTGTTCACAGTTATTCGAAAAACGACAATAAAAATGACAATAGTAATAAACCATTTAACAGATTGAATCGATCCTAAGATTGAACTTATGAGTTCATGGATCGACTGAAGTTAGACATTAAAACCGTTGAATGCCGGCTTAGTGGTCTAAGGGTCAAGCGTCCGCGCGTGAGACCGAAGGTCCTGGGTTCGAGTCCGGCATGGATGTGTATTTCTGAGGAGTCCCATACCACGACAAAAAAGCCGTCTGGTGCTCCTATGTTTCCACTGGTTGTCTGGCTTAGATCGAATCAAGAATTAAACTATTAAAAACACTACCATCTCTGCAAATCCCTACTCTGATAATGAATAACTGTCTTTCTTTGTTGCCAAAAACTTTAAAAGAAAAATAAATAAATATGAATGAAACAGAACACTAGAAATAAAAATGACATTACTTTGTGTGTAAAAACGAAAAATAATCCATGTATTGTTATAACATAGTTATTAAGTGATATCATGATTGTCGGCATAACGCAGCTTCAACGAGTCAGTTTATAGCCAGGCTTCTAATGAGTAACATATTTTTTTACATTATTACAGTTCATCTTTCAGAATTATTGATATCAAAATTTATGACATCAAAAACATTTTCCTTCAGATAGTAAACGCTCAGTTACGTAAAATTCTGGATGATTTTTTAATGACAATAATAGTTAGGACTCTAAATAAAACAATATGAATAGTGTTATCTATACCATATGGTATTCACAATAACAACAGTGATTATTATTATAAAAAAATCTAGTTTAACATACCTCTTGTATTAGTATCTTCTGTACATTCAATAGTATCTTCAATCTATCTTCCAATTTAATTAACAAACTATCGTCGTTTACTGTTAATATATTCTGAAATGATTCTTGTACTACTAAATCACTTTCACGAAGAATATCACAAACAAGTAATTGATTACATTTGTTTGTTAAACTAATTTCCTCTATCTTATAAAGTTGGTTAATAAGAAACAAATATATCAAAGGGTTATAAACTGTCATAGTACCAAATATAAGATATGAAATACATAAATTGAAATTTAACGACTCTTCATAATGTAGTAAATAATCAGCCTTAACGTATTTTGTTGTTCTGTTTAGTGGAAAGGACTAATTATATCACATGAAAATGCCATCACATCAGAATACTAAGTGAACACAAAATGCTCATTTTTTAGTATTTTCACAATAGGGTAGTTTGTTTATTTACTTAAAAACTTTTGTTTATTTAAACCTAGCTTGGACTGAACTACAGAAGAAATGTAACCGACTAAGTAAGTGGTCTTTTAACTGAGAAGCATTTGAAACAACCACTGATATACTTAATCAAACTTTCCTTGAAATTCATACCCGTTGTGTGATTGGCTATCGGGCTCAGTAACTAGGTGGATAACTTTTGAAGCGGACTGTACAGCGTTCGTGGCCCGGAATGAACATAAACTCTTTAATTCAAGTACAGCCATCTGACGAGTTCTAAATGAAACGAAACGTGCGTCCTGGTTTCCACTGCTAGCTACATTCCATCTATTCTATATCAATTTTCGTAGAATATTGAATGATATACAGTTGCCAAAACCATATGCCAATTTCAAGCGAAATACCGTGAGAGTTATTTTATCAAATATTAATGATCTATTGTTTTACCATTAAAATGATCATATATCACATGTAACTCTGAGTTACAATTGGGTATTGGGGCTTCTAGCATCTCGTAACCTGTTTGGTTAATCCAATACATGACAAACAATAAATAAACGCTGTTACTGGAAACGTTTGTTTCATGTTATAACCAAATTTAATTCAAATTACGGTAATTATTCATGTGATAATAAACAAATAAAGTATATTTGTGAGATTATGGACTATGCTACTTGTCTCCTCAGTTCAAGAATGAAATGTAAATAAGTGACAAATATTCATATAATCTGACTAAAGTACCCAAATAACGAACATCTATAAATAAATAAAAAACTGATCACTGAAGATCATACATTATTTCAGAATAGTACAAATATACAACATCCTTACAACAAAACAAGTAGGATTATGATTCATTCAACAATGAAATCGAAGTTAAGGTGCTCAACTCACATGCCATTACTTAACCCAACGAAACTAAGACCTGATTATCATATTTAACTCTTATCAGCCCATTACAATGTATGTTTCTTTAACAGATTATTTCGATAAAGCTCACAAAAAAAGAAACATCTAAGTAATATGAATATGATCAAAACAATTAGAAAACATTTTCACGGAAACTAAACTACAATTCAACCTAACATTTTCTGATTGTATAAGACTGACATACACACATAATTGTTTTCTTTAAATACAAGATTTTATGCTTGATATAACGCTATTCTTACCAACGTAATTATTGGTGTTGTTTTTAAAAACTTTTCAATACATTCATTCATCTATTAAGATGTCTATTTATATGTAATTTAATTCCAAAGGAATTTCCTGAAAAAATAATCCATTCAAGTGTGAATTCAATAAACAAATATTGAAGAATGAAATCAGTTTCGTGTAAATTAATTGTTCTTGTTAATGCTTATTTTTTGTTTGTATGTTTCTATTTCAGGAAACTTCATCATAATTGTGTAATTATACGGTTTATTATTATCATTGTTTTATTGACAAAAACAGAAAAAAAGCACACAACTTAACAATTTGATTGCTTCTTTTTCTCCTTCTTTTGTTATCTTCGTACAGTTATTTATTTTTGGACCTTTATATGTTTATTCATTAGGATTATGGCAAAGTTAGTATTCATTGTACAGGGTTTCCTTTATTTTTTAAATTTTTTTACATTCTGATTTCCGTAAATCATCTTTATTCACATTAAATGATTAAAGTACATTTATTGGTTTATTTTTCTGCTTATTAAGTAAACAAACAACTCCGCTTGGAGCCCCTCTAGGGATACTTTAGTGTGGCTCTTTATTTTGTCTTCATTTAGATCGAATGATGTTTGTTGACGGGCTCTTCACTTTGATGTTCCGAGATCTGATTCCAATTTGATCGTATGAATGATTATTAATGAATTGTATATGTCGCCTATCCTCGTATGTCTTTATCGAACTTAATCTGCGTTCAGTAAATAACGGAATTAAATAAGTCAAATAACGAGAATGGACTTTTGAATACATATATTTTGTATATGAAGCGAATGGAATAGAGCAAAGCGAAACGACGCACAGTGGAGTTGGCAGGTAAGCCAACTCCATTTAGTCAAGCGTTGATTAATATTTATAGTCACATAAAAATAAGTTACAGACATGTGATGAATAGTATAAGAAGTGTACACACATATATGCGCTCATATATTAGCACTCAAGATTGATAAGCGAATAATTAACAAGGTCAAATGTGACTCAATTAGAATGAATAGATTGGGCTGTCTGAAAGCTAGAATAAGGTATATGAGGTTAACATAATGACCGACACTACATTACTGCCGGTCTCAAGCTCACATAAAGGAGGAGAGTTGGGCGTAGGATCAGCGACCCCACCCCGTAAGAAAACTAACTCACTAAAAAAAACTCTAACCAGAAAAAAACGCTGGGTAAACAAACAAATAGATAGATAAATAAATGAGCAACAATAACAAAATATCACAATATTATTTACCATAATATTGGTAGTTTTTTCATATCCTAATCTATTTCTAATAAATAGAAGTTGATTGTTAAGCAGAGTAAATTCATTCCAGTATTCTTTAAATTTGATTGTTTTTGTTTCTTCTAATGCAATTTTTAAATTGTCATTTTCTTCTGGTGTTTCATAATTTTCTGTTTCAGGAAGTTCTATTATTATTATTATTTATAAAACAAAATTAATTGAATTAAATTATTCGTTAGATATTATTAACATATTTTATTCAGTAGGCTAACTAGGATTTTCCTAACATTCTATGAAACGAATAAGTTAACTGAAACCAAAATTGTTTCTATCATTCATTTTATGATAATGTTTATGTTACTATGGATTTATATCATTTAAATGATCACCATGTGTAAACATTATCAATGTAAAATATTTATATCAAAACTTTTAAGAATAAGCTGTTTCAATATGTAATAATGTTTTTCTACACAATCGTAGTAAGAATATACCAATAAAGCAAAATGAGCATCATGAATAATGCGTACGTTTGATTAACCTATCTCAACTTTATTCATTACTAAATGAACATATAATTTTTCACGTGTCACTCTTGACATAAATGTTTTTAACATAACATATGAAATTATAGTGGACATTTCAAGATGGTTTTGCACTGGGTTAAATGGTGAAAATCAGAACATCTTCGTGTTCTTTTGATGCGGATGAAGAATAACCCCATGGTATATATATATATGGTTAGCAGAGTGGAGTGCAGTAAAATAACTTAGTTCGTCTTCTTGTTGTGTTGCTGACTATCGTTCGGTTCGACGGACCTAGGTGATAATGATAACATCTTCAACGTAGCAACTATCAAATAGCAACAGAACTTTCTAGATGAAAATGAACCATAACTAAGAGATATTTGGCTTGATTTCTGAATGAATGTCACTGTATATTATACTTATTTCTACACTTCTAAGTATATCGGTTGAAATCTATGTATCAATAGTCAGGCATAAACATTGTTCAAATGATGAACAAACTGTTAGTGATTATCTTTTTTACCATATGTACTGAATTTACTAATATGTAAGCTACGATCTTTCTGAAATTATGCTGTTGTACTATAGTATTCATTTTTAAAGTCTAAAGGTGAATCCAATGATCCAAACATATCACGTTACCCAACAATAGATGTTAGTATTACTTTGTAAATCCCTATCAACAATTAAGTTGGCTAAACAAAAACTGTTTTTTTATCAGACGTTTCTTTCCGAACTGTAACGCCTGACGTTTTCAGGAAATAAAAAAGTTCAAGCTAAAGGAACCAATTTCTGTAGAAATTAAACCATAGTCAAAGATATTAAAGGAAAGTATCTGACGCAAGAAGACTTGCATTTTTCATGATCGACGATCGCTTATAAGATATGAACATAAGATGCCCTGAAATAACATTTAGTAATAAATAACACCATATTATGTACTTTCAACAGTTTTGTTAAATATTTGTTGAGAAATTTTATCACACGGAGAGTTTCTGACAGATTTAGTAATTTTTTCAATAAAGACCATTGTACTAACATTAAAATAAACTAAACTTAGCCTCATCACTTAGGGAGGCAAATAATTTACATTACAGTACATGAAGTTTGTTTAGAAGTAACAAACATTTGTTATAGATTAAAATGGTAAAACTATTCTCAGTAGTTCACTGTATTTATACAGACAGTAGCTTTACTTTATCTTATTAGTTTATTCATACCTTGAAGTATCCTTCCACCATCCACTTCATATATCTGACAACGAACCAATTCTGCTCGACATCGAAACCATAAACTTAGAACATCTTGTTGGGTCACTTGCTTTTGAGTCATATTTGCTGAATGATTTGACGTTTTGCAGTTTTTAAAGTCATCTAAAATTATTTCGTCAAAAAGGACTATCAAAAGCAAGCAAGATCTTTGCGTTTATATCTTATAACATGTTAAGTTATAGCTCTCTTACATCACATATTAAAATAATGAACCGCAACCCAACATTATAAATTCGTGTAAACCAATCGTTATTGAAATAAAACGCACGAATGAAATATAAATCAAGCCTTTTTCTCAATTCCGCGTACACAGTAAACCTTGGTTAAACACCATGAAATGCAGGAATTATTAACTCAAGAAAAAATATATTGTCACTTCTATGATGGTTGTTATGTCCAATTTTACAGACTCCCATCCCTATCCTTTCTATCCAGTTCATAAAAATTTTGCCTTGACTAAGTTATCGCTATATTCCTTCTCTTTCTAAGAACATTCCATTCTCAAAATTTATCTCACCATGTAATGCAACCAATTCATTCACAGCTAATACTCTTTGTTTTAATGACATGTTTACTTAATATGCAAAACCCTCGCAATCAATATACTAGTCTCATAATTTTATTTGTCTTTTCTTCTCATCGCAATATCAGATAAATATCTGTACAATAAAAAAACACATCAACTAATTATCAATACAGAAGTAGTACATGATTTCTACTGTACTGCTCTGAAAGTAACTTCATTGAAATCTAGTCGCTTGGTAAATATTCATTATGTCACGCATCATTAAAGGTGTTTCTTTCATTTTCAACTTGATTTTTACATTTGACAATATACATTATCAATAAATGACGTTTAAACTTCGACTGACGAATTACATTTTAATTTTTTTACAAAATGCATTTTACAGTAAATTGTTATCCCATTTTATTGTTCTAAAGTACATGGTCAATGAAAATGGTTTCTATAAGGGATATAATAATGAAGAAAAAAATATATTCCAAAATTATATATTCAAGTATATTCAGCATGGATTTAATGAATGAACATCTTTTTGTCTATGTTAACTCATCGACAAATTTGACTTTCAAATTTCTGCATATTCAAAGATTAATCACAAATCTCTCAAATTCTTTTTTCCAAATCTTTATGTAAATTTATTCTATTTGTTTCATATTCAAAATTAAGATATACTTTACTTAAATAGTGTAATATCGACAAACACAAATAACAACACTTCAATAGCTGTGTTTAAGATACAGTGAATATGGAATAGAAACAATATTAAAATCACTCATAGAAGACATTTTGATTTGTGTTTTAATCATGTACTTTATCAAGTAACTATGTTTATATTTTGTTATTGTTTTCATTAACAACAACGAAAAACGAACAAACATAGAAACTTGACTAGGATACTTTGAATTCGACTCCCAAAATTCATATTATTTAGATAATTAATTAAATTAACTTTAGTTTCTTTCTTTTTTTTGCATCTTCACATAAAGACATTTTACATCAGCTTAATTCTTATAATTTACACTAAAAAAACTAGTTATTTTTAGTATTGTTTCCAATTTCAGGTCAAAAAGAAAAAGTGACAATGACCTAGAAATTTAAAACTTATTTTTCAGTGAAATATATAACTTATCTTGAAAAAGAAGAAAAGAGTAAAACAACAACAACAACAACAACATAGAAGTATGATTATTTAAATAATTTGAATGAATGAAAGATTATGGATATGTATCCATGCATTAACTAAGAGTTACTTACCGTATAAGAAAAATATATGGAAAATACACACACACACACAACAAAACCAGATTAAGTTAATGTTAAGTTTTGGAAAAATATACGTATAAATAGAATATTTTTGCTTTGTTTCAATAGTTGATCAAATATAATCGTTTTATAATCCTAAAAAAAATTATTAAACAAGAATGTTTATGGATAATTCTTCATTTATAAACACTAATTAGGAAGATATATCAGGATTTAAAGATGATGCTTCATCATTGATTGATATTTTGTTCATTAGTTGTCATGTAATAATAAAGTCACAGACTATTTGGTCTATTACTAATCTACATAATTGGACAATAACTGTAGTGAACAACAACATAAGTGAGGACAATCGAATGTATTCGAGCACATCTCACTAAAATCTGAGACCTATATAGTAAATAGTTAATTTGCAAAATATCAACCCATCGTATCAAACTTGACTGTTCATTTTGCAAATATCAGTCCATAGTCTCACATTTAATTGCTCATGCATTTTCATACCAAATGCTTTTCGTGCCCATTCTTTCACTTTCGATCTTCTATTGAAATACATTCAATGTTTGACCATCTTATATACTAATTATGTGGATATAAGTAGCTCACACAGCATAACTACTTAGTTCCTTTTCATAAATAAGTTTAATTTTTAAATATTTTATCAAAAACTACCGATGAGTAGTATCCAAATTCGTAGATCAGTTGGTAATCCGTTGAAATATTCTGTCATAGATTAAAAGTTACATTTTCATTTCTTAGACTAAAAAAACCATGGTTATTAGCATTTTAAAATCACTACAGTAATAATTAGTAACCAATTAATGAATAATATTCTTAAACCATATCATTACATTAAAAATTTATATATTTACAGACCAATATATTAATAGATTGTTTATCTAAAATAAATGCTCACTCATTAGCATTAATTTATTTTGAATATATTTTAAAATATAAGCCATCAACATTGAACCAGAGCGTGCTTGATGTTGTGATGTTAATAATTTAGCAAGCAGAATAGCAGCTTCAACGACTACCATAAGTACAGATTGATCTAAGGATGGATGATCTGAAATCAGAAAAACATAATCATTAAAATCATGTTTACGTTAATTTATAATGATAATTATTCAGTGTAAATAATTTTTTGTCATAAGAATCAACTACGTAGTACTGCCGCGAAATATGCAGAACATTGCACTATGGTCAATCGATTTTCCGAATCGGTTATGTTTTTTTACATATTTAGGTTATATGAGCCTACCTAAACTTTGACATACGCAATAAATGATTTCCTTGAATGTGTTCATCGTTTTAGACTAAATATGCGCTATATACGATGAACAGAGATGACCACCATGTAAATGAGTAGTATCTTCCGTGAGACACCAAAGTCTGATTCGTTCATATACTTTTCAATAGTGTTAGAAGTACTTCCGTATATTTGATCAGAATTCGGTTGTGTTTATGACTAGCTGTACTTATAAAAATTATCTGTTGACACATGGCTAAAATATTTTCAGGTCGTTGTGTTCACTTTATTACCATTTGCTAAAATGATGAAGTCTTTACAGTGAAGGTAGTAGTTGAAAATCAGTAATGTCTTCATGATTTTTTATTGCACCTTATATCAGAATAACTAACCTCGTATTACCTTCCAAGTATACATTACAAGAATAAGACTAAACTTTCAAAAAATACATAGTAGTACATAATCTACAATTTTTGAGAAGAACAATATGAGAACAGTGAGTTGGAGAAAGATGACAAGATGCAAGAATAATTTCTGAGTGGTTCTGACCTCGTGGAAATAGATTCATTAATGACACCAAGCCCGATATTGCAGGTTAATTGACGAATAACAGAACTATACAATAGCTAGTATTAAACATCTTAAAAATAAAACTACTACTTCATTGTGACAACAGTAATGTAAACGTTTATTAATAGCAGATTGAATACAATCTCTAAATTATGACGTTAATCCATCTTGAATTTAAGCCTCACTTCAACAAGACAAAAGTTTATATATTGAAAAATGATTTATAAAAGAGATAGAGATAAAAATAATGAATAAGCCAGACTATAATAAAATTTAAATGTTAAGCCATTTAACACAGAACAAGTTCATTCTTTCTAAACAAACAGAAAACGTTTTTCATACTCTAATAATCATGAAAACGTACAAACGACTCGACCTCACTATTATTTAACTGATTCTAAACACCATATAAAAGAACATAGTAAGTGTTATATATTAGTTTCTTAAATATCGATATAATTTCATTGTCGTACAATAATATAACCTAGCAATAGGTACCAATACCAATGTTGAACTTGAATGTTTCAAATAAATTGAGCATTCAGTAGAGAGTTAATAATAAACATTTTTTTTAATAGTCAAAGTCATGATTCGATCTAAGCTAGACCACCTTGGAAAACCTAGGAGCACTGGACGGCCGTTTTGTACTAGCATGAGACTCTTCAACAGTGCGCATCCACGGTCTCGCACTCGGGACTCGAACTCAGGACCTTCGATCTCACGCGCGTCCAGTTCTAGGTTTTTCCCAGTGGTCCAGCTTAGATCGACTCATGAATTCAACCATTATTGCATTACAATTTTCACAAATATACTTTTGCTATATTCCAATGAGTAGAAAACTTATACTTCTTTCCTTTTATGACTTAACAAAAGTCACTTCTTCAGGGTAAATAAATAGCCAATATTAAATTAATACAAGTTTAGATAGTACGAAGGAAACATTGCAAAATATTTGTAGTATTATCAAAATCATAATAAGTCTGAATATGTCAATTTCATTTTCTTCTTAGTCAATTTGAATTTGTATGACCTGTTATTGTATTAATTTATGTGTCAGAATGTGGTTATGAGAAATGTGCACATTTGTAAAACTGAAATAGTGGATTGAGATTGTGTGTGTATATGTGTGTAAAAATAATAAAAATAAGATGAAATGTGTTGTTTGTGGTAACTAAGCAATACACTATCTTATAATTAAAAATCAGTTACTAACGTGACAGATAATCTTCATTATTCATAAAGATAAAAAGTAATCAAAACCCAATTTCATTTTGGTGAATAAAAACAATGACATTAAGATGTGTTAATTAAACTTTCTTATTTCAAATAACATAAATCTAAAAAAAAGAGGAGTTAATTCAACTCAAAGAAATTAAATCATACAGTTTAAACCAAGAAACCTATGATAACAATTTTATAGGTATTAACATATCAATTTACACCCTTGATACCATTGTAAATTATATTATCTGTCATTAGCACTTACATAATTTTGTTTAACAGATGATTTTCATAGATGATTAACTTTTATTCAAAAGTATTTTTAAAGCCTTTATAGGAACTCCAAATAATAACACAATATATGATGCTTTATTATATAAAGACTGATTGTATGGTTCATGTCACTTTATGCTGTTGAAAAATGATATGCTGTATTCTAAATAAATATTAAAAGAACTCTAATACTTAGTAATTTTACGATCATTGTTGTTTTTCTATTTTAAAGGTTAACACTTGTATTGTGGTAAGGGTTACTTGTGTCCACATAAGTAGTATATAACAGTGGTCAGATATAGAATGTATTTTAGTAGAAGATTGATAAAAAAGAACGGGAACGGAACGCAATTGGTATGAAAATGCATGAACAATGAAATGTGAGACTATGGACTGATATTTGCAAAAGGAACAGTCAAGTTTGATACGATGGGTTGATATTTTGCAAATTAACTATTTACTATATAGGTCTCAGATTTTAGTGAGATGTGCTCGAATACATTCGATTGTCCTCACTCATGTTATTGTTCACTACAGTATTACTTCTTATACAATACTTTATTATTGAAGTATTTAAGTAACTAATTAACTTAAACAAATAGATTTAATCTGTATCCATCTTATTATTAATCCATTAACTTATTAGGCAATTTATCACCGCGTTCACAATTTTAATAACTGGATTAGTAGGTGTGTATAGCTAATTTTGTATTACCACTTATATATATATATATATATATATATATATATATATATATATATTACCAATTTTCATTATTTAATATTTTAAATTTAATAAACAAACATTCAAACAATGATAACGGTCACTCAACATAATTTTACCTATGATTTTGATGAAGTTTTGAGCGATAAAAGCTCCACGACCAAACCATCCAGCTCAAAGAACGAAACTCCATCAAAATCATCCACCTGAGCTACAAATCTTCACCATCTCAAAATCATTTTACTTAGAAACGTCTAGGTGACTTTATTACTTTCATGTTAAATACAAGGTGTATCTGAAGTTTTTATTTAATACTTAAACACTATGTAATAGTGAGATAATTTCACATATTTGAAATACATTGATGCATGTTAAGCTCAAAGGAATAATGCACTATAACTACATTTTTAAATATTTATTTATGCTATTAATTCTTATGTAATCTTATCAAACATGCAAACGTTGGAAATCTTAACAGGAATATTATTTGTTCATTGTTGTAGACCTTCACTTCTGTTAAGTTCACAGTTTTATATATTATGATAAAAATTACCATTTCAAACAGATCTTAGCGCTAGGACCAATTGAATCTATGTTTTATGGCCAATGTTTTCTAATCGTTCATAACACTAATACCATTTGTCAATCATCATACTGTAAATTAAACTCATAATAATAAGTTCATAACCAAGTCAAGATTATTAAATATTTAATATTAAATATTTAATATTCAACTCGTAGAAAAATAACTTCATTCTAATTTACGGATAACTTGAACGACACAAACATCATCAATGAAATTAAACAGTATTATGTAAATAAACCTTTGTAAACTAGTTAATCATTAAGCATAAATGAATAGTGGCTAGCAGTGGAATACAGGACGCGCGTTTTGTTTTGTTCGGGGCTTGACAGCTGAATTTGTCTGCATCACAGGTACGAAACGCGCGTCCTAGATTCCACTACTAGCCACTATCCATCTTTGCTTAAATAGCTTATGAATTAAGGCTATATCGAGGTAATCCGCACAGGATACACATATTTCAACATGAGATTGGTCAACTGCAGTCTTAAATGACAATGGAAAGACACAAATAAAACAACTCCAAGTGAATTTACTTAATCCTTTCTTTTGGAAGCTTTATTCTACTCAAGAATGAACAATATAATAATTTCCTTTATTGATAAACCTAAGTTTTCTCAAGTATTTAGAAGCACTCTTGATTTATATTTCCATGACTTATAAAATCTATTATCTAACTAATCAACAATATATAATGATTACTGAAAATAAATATGAATAACAATAACTAAGAATTTGATGTTATTCATACGTACAACAATTACCAATAATTTCTAATCCACTTTGAGCAACTCCCTTCGAAGTGTTCTGCAGTTCAGAAGAATATTATTCTTTCCTATCTATAAACACTTGAATAAAACACCATACAATAAAATTGGGCTCTTTTTTTCCACAAGATAGCAATTCATGAACATATTGTCGAATATCTTGTATGTTATTTGAGTTTAATGGAATAGTTTCAAGTAAACCATTAAATCATACATTATTGTTCTTTTATTATTATCGTATAACACATAACATTTTGTTGTTGATATTTTCAATTTAAAGAGAAACTATGATAGTAGTATATGCAAAGATGAATGTTGGTAAGCACTGGAATCCAGGACGCGCTTTTCATCCTATTAATCACTCGTCAACTGGATGTATCTGCATCTCATAGTTGATGTTCACTCTGGGACTCGAACCCAGTACCGTTTGTTTCAAACGCCATCGCGCACAGTAAGCAAATATGCCAATAAAAGTTTAATTAATTACAGTATTAAACATCAATGGAAAGATTCAAATAAACAATATCAAATGTCTTTTCAATTATAGTCATTAAAATAATGTATAAATAAACGACAAAAATACACTTACTTTCATTACAAATACTATTTATCATTAGTTGACAAACATCAGATCCATAATTAAAAAGTAATTGTTTTAGATAAGATTGAAAATTTGAATGATACACTGAATTTTGATTTTCCATTTCATACAATAAACGAACAATATTTTTTTCTACTATAAAATAAACCAAATTCTAATCAATACTGGCTAGATATTATTAATGCGATTAATTTAAACAAAATAATATTCTTCTGTCTAGTTGTTAAGACGAGAAAAAATAAACATTCATTTTACATTTTCTACAAGAAGAAAGTATCTAGGTCTTAAAATAGAAGAACATTTTCATGTCGACATTTTAACATACAATTTAAAAGATAAAATATATTCACTAATAAATAGTTTCAAATTGAGGTTATCCATTCGAGATTATGCATAGATTAACAGTAGATAAAAAAATCAATGGTGAGTAGATTTACTTTTTACTTTATTTACTTATACTTCTTACTCCTAATTGAGCGTAGACCGCCAACCAGCACTCTCGAACCCACTTACTTCTGGGCCTTCCTTTCTAGTTCTATCCAATTGCTGTTCGTTCTCTTCATGTCTTCTTCCATTTCTTGGCCTAATATGTCCTTTGGTCTACCTCTTCCCTTTGGCCTTGAGGATTCCATATGAGGTAGTTGCTAATAGTGTCTGGCCAACGAATCCGAAGTATTTCGCGTAAACAGCTGTGAATAAACATTTGTATCTTCTGGATGATGGCTTTCTTAGTTCTCCAAGTTTCCGCCCCATACATTAGAACCGTTTTGACAGTTGTATTGAAAATTCTGACTTTGGTATTGATTGACAGTTGGTTTGAATTCCAGATGTTCTTCCGTTGTAAATATGCTGCTCTTGCTTTGCCGATCCATGTCTTCACATCTGCATCAGATCCACCGTATTCATCAATGATGCTGCCAGGATATTTAAAGGTTTTTACATCGCCTGGAGCCCTTCTCGAGCTAATGTCAGTCCCAAGCTCGGATAAAGGAGAGTTGGGCATGGGGTTAGCGACCCTATTCCTTAGAAAACTGACTCGCTAATAAACGCTAACCAAAAAATTAACCAATTAAAATGTTGAATGAATTATTGTAAGTTAAATTAATAGAATAATCGTTTAATTGTTTAAGTCCATTATGATCCGGAATGTTAGAGTTACACACATGTTAACTACTTATTGATACTATGGATAGCTGATCCATTTAAATGATACACATTTCCTTGTTTACAACAATAGTGTAAGACTATGTTAACAAGTCAACTAAATCAAAATATTAAAAGCAAAACTAATGAATATACAAATTAAAGATTATCTGATTGTTAGATGATTTATATTTACTTCTAAATTGTTCGTAGAAAAAATAGTTGTGGAAATTTGAGAATTTTCATTTCAAAGATTGTACACAAATAGTAATAATGTCACAATAGTAAACAATTCGAAATACAAAAATAGTTTACACCTAGAATAAATAGATCGAATCTCAAATTAAAATTAATTACACTATCTAAACAGTCAATTTGAAATTGAGGATTATAAAACTATTAAGAAGTATATAAATTCTACATTTTCAAGATAGTCTCTCATAAAATTGAACCATTAATCAAAAAGATTTATTATTAATGATTCACTTCAAATGCATGTTTAAATTTCGATGAAGAAATACAGAACTGTTTTTTGAAGATAGTATGGGTCACTAAGTAATTTTGATTGTATAACCGTTGGAAGGTTAATTGAACTGATTAGACTTTTTTTGCCAAATTTGAAACTTCACAGTAGTATGCACTCACGTCCATAACTGAGAGCGAACTGTTGATATTATTTTTTTACTATTACATTACCTGAAAACTACTGAGACTCTATGACACATTTGAAACTGAAGAATCACCATGAACATTTTATGGTGAAGGTAATTTTTCATAGTTTTCACATATCATTTGTAAAATTGTATTTTAGTTATAGTCTGATTACCAAAATTTGTTTTTCACATCAATGTACATTCATAGTGTCAGAGCAGACATATTCACAATCTAATTTTTTAAGCAACAGTCAAATAGCTCAAAACCTCACAAAATGGTAACATATAGATTATTAATCTGAAACTAAAATTTTAGAAAAGCAAAATCTATTTAAATGGTTGAGATCACGAGTCAATCGAAGCTAGACCACCATGAAAAACCTGGATTCCACTTAAACGAACTATTGAATAAACATGTCAGTCAATCAACAAATAAACATGAATAAACTTCGATAGAACAATGAGAAGAATTAGTTGATCTGAAAAATTTGATATATTTGCGCTATATATTTCGAACAATCTGGTCACACATATACTTTAAATAAGAAAGATTAGTTCGACGAAGAGTTCTCTTTTTGGAGAATTCATTTTCAAAGCTGTACAATCGCAAATATATATACTTATTTCAACAGGATGATAGTAATACTGATAATAAACTTGTTATACATGGTGACAGTGAGGTTAAATAAACAAAGGTAAAAAAAATTTTAAACAAGGAAAATTTAATAATTGTTTGATTGTTAATGGCTTAAGTATTCATCAAATGATAGATAGGGAAATCATCATTGGGAAAGGATGGCTCAGCATGATAAACTAAAATGTTGAAACAGAGATGAAATGTAATCGGAATGGACGTGGAATTAAAGACAAATCGGTTGAGGGTAGAAGATTTGAAGGGAAGATGGAAGGTGAAGCAGGTGGCTGTAAAAGAACAAGAGTATGAAGAAAGAGAAAAATTTGTTAATACATTAAGACCATGGTAAAAGAAGAGGTTGTACCAGTCGCTTTTGCACACATAATTCTGGTTTTTCCAGATGTATGGCTATTGCTTCGGCAATACAAATAAGATGCAGTCTAATTGTTTTGGGGAGACTTCTACTTACCTTGTAGATGACTTTGAACGCAGAGTCTGTCTTGATTGAATGACCTGTGTTCACAAGGTGTTCGATTATAGAACTTCTTATTGAGTCATTGCCTCCTACTCTATCCAAAAGAATTCAAGAACATTATCCGGCGTGGCTAAAAAGAGGAGGCAACCGCTCAACAAGGAAAAACTCCAAGAACACAAATACTTGTCAGGTCATTTTCATATGAAAATTAATAAAGGTCAATTAAATCAAAGTTCAAGTAAAAAAGTAACAAAGAGGAGAGAAACAATTTTTACGTTGTATAGAAAGAATAAGAAATTGTCACATTATCCTAAGCCATAGAATGACTTATGGATTATCAAGGTAAAAACATGAATAAATTAAGTTTGATCTCATAGACGTGATAATAGTTTTTGATAAAATAATTCCAGTTTGTTTTAGTTTCTTCCAAGTTCACAATATTAATCAATAAAAATATTAAAAATAACAAAAAAATGTCATTAAATAAATACAAACAAACTAATGGTATATACTAATGAAATATTGTTTACCTTGGTTTTTAACTTTACGGCCACTAGATTTTGTGACCTGATTTCTATTAGGATTTGTAGATGATATTTGGTTTCTGTAATAATAATAATAAACAAGTTTACATTACTTACAAACTAAATAATTAATCAGGAAAAAAACAACTTTCAACTGTAGTCAACTGAAACAATTTTATAATTGAAATCATAATTTAATGTCATGTGTGTCAAGTCCTTCTTAGTGCAGATCGAATGCTATCGACAAAGTTGCAATGTGGCCACTAATCTAGGTGACTCAACATTGCGTGTACTATGTTGTGATTAGATGGTGGTTGAAGGTAGTCAACAGGAAACCTTGGACCCGGGTTTCGTGCCACTTGGCACTCGTCAGCAAGGTTTACCTGCAATCTTGAGGGAACTGATGCTCCCTGACGGATTCGATCCCGTGTCACATCTCAGTCCTACAGAGGGTCGGTCGCAGCCTGGATAGCCTAGTGGTAACGTCTGTGACTGTGATGCTGGGTGACACGGGGTCGAATCCGTCAGGGAGCACCAGTTCCCTCAAGATTACAGACACACCTTGCTGAATGAATACAGCATTTGTTGTTTAATTTTTAAATATTTTTATTGAATATTTGATCAGGAAATCAATACAAATGAATTGGTTAATATGCCTTTTTTCAAATATCTTAAAGTAATTTCACAGTACCATTAGTTAGATCTGCATTTGTTTATGTCAGTTTCTAACAAAATAAATTATGAATAACTTAATACTACTTATGTTATTTTCAACAACATGAAAAGCATGAGAAGAAGATTCGGTATGTAGTTGAACTTCTGAATTTTTCTCAGATTTCCTATATATTCTCTCCCTAACATAAATGTTAGTCCGTTTGTGAGAACAATTGAAATTAACCGTTACATTTTATAGTTGAAACTATCAAATATACAAAGAAGATTACTTAAGTAGTGTTATAGCTCGACCGATAAATTAAGAATTTGATGTTTACAAAATCTTTAAATGTAAGTTAGCATTATTTAGATTTCAATAGTTCATTACATTAATTCTGATTCATAAGCGAGAAAAATGAATCAACTACCAAGTGTATTTTTATGTATAAAAGTTAACGAAGTTCACTACATAACCAATATTTCCCACGTTCTATTGATGCCTTTAATTTATACAGTTAATTAACTATAGACAGCCTATTTCCTTTAATTTGCCTTATTCCGAACATTTTGTTTTAAAATCCAGTATTTATATAGTTAATTGTGCTATGATATATCTTACTCAATTATCATTTTCTTTGGTAAATAAGGTATAGATTTTGCGATTTCATAGCAAATTTCGGCGCGAACCAACTGTATTTCACAGAATAATATAGAACCCCATTTGTGAATTGTTTGTTTTGACAACTTGTTTGTTAGTAATATATTCAAACACTGTAAAATAAATATTCAAATAAGGGAGAATAATAATGAAGTAAGTTTTTTATTGACTGTTCGTATAATTTTAAATCAACTCTAGTTGTTAGAACCTTTCATTAAAAGTAAACAAACTGTTAATAAAGTAGAAAAAACGGGTACAAAAAAGTACCATGATAATGTCCTTTTAAATGCGTTACGTCTTCTGGGCCGTATGGTATAAATGTAGGATCGTCAAAATTGTTTAAGTTTGCACGATTAGCGCCTACACCAGTTAGAAGTAATGTTTCCCACAATTAATATACAAGCATTGAGTCAGTTCATTCTCTATACGCTGATAGTCGCTTGGTATTTTTATAGCATTCTTTCCATTATGTTTGCTTGTCTACTGTTAATTTCTCTTGATCATTGACCATGAAATTCATTAACTGTCTTACATGGATTATTACATCCAACTAGTATCATACTATTCTTGGAATGTATTTTGACCTAAATCCCATGACATCTCATAAATTTCCTAAAGATTTTCTAAACATGAACAATCTATTTATCTTAACTAAACAGTTATTCTTTACGTTAATTAAGATACGGAGACTGAATTAAGTCTCTTTTTTAAAAAAAGAATAATATTCTTGTCAACAATTAATTAAATAAGCTTTTAGAACTATTTTTTCAAAGCTATGAATTACCAATTACTTATCATAGATTATTTGTTAAACTTTATTTGATCATTAAAACATATTACAAAGAAAAGTATTTGAAGTTAATTATATTCATTGTATTAGTCTTTATAGGCTTCAATTTATAGTTTGCTCTATTACAATATTTTAATTAAACTCTAATAGATTATTATTAAATGTTCTATGAATTGATACAGATGTAACATAATTTAAAGCTGTATTATTAATACTAGAATAACTAAACAATATGTAATAAGAAAAATGTTTAATTCGTTGCCATAGCAACGGACCATTATTAAATAATATAACTTTATTGTTAACAGATAAAATAATTTAACTGAAACCTTTATATATTTATAATTAATCTGATTGACAGTTTCATTTATTGTTTTTATTATTATGGAAAGAAACAATGAAGCATGAAAAATTGATTGATTCATTTATTGTGCATTGTCCTTTTTTCTTTTCTTTTTGTCAATAAGTTAAGCAACTCTATTTCATAATTACATGATTGTTATAGTCATTAGTTAACAATACAAATTACCAGTGTGCATCATTTTAGCACTATTTTATAAAAAACAGAACACAGTAATATAGCAGAGGAATCGATTCGTTGTACGAATACACATTTATTATTCAGTAAAAAGTAGGATCTTATTAATCCCCAACATCGTAGTAAATGAATGAATGCGATTTTTATACTATTAGTATTCTAAATAATTGTAGACGGTTATGATAAATTTTAAATAATATAGAAGATATTATATTATAAGTCGTTTACATGAATAAACATAGAAATGAAGTTATGCAGAATGTAGGTGTGTGGAAGACAACCTTATTTTTTAAACAACAATAATGTGTATCTGCCAGATTAGTTGTTTTTTTAGAATGGGTAATATAGACCGCATAAAATAAGCTGATGATAAATATATCATAAAAGATTATTCTGCTCGGATGTTCAAAGCATTATATAATTCAATCAATGGTTAATTCTTATAACATTTCATAAATTCTGGTTATACTTATTCATCGCAATCGTTCTTTTCAAAATCATCTACATATTCAAAAGAATTGGTTCGAACGATGTGTAAATTAAAAAGTTACGCATAGCAGCAGATCCAACAATCCATCAAGTAAACCCATTATATATTTACAAAAACAACATGTTTAATCTCTCATTTAATCATGATCTTAAACTTTTTCTACTTTTCTTTCTTCTTTACACTGATTTTTGTTCAAAATTATTAAGTAGCTATATCTGCAACATTTTATCACTTTGTTCTTAAAATCCATCAAATGGACAATTATCATCCATCTATAAACTATCTTTATTCATACACTTTTGTAAACCATTGGATCATTACACAATATCCTTTCTACCCCAAGAGTTGTAGCAGGTATAAATAAGTGAGTAGTGGCCTTATACAAAATTTCGTATCCATTATTAAAGCATTTTTCCTAGGGAACTAATCAAACGGTTAGCACAATCCATTCAAAAGCAATAAAACACTTTTAAAGTAACCACAAGACATTAGTTTGCATTATATTATAATTTGCCTATAGCTTGATCTTATTTCAAAAGATGAAATACTGATAAATTATATTGTGTTCTATCATTATTGTAATTTCTATCCACATAACAAATTGTATGATAAACCTTTTAAACTAATTCAAAACATATTTCTTTTAAATAAAAGATATACGTCACTTTTTGACATTTCTAGATCAAAAGTTCAAATATAAATACTTAGAGTTTACAAAAAAGCATCATACTAAACCAAAATGGTAAGTGAAAAATGTTCAACTATAAACTTTTGTAATGAGAAAATTAGTATTAATCAATGTTCTATTTGTTGTGTACTTTGGTATATATATGTCTTATTAAACGTGTATTACTTACGATAAATAATCAGAAGAAAAAGGTGTCTTTGGTTTAGATTTTTGTATACTTTAGTAGTATTTTGATTATATGACTATATTGATCATTAATGAAAAACGGTTAAATAACTGTATTCAAAGTTTTGGTCAAATAAAATCCAATCCGAAATGAATTAGAACTTGGATAAAATTATTTGTAACGTACAATACTGAAGGTGATACTTCTCATAGCTGCATAGATTCCAAACATCAAACCGTTGTTTGAATAGGACTTTGACTGATGCTTAAAGTCACGAGCTTTTCTTAGTAACTTTACTATCAAGAATGCTATGATGATAGATTAGTTCCGTTCGGCAAATGAAACATAATGACGCAATCAGGTGCTTTTCAATGAATTAAATGATGATATAGAACCTTATTTCTGCTACAAATGGCAGTCGAACATATGTCATTTATCTGAACATTCAATTTACCTTGAGTTACATACATGCTCTATGTACAACAATATGGTTAACAGTGGTGCAAAACAAAGATAGTATGACTAATTTTCTTCTGAGCGCTGAATAAAATCTGGGGGTTTTAATGAAAATATACCTCATGCTTTAAACGACCTATGAATATTATTTGGAATATTCAGCCAACGAAAATCGATTATTTTACTGTCAGTTATTTAAAATCGTCACAGATATAATGTCGGCTTTAGTGGCTGCATCCAACCTATTGTGGTGCTATATATATATACATCTTGACAAAATGGTGGACATAACTGCAAACGGACAATTTAAGAAAATATACATTTATTTTTCAGGTGGTTTGAAGAGCTATAGGTCAAGTTGCCAACATTCCCATCGTTTCTGTCAGCAAAATAACAAACGGTACTAAAATTCAGTTAACTTTGTGCAAATTACTAATTAAGAAAAACTTATTACTTATTTTGATATAAACCCGGAAATACATTTGTTACAACATATTTATCTGTAGGAAACGAAACAAACATTATAAAAGAAACGTGTTAGAGAATACGGTCAACATAATGAAGTTTAATAACCATAATAATTAAAGGTAAATTTTTCTCGGTTATTAACTCTATTGATAGGTTCTGAAGAATGGAACGACTTCGATTAAAAAGCTGTGGTCAGGATATCACTATAATCATAGTCAACACATAATTAGTTCATAGTAAATATCTCTAATTCAGTAATTGTAACAGTTTCTTAGTGTATTTTCTCTCAAATATATTTGATCATTTTTTCTTCACGTATAAAATATTACAGTTTATTTAATGAAATTATACAAAATACTATAATGGTTCAAGAAGTGAACTACTTTCTTTGGTTTCAGTTACTATGTCGTTATATTCACATTTAACTTTTATGTTACTCGGTAAGAAAAAATAAAACGTTTTGAAAAGCAAAACACATTATGAACATGCTCTTTTCGGTTCGAAATGGCCAACATTTTTTTGAATGATTCGAATAAACTTTAATTATGAATACAAGTTTAATTTTTCTTTAATTGTTCATATCAACTATCGAAATTAAATCTTGAATCTTTGTGATCATACCAAATACTTTATTGTTACTCCCAGTTATTAAATTGAATAAATTTCAATAAACAATAAAGTTGCACATGAACAAAACACACTAAATTTTTTGTTTCAAAAATAGTTTTTATCTTCATCTTAATAATTCAAGTCCTTATAACTATGTAAACAAGCTTTTTAAGCAAAGATGGATAGTGGCCATCAGTAGAATCCAGGAAGCACATTTCGTCCTATTTGGGACTCGTCAACCGGATATACCTACATCCCAGAGTTTATGTTCACTCCGGGACTCGAACTCACTACCTTTCGCTTCAAACGCCATCGCGTTACCCACTTAACTACTGAGTCCTAGTTGAAACTGACCAATAGCAGTCTTAAATAACAATAGGAAGATACAAATCAAACAACACCAAATGAATTTATACAAACAAGGTTTACAATTTTATTTTAATACACACTGCTGATTGGATTGAATCTAGATCACACAATATATATTTAATCCATGGGCGTCAGTGTTTGTATGTACCAGAAAAATTTATTTATTTCTTTTTATTCATTATTCGAAAAAGAAGCATATGTTAACTTATCTGCTGATAATGGCTAATACCATTATTTATGTAAATAAAAACAAATTACATTATGAAATACCAAACTCATTTTTATTATATAATTTCATGATAAACTAAGAAGAATATAAAATACTGTGATAAACAAAACAAAAAAGTTGGAAATGGAATATTCGTTTGAAAGAATAATTTCATACCTAAATTCTAAGGAATGAATCATTAGTAATTAGTCTTGATTGTTATGATAATATCAGGTATGGCTACAAAGAAAAATATTACTTTCATGTTAAATTAATCAAGCTCTATAAATCCATAAACGACTAGTAATACATGGTGGAGAAGATTTGTAGCTCAGAGAACAAAACTCCATCAAGATTAGTAATACAAGAATGAAATTTTTTCTAAAACAAAATAATTCACTAAAACTTATGAAGTAAACAAACGTTTAGATATTTTGTAATTCTGTTGAAAGTAAATATCCTGATTTACAATGCAGATGAATTATTAAAATAAACTGAATACATTTTTACATTTGGTAAAAAGAACCGATCGAGCAAAGAATATACTTTCCAATTATTTTTCGATCATGGCTCTACATTAATATATGTATATATATATATTCATTTACAACAACGAAATAATAGTCATCAAGTAGTTGCGTTACATAATAAACATATAATGATACATTAATTATATAATAATATTAAGTAATTGGAAGAAAGAGGATTACAATCATGAAAGTAATTTAATAGTTGAATTCATGAGTTAGTTAAAGCTAGACAACCATGGAAAACTTTGAAGCATTGGACGGCCGTTACGTACTAGTATAGGACTCCTCAGCAATGCGCATCCATGATACCCCCTCACTGTTCAGTTCTTCCAGATTTTCCATGGTAGTCCAGCCTAAATTGACTCATAAATTCAACTATTAAATTACTACGATATCCACAAAAACCCTTCTCTAATTATGATCATCATGTGCTCACTGATGACGGTCTCCAAGAAGTATTTCCTGTAGTTTTAGTTTGAAGCCGTGACCGGTGGAGTTCAACCAGGTCTGTTGTGATATACAAACTCATTGATGTCAATGGTGGACGGAGGCGCAACTTCCTAGATTGATAGAAGTTAGATTTTAACACCCTTGAATGCCGGCTCAGTGGTCTAGTGGTTAGGCGCCTGGCGCGAGACTGATAGATCCTGGCTTCGAATTTCGCGAGGCGGGATCGTGCATGCGCACTGCTGAAGAGCCTTACAATAGGACGAAACGGCCATTCAGTATTTCTAGGTTTTCCATGGTAGTCTAGCTTCAACTGACACGTGAATTCAGCTTTTAACTTAATATAATGTCCACAAAAACCCTTCTTTGATTGTAATCAAATTAAATATTGGAAAATATTTTTGTAGTTATATAAGAACCAAGGGACGAATATTTAAAATTATGTAAAATAGAAAGTGGAAGATATTTAAAAAATTAATTATTTTTGAATGAAAGGGTTTAATGAGAGTTCGGTTCAAACCTCGCTTCCATAACGAAGGTCATGGTAGCGAGAGTGGTTGTACACACTTCTTTCAGATGCAAAGGTTAGGTTAGCAAACATTGATTCCAATAGCTTTAGAAATGTGCTAAAGACGAACTCACAAACCAAGAGGGATGGCGTTCTGCTATGTGATGACAGATTTGCCGAACTGTACGCCATATATAACTGGCTACATAATAGCAGTTGAATTAGTAAATATGCATGTATGTGACTAATTCAGTTAGTGTGTCTTTGTTGACGGTTTTTATTATAGGTAGGTTATTTGAAACGGCATCCAATTTGGCTATAGTGAATGTTTTCTGTATCGCTTTTCTTAACCATTAATTCGCAACTTCTTCGGTAGCATCACTTAAGAATTGTAATTTTCAGAACATAAATTTCTTCCGAACGGTAGATAAACATGATATTTTCTTCATCTTATTCATCTCTTCGTTAGTAGATTTAGTCGGGTATCCATTGCTATTAAGCACGTTAAGAATATTACTCAATCCATCTGCAATGGTGTCATCAGAATAAATCATTCTACCGCGAAGTGTCAGAATCTTTCCCAATTTTTTCTTATGTCTGACTGGTACAGAACTATGAAAATGAGTATAATGTCCAACTGTCGACTTTCTACTCATCCCTCTTTTTAATGTCCCATCTGTAATGATGGAACACCCAGGTAGAAAGAGCAATTTATTATTTAATGCATAATGGTTTAGTAAAATGTGAAAATCATACATCATTCGCACATCTTTGAATTGTCTCTTACAGGATTCATTGTTCCTTCATTCCTGTCGTCATATTGATTGCTATCAGCTTCATTTTCTTTTTTCTTCATTTCAATCTCCTCAACCTTCTGCTCAAAGACATTCCGCTTCCAAATGGTGTTGCATATTACCTAAATACTCAAACATAAGTAGCCAAAGCCACACGTTTACTCTTCCTGTTAGTATGATATCTGGAAACGATATGCTATCTTTTTCATGGTCTTTTTTCTAATACTATGAAAGTGTCATCTATATAGTTCTAGTAAGGTATTACATGACTGATCATTTCTTTACATTTACCTAAGTGATCTTGTTACTTTATTTTTTAGGTACCTTCAGCTCTTGAACACTATGAAATTTGTAAATAAATAGAATGTTAAAAAATCGAAGAAGTAGCATTATAATCAAGTAGATGTAACTGACTGAACAAGAAAACAAAAATTAAATTCTGCACAAGCTTGTTTTCAAGTAAGCTTTTCAAATAGAAATAACCTAATCAATGTAGGATCCATAATTCACTATCCTGAGAGGATACACAAAAGAAGAGTTTATCACCTTAGATGATATATGATGATATACACCATTTAATTTCTGGCAATTTTAATCAGCAGTAAATTCTAAAAAAATCCAGTGAGTATTTAACAAAACAAAACTCACTTCTTGCATTTTGATATCGTCGAAATTTATCAAGGAAATATGACAATCATGTGTATCATTGATGCTGGATTGTTCTTGTAAAATAGCACATAATTCAAATAGAGATTGTTTTAATGCACCGATGCCAATAAGACATTGTATTTGGAATAATTTTGCTTTAAATTCAAGTTGTATATTTTTTAATAGATTTTTACCAATGTAGTAGAATAGGTAGATAACTGGAAATGCCTTTAAAATAAATTTATCAATCATTATTGTACTATGATTGTAAAACTATACACATTTTAATCACAGACTTAGAATCATTCAACTTAATTTCATTTGTTATCGTGAAATGGTAAAAGATCTGTGAACTAGTCATCTTTGCCACTTGATAAACATATTTCCTACTTATCATCTTATGATGCATAAAAATGCAAAGAAAGAAGTGAACACATGGGATTATTTGTTGTATATTAAGTTGGGTTTTCTTTAGCTGTACGTCGTTGTATATCGTAAGTGATATAGAATGTTATACATACGAAATTTATTGTATTTGTGGTCAGTTTCTTTAATTACTCACATAATACAAGGTTAAATAGGGTTAAATTATGTTAAATACTGACAATGTTGTAGTATTCATTGTAAATCTATTACTCTTAATTGGAGATCTACTTGTGCTTATTAGTGTAGACAATAAATTACTCATATTTACGCGAACAGTTAAACATACTTTGATCTTCATTACAGGCTCTAGCACATTTTTAATGATACACATGTTGTTGACTGAGTAATGAGCAACTGAAAACTGTTATTTTTTATGATCAAATTCAATATATCTCTTGAGTAGTACTTAGTATCATCAATGCGTTATAGTTAGTGACAAGAAATTAAATATTGTAAATGTTGGATAACTGAAAATATCCAATCTACATTTTAAAAAAGTACATTTTACTTAGAAACACCTCTGAGCATAAGTTCAGTTACTTTAAAATCTGATTTTGAATTGTAAGGATATATCAAATGAATATTCTTCATAAAACCTCATATGTATCAACAAATAACGGTTGATTAACCTTACTTATTCCCTAATTTTCTCAAGATAAATTGAAGATGCATCTTTACAGTAGAGATATTATGAACTTAATGAATGAATGAATGAATGAAAGTAATCACAATAATGTTTATCATTATCAGGTGACAACGGTCATGATAAGATATTATCAATGAAATAAATTACATATAATCCACATGTTTAATATTTATTGGTTGGTTTAAATAATAAGTTATAATATGATCCTGACTATAAAATTACCCTTGGAATTTTATAGCTTAATAGTTTACGTGCAGAAAATTGCCACGAAATCTTTCTTCTTTAATCTAAAAATCATCAAAATTGTTTGTTGCTCTTTTCTAATTTATGGCGAGACTATAATTTATGGACGAACCAATCAGATATAAGACAATGAGTCAGGAATTTGGGCGCGGAATTCATCCATACCTTTGGCTAAATAGAGTTTTGACATTACATCTGATGTCAGTTCGTGATGAAGACCTTAAATCTAATTTTTAATCCTAACCATCAACTGTAAGTGGGAATTCTAACTGCTTTATAACCCTCATTTAGTCCTAATTAGTAGTTGTTCACTCTCAAAGTCACTTCAGCATCGCTCAATGGTTGTCCATAAATTATAGTCTCACGTAATTTATTTATAGTGTATGAAGATTGAAATAAAAAAGACAGAAAACCAAATATTTACGTGAAAAACTCATCACTACCCAAGAGAAATAAAGAGAATAAATTTCCGAAGTTTACTTATGCGAGAAACAAAGTATTAGAGTGACAACAAGAATTTCAGAAAAAAATAGAACTAATTGTTTTTAAAATAAGTAATATATTGTCATTTTCGAATGATTCTTCCATAAATCATCGTAGGAATTAACTAAATCGTCTGACTGATCATTTCACTGTAAAAGATTTACTTAATATTCAGAATTATAACAAACATGTGAATGCTTACAAATGATCACAAAGTTGTTCGTAGCAAACTTATGTGTTTAACTAATTCTGAACTAAAAATAAAACTACTCGTCTACCTCTACAAAATAAATGAAAATAAATTTAGGTGGCTAAAAGAAATGTGCTTCGTTATACCTCATCATTTTGTAAACATAACATGGATTTTTAAGTGATGGTGTTAACAGAAACTATTGCCAACTTCCTTTTCCATTTGATACTCTTGGACCTAACTGCATTTATTCTAATAAAAGCAAATAGATTCCGAGAAAATAAAAGTCACTACTAAACATCAAATCAAAACGTTCAGGCCTTATTAGATAGTTTAAACGCAACGTTACAGACTATCGTCTCATAGATATGCACAACAATCATCACCTAATAAATAATTAGAAATAAGGTCTCAGTAGACTAATCATGATACAATCATTCAACTGTTTCAACTAGTCATTGAATTAAACAAAACTTTTTCCCCTAGAACATCAAACGTATTGTAAAACCTTTGATTGTAAATACCAGACTGTCGATATACACCTATTTAACAAATGTCTAAAGAAGTTCGTAAATATCATTGATCAGTATCTTACTTCAGTAAACTGTTCATGAGTTATTAGATAATTCAATGTATTGTTCAATACATCAACAACATTGTTTAGATCAAAACAATAATTAGTAAAAATCTCATCCAGTTTCAAAATTCTCAAGGATTCAGTTGAAATAGAATTGCCATAATAATCAATATCTTTTCTTGCACATGACAAACTACCATGTAGCATTGACTGTAAAGATAAAATAAAGAAATAAATGTACAATATTGACAATTAGCTTAATATACTAGTTCTTAGGTTTAGAAATTTCCTAAAACAATGTTAATAGTTTAGATACTTTCATACTGAAGTTTCATTACTACAACTAAAATGTTTTGCCCTTTGATTTTTTCACTGAAAAATAAGTTTGTCACCATGGCAAATAACGAAGCGTTGTACTGATCAGATATTTTGTTACGTATAATAATTTTACTATAGTCCTATTAATTTTATCTATTATAAAGAGTGCTGCTTTCCACTCAAGTCATATAATAACATATTTTAACACATGTAGAACGTGTTTGTAATCAAAATATAACCTTATATCAGATCATAAAGTAATTAAACGCTAGGTAGCATTTGTTTAATTCTGGTTTGTGACTTCTCAGTAGTGAACACGTGCAAGTTTGCAAAAGATTGACCGCAGAAATTACTGGCAGATTGCTTCATGGCCAGTTTAGAAAACAACCAACTCAAAAGGATTATAGAAAACCTCCACTTGTATAAAAGGTATGTGGATGATATCTTCATCATTTGTGACAACAAATGTAACTTAAGTGATCTAGAGACATTTAATAATTGTCACACTTGAGGTTGAAAGCAAACAAAATATTCACTTCCTTGATGTAGATATGACAAGAAAACAAGATGGTTCTTTAAAAAATCTGTCTACAGAAAACCCATGTGGAATGGCCAACTATCACATTTCCACAGTTGAGTTCCCATCAGCCGAAAAAGAAACTTAATAATAACTCTCGCCACAAGAATACGAAGAATCTGTAGCCCCGAGGTCGTAGAGGAAGAATTGAGCCTTTTAAAAGAGATACTTATCAAAAACGGATATCCTTCTATATTCATTGATAAGAACATGAAGCCAAAAATGCCAAAACCACAAACAATTACAGTAGAAAAGAAAATTTTATACATGAACATCGATTTCAAAGGTGATAGAGCCGCATATATCTTAAAGAGGAGAATTTCGGATTCTTTAAAAAGAACGTTCTTCGAAGCAACATTGCGGATATTATTCTCCAGCCGATCACTGTTCACCAATAATCTGAAAGATAAATTATCGTATCTGACCAACTCAATGTGCATTTACCAATTTACCTGCTCTTGTGGAGCTAGGTATATAGGTCGTTCGATGCGTATTTTATCCAAAAGAATTGAAGAACATTGTCTGGTGTGGCTAAAAAGGGGAGAAAACGGCTCAATAAGAAGTTTTATAATCGAACACCTTGTGAACACAGATCACTCAATCAAGACAGACTCTGCGTTCAAAGTCATCTACAAGGTAAGTAGAAGTCTCCCCAAAACAATTAGACTGCATCTTATTTGTATTGCCGAAGCAATAGCCATACATCTGGAAAAACCAGAATTATGTGTGCAAAAGCGACTGGTACAACCTCTTCTTCTACCATGGTCTTAACGTATTAACAAATTTTTCTCTTTCTTCATACTCTTGTTCTTTTACAGCCACCTGCTTCACCTTCCATCTTCCCTTCAAATCTTCTACCCCCAACCGATCTGTTTTTATTTCCACGTTCATTCCGATCACATTTCATCTCTGTTTCAACATTTTAGTTTATCATGCTGAGCCATCCTTTCCCAATGAATACTCCAGCCATTAACAATCAAACGATTATTAAATTTTCCTTGTTTAAAGAAATTTTTAATACCTTTGTTTATTTAACCTCACTGTCACCATGTGTAACAGAAGTTTATTATCAGTATTATTATCACCCTGTAAAAATGAGTACATATATTTGCGATTGTACAGCTTTGAAAATGAATTCTCCAAAAAGAGAACTCTTCGCTGAACTAATCTTTCTTTCTTATTTGTGTTTGTGACAAATGCTATTAAATTAGCGGCTAATAGTCTATATTTTCAGGTTCAATCTCGACTATAGAAAATCAATGAAAAAGTATCACAATTTATTTATCTAGGTTGGAAAATCTAGAACTCACCTTGAATAACGTTGCACAGATCATTTGACTTTTGTATACTTGATCATTTGAAATAAGCGAATACCTAAGTAAACGTACTAATTATTACATAAAATATTAACTAACTTGCACAATAATCCCATTACTAATGCACCAAGCAAACAACCAGATATACCATATCTTTGAATAATTCTAAATGAATATCTCTTCATAACATTCTCCAAATCACAATTGTTTAGCATACGATCAAAGTTGTCAAGTGTATTTTTTTGTTCAAATAAGATATCCATGATTAATAAAGCTTGATGTTTAGCCCGTCTATTAAAAATGTTAATATAATGGTTCAAAAAAAATGTATTCAACCCTTACTTTATCTGATCAACTATTAAATAGAATCTTAATAATTCGAAGTGAATTATCATTTCCTGTAAAGTATTGTTGTACGGTGTTAATAATTCTAAATTTAAAAATCAGTTAATTAGGATATTTGAATAAATTTAATTCTAATTACCCAAAGCTTCATTATAGAATTTTATTGTATGATGAATTAGATTTTCGTAAGTTTTTCTTTCTAAACCTTCTTTTGAATTTATAACAAACAAAACTTTTCGTTCCCACGGAGATACATCATTTTGCAAATCAACCAATTTCTGAATGTAATAAAAATAAAATATTTGCCTGGTTACAATTATACAATCTTTACAAAAAAAAACGAAACTGAGTATACACTAACTGTAGATATCAGAAGGATTTTTGTGGAGATTTTAGAAATTTCACTGATTGAAATCATGAGTCAACTGAAGCTAGACCATCATGGAAAACCTGGAAGCATTGGACAGCCGTTTCGTCCTAGCATGGGACTCCTCAGCAGTGCGCATCCACGATCCCGCACTCTGCGAGATTCGAACCCAGGACCTATCAATCTCGCACCAGGCGCTTAACCAAATAGAACACTGAGCCGGCATCCAACGGCGCACTGCCGAGAAGTCCCATACTAGGATGGAACGGCCGTTCAGTGCTTCCAGGTTTTCCATGGTGGTCTAGCTTCAATTGACTCATGATTTCAATCAAATAACTGTAAATACTATTAATCCAGTTTATTTTTATACTAAAAAATTAGAAAACATGTTGATAAGAATATTCTATATGAAGGGTACATTAAAGTTTATTCCACTAAAATCTTTACAGCATAAGGAATTCAATCTAGAAAGTGGAAAGCATGTATAATTATGAAGGAAGATATATATGTGTGAAATTAAACATTAGAATTCGACACATTTTTTCTCATTCAGCTTTACATATTTACTCAACAAACTGTGGAATACAGAATCCTGAACATTTTTTAAATGAATTCATGTAACATTGTCTATTGTGCATGCATGTATCAATATAATCATAAACAAGTGTGTAATTTTTCCGGTACCATATATATTTATCGTTGCAATGTGGGTAGATGTTATAAAATTAAATGACTGATATTCATGGAAAGAACAAAACTCAAAAAGTTACCGAATCAGTATACAATAGAAAAGGACTTTGACCATAAGACAAGCGTGTATAATAGACTGCATATTTATTGAACATAGTGATAACACTTCAGAAATCCTCTTTATAAATTTACATATTAGTACATATCGAATTCTGAAATTACTAATTGCAATAATCTTTTTGAAGAACACTTTTTACTATTAAAAGACAATTTCTTATTCTGTTAAAATCCTGTTAAACAAATTAGATTCATGTTCGGATGTTTTATTTAAAAAAAGGAATGGCTTGTCTCTCAAGTTTTACGAAATTTATCGAATTCATAGACAGTTACAGGATAAATTTCAAGGTCATTCTATAACATACGAAGGCAAGTTATTTCATGATCATAGCAGACAGTGTACGATAAGTAGAATAGTCTAATACTGTGTTCTTTAACCATTAATTAAAACAACATAGATGACAGTGATGTCATCCGTTTTTTTGGCGAACTAAAGACTACGTTACTAAACTCATCTACACAATTCACATTTATCAGTTAAACTTTTAGTAGATAAAAACGAATAGAATTATTCGCATCCAGTTGTTGATTTAAAACTTTCATTCTTACCATAACATAGCTGCAGTCATAATTGGTGTTTAATTGTGTTTCATTAATTTCTTTCGTTGAAAGTGAATGTAGTAGATAAATGACAAGGGACTGGTACAATCTTGCTTGATCCATTTTATTCATAATTCCAGAATAATGCAAGCATTCTGCTTCTTTTAATTCATCTTCTATGATTTTTGAGTTTAGAGGTAAGAATATATTACATAATGCAATTTCTTCTTCTGACAGTGATTTCGTCTATGAAATATGCAAAAGGAGATAAATGTTTCAAGAAATACTTTCTAATTATTTCCAATGTCCTAAAACAAGCAACTTTTATCGACTGCGAATTTACCGTAGGACAAACTTGGTAAAAGAAAACAACTTCATATGAAATTCTTATTATAAACAAACAGTACTATAGTATCACATCTGAATATGATCGCCTGGATCAATACAATGTTGGTTACCGGTAAAATGTAGCAGTATAACGGACATTGTAGTGATACCTTTTTCATGGTTTATTTAAAACAACTAAGAAGAAGCCATTCGTTCTTGAATATTGTTTCATTCTGATGTGAGCTCCATTATTTTGCATTTAGAGTCACTTACTGTGTGAATATTTAAAATTAATTCACCTTCTAAACGGCTACCAAAACCTACACTATCAAATGCGCTCATAGATATGATGCTCAATAAATACAATTTAGCTAATCGATTTCCCTATTGTGTAAACAAACATTTCATTATTCGTAAACACAAGCTAAAAAAGTTAAAATACTTTAATGTAACAAAGAAATTAGTATATTAGCTATAATGATTAAAATATTAAAGTATTATCCATAGTCCACTGTTGAAAGCTCTACAGATGAACTTAAGTTCATTTAATATTCTTCCCTCTTACTTTTAGTGGACAAGTAGACTAATACTTTTAATTCCGAAATTCATTTTCATCAATTTTATCAAAATATTCTCATTACATCAATTGCAATTATCCAGTCTATCTTTTTTGTACCTTGACTATAAAACTGTTATTCAATTTAAGATATCTGAGAAACTTAATTTTCTGTACAGAAGCTGATCAAAGGTGTGAAATAAGAATAACATCAACTTAACTCATTGTGGGGAAGTAACAAATCAAATGTTTGGATTTCAAGGTTATAACATTGTCAGATGGTCGCTGATACACAGACCCTTTCTAATTTTATCAGTCAGTCAGCTACAATGTAGGACCAGGCACATATATGCATCAGTTCAAGTTTCCATATCGCATTAGCACAGCAAGATGAAAACCGGATTCATAAAAGTAGTTAGTTCAGAGGTGGTAATATATAAAAGAAAGATTGCATATAAGGATATAGTACAGGAAGAAAGAATTAATTCGTAGTTTGAAAAAAATATGAAATTACTTTAATCTCTTAGTTTGAGGGAAGACATAGAGTGAATACACTGACGCCATTGTGATCGATTCTGAGCCATGTCACCAAGAGTCTCCAACCATTGGTTACGATGGTCACACGGACCCCAACGAACATGGCTCAGACTACAAGTTAGTGACTTCAAGCACTGATGCCACGCTTTGGTTTGGCCGCCCCTAACTTTCTTCCAACCATTCCCAACACTAGTCAGCATTGCGCGTCGTAGTAATCGGTGATTGGGCATACGTAACACGTGACCCAAACATCTCAGTCGATGAAGATTCACAACCTCATCAAATGATTTACCATCATTCCTTAATACTCTGCGTCTAACCTCACTATTACTTACTCGATGATCCCAGCAGATGCAAGAACTATTTTGCGTTTTGCAGCCGTAAAGTAGATAGACAGATATCTCGCCTTCGCAATAGGTGACGTAAGTTGGAAAAAGCCAAACGAGCTATTCGAATCCTAATTTTATATAGATTATTGAACCAAAATCTACTTTGTTATTCTAGATACTAAAATATCTATCCACCTAAATAATGTGATATAATAATCTTGTGATAAGCATCAAAAATTAATAAAATTACAGTATTCTACCATCTTAGTTTACTATTTTTATCGGAATAATATAAATGGGTAATAATGTCCTAGACATAAATTGAAATAATGACAAATCATGTTGAATTAAAAGTATGTTATTAATTTGTACACAATAGGAACGATTCAAACCTCTATTTGTTTTGATATATCGGATAAAGTAAAATAAGGTAAAGTAAGTAACGAATGAAAAGAAAACAAAAACAAATACAAAAAAATGTACTCGAACTTATCAATCTTATTATCAATATTTATTTATAGAATCTTTAGAAATCCTGTATTCTATTATTATTAATATCGTTCTAATCAGTCATTTATTTTCATTTCACTATATTATCATAGAAGTTTGTCAATAAAAACAAAAAAATCTGGTCACGAATGTCCACAAAGAAGGTTGCATACTCCACTTTTTGTGTTGTTTACTTTTATATTCAACAAACAATATTATTATCTATTGACTGATATTATAATAAACTGATGGATATTACTGATGTGGAATATGAGTATGATAAGCTATAGATGTATGATTATACATAAAACAAAGGCAATTTTACCAACAACACCTCAAACAGTATATATATATATATATATATATATATATATATATATATATCGCCATCATGCATATTCTATTCACAAAGATTACAACAAAATCGAATAAACAAATAGATATACACTCTAAATGAATGAATGAATGAATGAATGAATATGATATAAGGTACTGCTTGAGTTTATTTATACAGAATAACTGGCAAATATTTGGTTGTTGTTGTTATTATTATTATTGTTATCACTGTTGATATATTTAACGCCCATATGGACTGTTACAGTTAGTTTTGTTTACTAAACAAAGACAAAGTAAATATAAATATCTATGTATACTAAGCTGAAATAAACAATATTAAAAAACAAAAATTGAATAACAACAATAATAATAAACCAAACAATAGTACGGCAGTAAAAACAATAGCAAATGATTATTACAGATGTAAGTGACGAAATAAAAGATAGTGAGAAGTTGATTGTTAAAACATTCTTAAAATGTCTTTTAATGATTATATCACTTTGAAAAATTGAAACATATATGACAATCAATGGTTGTCAGACTATATCGTGAATCAGTTGAAATATGTACAACTGGAAGCCAACATAGTGCTCTAATGGTTCAATTGAAAGACTTTTTAGTTTCGCTTTTTGTCTTTGGTAGTGTTTGATATTTGTACTTCTGAGGATTCGCATGCTTTTATAAAACAATTCTCCAATCCTCCGTAGTTTTTAGAGGTAACCCAAATGAGACCAGTCTGTGATGAATACTGCCCACAAATTAAACTGGTTTAAATGATGTCTTTAAATCAAACCTACTTCAGGTTATAACGATTTTTGTGACATTTCGGAAAAGCAAACAAAAAATTTCGTTGTTCAAATACATGAATATTGGTAAATTTCAAAGGTAAGTACATGCCTAGCTGCATAGAACTAACTGCATATTGGATGTTAGATTACTATATTATTAAAGTAAATTGAGTCTTAATGACAAGTTAAAAGAATGGCAGTTTTTACAACAAACACTTAGGCTAATATAACTAAGAATCTAATGATAATAATTAAGTTCCTTTATTTATCTGGAAACTCCCACTTCCAAATACGTTAACCGTCTACAGTTTTTTTTAAATTTTTAAATCAACGAATCAACTTTAATGAAATATACTTAATAGTTTGGCTACAAGCGGAACAATCGTTGAAAAGAATCGATAAACAGTTGAATATAAGAAACCATTCTATTGATGTTTATTTGCAGTATTTTAGGGTTTGAGGATATAATGTCACTAAAAATACTTTAGATCTAAATTTACATATAACATTTTGCTTATTCACTTCTTCAGCTGCAAACTTCAGAGTATATTTGGTTGAAACGTTGTAAAAACTATAATAAAACATTGAATATTCATGATTTTTTAGCCAACTTACGTTTGAAATTAATTGGTCATCCTTTAAATGGCTTTGTGGTATAAGCCATCCGCTCATGCGTACTTTAGGCTGTACAGGTTTTACTCCTTCACTTTCCTGTTGTGAAAAATTAATCCAAATAATGTTGGGCTTTTGAATGGTATCAGTTACAGTGTCTTTTGTCCACGGAAAAGTACCTTGTTTAAACGTTTTACATTGATTTATTAATTCCAAGAATTGATTAGATTTTAGTGAAATACCAAATGTATCTGATTTGAGATTATTGAAAAAGTTATGGTTTTCTAAAGTAAAAGCTTCTTCTGATTTTGGCTAAAAATAAATATGTAATAAGTGTATACATTACCTCTGAAGTTTCGCAAATAGTATTTTTTTTATTATCGTGAACTAAGCATAGAAAACAATATAAAAACCATCCTGTTTATCGTTTACACTTTCGCAAAATTTGTTCTAATTATCTGATCCTAAACAAATTTACCTTCATAATGATGGTCACCATTATATACTACAATTTTTATGAATAAACAAAAGATTTTCTTATTATTATTTAATGGTTAAGATCATGATTCAGTTGAAGCTAGACCACCATGGAAAACCTGGAAGCACTGGACGTGGATGGTCGTGGATGCGCACTGCTGAGGAGTCCCACAATAGGACGAAACGGCCGTCCAGTGCTTCCAGGTTTTCCATGGTGAACTAGCTTCAACTGGCCCATGATCTTCACCACTGAAATTACTACAATCTCCACAAAACCCATCTGATATTATTATTCAGTTCAATATGATTCATTTACTTATTTGGAAACTAATTGACAAACTGATATATGCCAGGTATTTTGTTCGTAAGTGATAGTCCACAGATTTCATGATATTATAGAAAGATGTAAATAAAGTATGTAACGTCATGTTATTTTATGAATAAAGGCAACAGGTTTCACATATTTCACAACAAGTTGTGCGCAAAAATAGAACAATGAATCAGTAGTTAAGTGTTAATCATTCAAACTAATCAGAATGTTTGACTCAACAGAATAAAAATCTGAACATCATAACTTGATTGGTAGACTTCGATCAAGACTAAAAAAGACTTGACGTCTGCAACATTAGTCATTGCTCAGATATCCATCAGTCATAAGGATATCTGAAACCTGCGGAAAGTCAAATGCATTCCGAAGATATCTGTGGTAAGATTTGAAACCGTGACGTTGAATGATACGAGATCGGATTAACTGTGGTAAACGTGGCTGATATGTGTCAAATAGTACAAAACCTAGGCCCAAGATTTCTTGTCCGTTACCTTTAATTACTTGACAATACAACATTTTAAACTATTATTTCTTAGGCAAAAGCCATTAAAGATACTGAAATTCGTTGTACAACTGTTTTCAACAGAATGATAATTTTCATTAGGTTTCCATTTGTTCGCGCAAAAATTAGCTGTTAAAAGTTCTAATGACTTACCTGATTATGTAAGTAAACTAATTTCGAATCTAGTTGTCCAGACACATTTAAGCAAGTCTTCAGGTGACGTAGAGGTTAGATACATAGAAATTATCACTTTTTTGAATAACTTTTACAACATATGCATGAAAAAAATCATCTACATCCTGTTTTTTTTCAGAGCACTGTGTTTAAATGACGTATGAGTTCCGACATACCTAATTGTAAAAAGCAAGTCTATCTTACTGACAAAATATTACCATTGGTTACGTCAGCCTTATCATATCCACTAGTTAAAAAGAGTAAAAAATGATTTAAATTAGTTTGTTCATTATTAAATCCAAAATAAAATCAGCCTAAAACTATCTAATCATTATTTTACTAAATTGAATAGTCATTTACACCACAAGACCATATCAGTTGTTTATTCACAAGTTAAACATATGAATTATTCGAGTAAGAAGTGCTTGCAGGTAGTCATTCAGTTATTCTTAATCTAATAGGCTATTGAAAATCGAATCCATCAAGAGGGGATGGAGTTTACAATCATAAATTTTCAAGATGAAACTAAACCTACACTTCACAGTTTAATTTTAGTCAAACAAGCTAACATACATGAAACTTAATTGTAACTAGATATCGTCACTTCATTTTAATTTCATGCTCATTAAGTCGAGCATACTTTTCTTAAACAGTTTGTTTAATGAAATTATACAACTGATATCACCACTGCGAATCTTTAGTAATCAATATTTTCAGACGGCTGTTTCAACATAGATTGACAGTTCTTATCACGGTGAACTCAGGACCCTACATATAACCAAACCCATGTTCTTCTAGCCCCGTGGAAAGCACAAAACTATCAAAAATTTCAATAAAGATCCCATTATTCATTTTTCAAAGTTCAGTCGATTCGCGGTATGATACAATGATTGTTTTATTTATTCAGCAAATTTTTAGCTCGAAATTTAGTTGTTCATACTAGTAATTAAGATTTATCTTGAATTTGATCAGTTTTAAACACATGACTGTTGTTTACTTGAGTGATACTTGGTAAAGTACTTACAACGAAAGCACATCTAGTCATAAACTGATTAAGTTTGTTTTTTCCAATGTTGGAGTAACTCCGTATAACCAACTGTCATTTAACTGTTCTGAATTAAACCATTTATTTCAACTATTAACTTGATTCATAAATTTCAAAAAATGCATTTTGTTATAATTTGTATAAGCAAACTGGAGAGAAATTCAATTTTTTTCTAATTACCTGTATAAAATTGTAGTGATACAAAGCTGAATATAATTGTATTTGTGAACGATTAACAAGTTTACCGAAATCTGCATTCAATTGTTCTATATTATTCATATCATTAATAGTAGTATTCGTAGTTTTCTGTTTCTTTAATCGTTTCATTATTTGATTTTGTCCAAATATAATAAAAGGTAAAATACCTGGTGCCCAATGTTTCCTAATTAAATTTTATAAAATAAATGTTTACAAAAATGTGTCTAATGTTATAAACCTAAAATAATACAATCATTAAGTAAATTATTTATCAGAACTATGTGATGATATATTAACGTAATACATTTCGAACAATCTGATCGCAGATATATTTCAATAGTTGAAATCATGAGTCAACTGAAACTAGACCACCATGGAAAACCTGGAAGCACTAGACGGCCGTGTCATCCTAGTATGGAACTCCTCAGCAAGACGAAACAGCCGTCTAGTACTTCCAGGTTTCCCATCGTGGTCTAGCTTCAATTGATCCACCATTCCAACTAATGAAATTTCTAAAATCTCCACAAAACCCCTACAGAGATATTTTTTAAGAACATTTCTATATAGAAATAAATGGCCAGGTAGACTGGAAATGAAGTATAAGGAAACATTTCCAATCTAGTTGACGCTTCATTTTTATACAGAGATTTTCTTAACAAGTATATGTGTGATCAGATTGTTCGAAATGTATTGCGCTAATATATATCACATAGTTCTGTTCATCTTCCTTTTCTTAATACACTATCGTAATGTATCAAATGAACTAAATACTTCAAAGTATTTACACTATTCACTTTAGTATAGAATATAAACCAGTTATCTTCGTAATTGTAGGTAGAAATCAATACTGTATTCCATTATTGCTAAATAATATTTTCCTAATATCCTAATTTTATAACTAAGCATTTTTGTATATTTGATCAACTTGAGTTTGATATAATTGCTTTTCACTTTATGAAATAATATATAAAACAAAAGCTTATAATATTCGAATATTCTATAATATAATCTCTTAAATTGGTTTAAGTGTATTGTTTACGATGTTCTATATTTGGGTTATTAATCCTTAAGCCCTTAATGTTCATATTGTTTTGTGTGTGTGTTTTTGCCTATTAGTAAATTGGATTTCATTTTTGTTTTTTTGTTTTTTTTACTTTATAGAAAACAGGATACTCTATTATTCAACTTTACGTAATCAAATTCTTTACCAAATTTATATAAAAAAAAGAAACAAAACAAAACAGAGAAAAATAAAGCGATTTTCTTAAAATTCTTATAAACAAGTTATTTGAAAAACAATATAAGTAACCACAATAATAAAGTTAAGAAAGGAAGTGTTTTTCTTTGATTAAAACCAATACTGTAGTGTAAACAATTTCAGTTTGTTTTCATTTTAAGCTCTTTTTATTTCATCCTTCAATTATTTAAAAGCCACACACCATATTAAGGCAATTCTCTTTTATTTTTTTTTTATTATTTCTTATTCAAGTTGTTACTTTATTACAAAAAAGATTTTAAGAAAATCAAAAAGGAAGTGGTAAGTGGATTCAGTCATATAGACCTATTTCATTACCTTCCACACAAAAAAAGGATCGAATTGTTTATTATTTACTTTTGTGACATATTTTTTACAGGAAAAAAACAAACAGCCCCCACCCTAAGTGAATAATTGAAATACTATCCACTTTCTAGTTAGAAATAATATTTCTCTTTTACTCATTTTAATACACATTGATTATAAAATCTTATACATAATAATGCATCGAATTTAAGATTCTCGTCAGTATTATGATGGGTTTATTCATTGTAAATTGTCAAACTTTATTTTCGTTTAAAAGTGACAAAAAAGAAATAAAAATAAACACCATCTCACATTATTTCCTTGAAAAAGCTTAAACCAGATTATCAGGCGAAATGTTGGATTTACTTCAAAATTTCCCTGACATTTTTTTCCTGACATTGTATACAACAATTTAGATTATTTTACAGATATATTAATCTTACTAAATACTTTTCGCTATGGTTTGACATCCTATTCATAATATTGAATGAGAAGCAATGTATAATGATTAGATAATAATAGTTTTGTAACCTTGGTATACTTATTTGCGTAGCTTCATTTGACACACTGAACATGGTTTCCTACATTGAATTTATGAACTACATTAAAATAACCAGATAGTCAGATTTATTCACTGAGAAGAAGGTGAAAGTTGATAATTATGCCTACTGATCACGATTTAAAGTGTTTGATTTTTAGTAAACATGTTAAAACAGAAACTATGTACTTATATTTCTGTTGTCTACACAAGGAATAGTACTTAGACAATATATCGCTTACTTGAGCGAACGATAATCTATAATATCTACAGGATAATATTCATATATTTGCAACGAATAAACAATTTCCTTGCAAGTCCATTTCCAGGTAATTTGCCTTGTGTATACATAAAACGTTTGCTTAGATAAATTATAAAGCTTTATATAACTAATATATTCCACAAAGACTATTTAACAAATTGTTTCATTTTCAACATATGTAAGTATATTAAACATTTCTATCGTGAAAATTAGAACAACACCTAAGTGAACAATATTGTTTTCAACTAAATCACTATCCGGCTTTACTCTAATACAAATGAATATGAATATGAGTATATGAAAATAATTAAACCAGTTAAGGCAATTTATCCGTCAATAAAACGTATGAATGAATGCAAAAGTATACATAGTAGGTAAAAAGTACGACTTTATAGTAAGAAGATAGGTGTACTAGTACTGATAAGAACAATAAAAATAAAAATTTCTAATCAATATTTCAATAACAGGAAGTAGATCAAACTTTGAAACTTTGAAATATTGAAGTTACGTACTAAGGTATGTGTAAATAATCAGATAGTGACGAACGTAAACAGAAAGATGTGAAGGACGACAGACAATTATAGCATGTTAAGAAATTGGCAAAGTGATTTGTCGAGTCATATCCCGGAATAAAAGGCACAAAGGACTCACGAATTTGTTCTGGACATATAAACTAGGGTTATAGGTTCGGATTACCATAGCCCCCGCTGTATTTAGGAGACAGGGTCGAATCACATTGGGAAACGGAAAATGTATACAATAGATCACTGGGAATTATTTGATTCTAATTATCATATAACTACTGTTGACCAGGAGTGGAAAGGTAAAGCTATGAATTATCTTTGTTTGGCCATTTCAAACCAATTGAGAAAATGTTCACCTATTAGTTAGTTAAGCTGTCCGGTATTATCCCCATTACAGCTAACTCTTCATAAATAAACAGCTGAATATGTTTATACAAACATAAGAGGCCAACTCGGATACTGGTCTTATAGAAAATGCCGATTCTGGATTAGTTGCGTAAAATTTCCTGTTAATCGGCCTCGCTAATCTATTAGATTGCATTTTATTTATTTATTCATTTATTTATTATTAATGGCTTTATTCAATATTATATTTTGGTACAATATAGAATTCTCAGCACAGGGTATTTCAACAAGTTACTTACGCAACAACAAAAAAACACAGTAACAAATACAAAAAAAATGTTTTTAAAAAAACCCGAAAAACTGTACAACTTTTAAAATTAGAGACATGTTAAGAATGCAGGTTATTGACTAGGTTAACTCTAACAACATGTTCGTCACAGAGTATATTTGCTACGTAAGGTGTGCAGTTTTGCATTCATTCATACATTTTATTGATAGATAAGTTGCCTTAACTGGTTTAAATATTTTCATTACTCATATTCATATTCATTTGTATTAGAGTAAAGCCTGATGGCAATTTAATTAAAAACGATATTGTTCACTTATATGTATTGTCCCACTGATTTTAATATATCATTATTCTGACTGGCTGAATCAATCATAAATTTAAAGCCACCCTCGTTTAGTATCAATAATTTCCAACAAAATATAATTTGGTACGTACTACATAATTATTTGATCAACATGAAATGTTACATTACCATAAGTGTATTAAAGTAATCATTTCAGTTATTGTATATTTTAAAAATTCAGAGACAAGTAGTCGGTATAATTACTAAAGGATTCCACGAGTAGAATCGTGGACGAGCATTGCTAAGAAGTCCCATCATAGGACGAAACAGCCGTCAAGTGCTTCCAGGTTTTCAATAGTGATCTGACATCAATCGATTCATGATCTCAATCAAATTACTATAGTATTGAATAAGTTGACCACAAATAACTGAATTCATATTTGAACAAAAACATTCCAACGTTTTGTTTTATTTTCTTTATGTTAAAAATAATTACTACTTACCCCAATGTACCTACTGCTTTTAACCCTAAATAAGTCAGATATTCCCATTTAGATGCACGACATATTATCTCTAATGCTTTCAATATAAAACAATGTAACCAATTCCAGTCTATATCAAATTGATTATTCATTATTTCTGATCGCCAAATCTTTCCCGATTGTTCATTTAACCAATCATTCTAAAAGAATTTTTTTTTGAAAATCAATAAAATAAAACAATTTTAACAAAATGTAAAAAAATAAAAATTTTTTTTCTTTTACAATATGTATAATCAGTACATAATTATTTAAAGATAAAAATAAACTGGTCACGTTGAAATGGAGCAGATGTTAAATGTATTAAAATAACTTTATATAGAAGAGAGAACAAAACTGCATTTTAGGTTATCTTTCCCCCCCCTCTCATTAGTTCAACTTTATTATTTTTAATAAATAAAAAAAACAAATCAGCGAATTAATTTCTTTTTGCCTAAAATCATTTATTAAACCTTTTTTTCTTCATTTTTACCCCGCCTTCCCCTCCTCAAACTAAATATAACTGACAGTAGTTTAAAATAATTTATAAAAAGAGAGGTAAGTAAATTTTAAAACCAAAAAAATTTTTGTGTGATTTCAAATTAATTACTAAGAGCACGCAGTAAAACCGTATGGTTTAAAATGTTCATACATATAATGTTACAAAAGGTTGGTGATTCCAAATGAAATATGAGGTTTCATTGTAACATGATAATAAGTAGGACATTTGATTGTCTTTTTATATGACTAATAATTTAGATAGATAAAGATTTAAAATTAATCAAGTCACTGGTAGTTGAAATCCTTTTTTGTTTTTTATTTATGATTTAATGTAACCACCAAGTTAAACAACAAAATGAATAACAAACAAACTGTAATTCTATAAATTAATCATATCTTTATAGTTGGCAACTGAGTTCATTTGAATTTAATGTGATCACGAAGTAAAAATCAATGCCATATTTGTCTTCTTTATAATAATAATAAATAAGCAGTTTTCAGGATTACAGACTTATCTGTTATTATGAAACCTAGTTTTATGGCTTTCTACTGATGTGTTTCAGCTAGTTAACATCAAATATGATACACGTTAATATAGTGTCTCATTGGCTAACGATAGCATTGTGACGCAAATGATTATATTTGGTCAATACTAAAGGCTAGAAAAACTCCGCCTGGAGCCCCTCTGACACTAATACCGATCCTAAGCCTGGAAAAATGAGGAGAGTTGGGTATGGGGTGAGCAACTCCATCCCGTAGAAAACTAGCTCGCTAAAAAAACTCTAAGAACGTCAAGGGCTAGAAAAGCATGGTTACTACTTAAATATGAAGCAAAATGCATCGTTTTCGTTCACACACAATAACTCTTCGAAGGTCTTTTTTTCAGTCTAAGTACTAATGTGGTAACATCTTCAAATGTAAAACGCAAGTATTATTTGGAATCTTATAGAGAAACCAGTTCCTTAGATATTGTGGATACGCCCAGATAATGAATACCAGTCAGCATTAAACGTGAATTCAGGATCTCATGACGATCTAATAAAAGAGATATAAAAAAAAGATATTTTAAAATTCCTCCTTCATGAATGAATACTATCAATCTTCATAAACTTATGCAGCAACCTACATTGAAGTTGCCTCTAGATTTCTGGTTTGTCATCTAAAACTTCACCAGAATAAAAAATCACTATTTAATGAAGTACAAATTAAGACATATATTCAGTCATGAGTGTAGTTCGTAAACGTTATTAAGGAAGTGTAAATCATTCAAATGTTCCCCATATTAATGTTTTTATATCATTATCAATTCTTTACATCTATCGTCTTTCATTAACATTCTACTCTTATTTATCCAAACAAGTTTGACATTTTAGCGATAATTCCATATTATCAAAAACAAAGTAATGTGTATGTATATAAATTTGGCACATCACTTATCATTTTAATGGGTCAATAAAAATGAAACTCATTTTTAAAAAATGAAGTATATCACTTCTTGTGTAAAAGTCAGTATGTCGTTTTATTCTCTATTATCATATTTGTTATTGTCTTCACTCTTACATTTCTAATGTATATAATGGGTCACAGTATTTAATAGAACACTTTGCGTTTGCGTGATACATCTAGTTTTAGTATGTTTTATGACAAGTTTAATTTCATAAAGAACCCAGAAGGAAATAAATAAACTAATGGCGTTAAAAATAAAATCTTACGTTTTCTTTTGTATATTTCTTGTATAAAATTCGATATCGGCAAGTCAGACTATTCTTTATCAACTTTAGGACATGGAGAAATGGATTATCCTAAATGGATTATCATAACGATTTTAAAGAGATTCATAAACGTTTACTATTAAAGGTCGCTTTTACTAAATTTGTAGTAAAATTTATGGCACTTCCATGTCTTTTGGTAACGTTGTGTAAACATTGCCTTCAAGGTATGATTAATGTAACACAGTGAATGTATATATATAGTTAGCCTAGGATCTATGTAATCAGGTAATTTACCTTGACAGACACATGAAATGATGATACTACACAAAATAAGAAATAATGGGCTTTTAGCATGGAATATTATAACTTACATCATATCTTGACTTTGTTTCTGTGATTTCATCATGATCCAGTGAGGATTCAAATAAATCTAAGATATTATCAGTAGACATAAACCAACAAGACCATGCAATGTTGGCTAATGCTCTACGATTTGTACATTGCTTTAAGTAATTCATAATTTCCGAAAGTGAGCTATTACGTGCTTGTGTTTGGATTGAGTTTTTCTCTCCGTCTGTATTTATTCCTTTACGTGAATTTTTGTTAGTTATTTTGATGTTTGCTTCTAACTTTACATCTGTTTCTCTGCGTATTTTTGCTTCATTGCACCATATTGATAGTTTACACAACAGTGAACTTAATAATGATGTTGCATTCCAACAGAATTTTGCAGCATTATACACTTTTGGCCAACATTTAGCTCGATATCCAAGATTTGTTGATCTTTTTATAAAATCAAAGATTTTTTCAATGTTGTCTGGTAACTTTAGAACAGATTGAGTGTCAATAAAATCTAAAAAAAAATGATTAAATGAACGATAATTTTATGTAGCAAATCACTTAGATGGTATTTCATATAATTACCGGTTTTCTAAGAAGGTAGTTTATTTAACCTAATAACTAAAAATCTGCAATTGCTTATTCATTGTCAATCTAATTGAGCATTCTAATCACTTTTAGTATAATCAACTTTCTATTAATAATTAATGTAATCATCAAGTCTAAATGATTTAACAAATTAAATATACGTTTATATTCACATTTGGTTGTAATGGTAACAGTAAATAAATATTCATTTATTTTCTTTGTGTAAAAATATTTATATGATATAATGATACTATTACTTAATGGGTAAAGTAGACAACAAAAACAAATTATTAGTCGTTAAGGCCCTATTAAACTCGTCTAATCACATGATCACCAGATTAGGTAATTTAAAATGGCTGTTCAGTTACCTTGATGTTTGATGGTTAGAATTAGTCAATAACAAACTTGGAACCTAAATTTTCATGCTGGCTAGTATCCATAAACTAGGCATATCTCCATTATACAGCATCAATATCAAGTTTGTCTTGTGAATTCTCTAACAACACCGTATTCTTCTGTGCTGTTCTATTTATGTTATGCTCGTGTTTAAATTGTTCAGGATAATCATTTCCGTTTTTGTAACCTTCTGCTTTACTTTTCCATTATCCAACTTCTTTCCAAGTCACAATTTTTGCCAGCAAATTATGTTGCATGGTTTTGAGTTTTACCCATATCAAGATAAAACTAAGAGTATATATGTCACTAACCAAATTATAGAAGTCATTTAGAAAATGATCAGATAAATTTTCTATCTCTGTTCTATCGACGTATTAAAAGGAATTCTCTACTTAACAGTCAGAAACATGTGTGAAAGTATTCTTTTTCTTCTTTTTTTTTCGTTTCAAACCTAATCAGTTGTTGAATCTACTTAGTTTATATTATATTCTTCTGTTCGTTTAGCTGATGAAAGATTACTCTGATGGACTAATTCTCCTACCCATTTTATTTTATTTGCTTCAACATCTTCAAAACTCGATATAATTCTTCTCAGAATTTGTCTTCACTATTAAATTACATTGAAAAGAGTTTATTAGTAGTAAATTTCTAACATGTTATGTTACAGCACATCTGCGGTTTAACGAAACTGATCACCGAGATCCAACTATCTTTAACTTGTTTTTCAATCCACATTTATTGGTCACCATGGATATGTACAAGTGTACAGTAATCGCAGTTATTGACTGAAAGGAACCTTGGGCATAAGATCATACGATTGAAACAGAATTGATATTTTCGATCAACTAACTAGGGATTTTGCGAGCGAACAGGTAGCCAGTAATTTATTCACAAAGAAAGACTCAATTTAATATTTGACTTGAGTGAACATGTCTTTATCAGTATGAACCTCTCAGACAAAATGACTAAAATTAGATTAGTCAGATAAATCGTACCAGTTTCTATCGGTGTGAATAAAAGCAGTAAATCCCCTGGTTTTGGATCAGAATAAAACTATATACTGTTAGGTTATTCGATTTGTTGATTACCTTCATTTATTTCGTCTTCATTTTCCATAACTGGACACTGATTTTTATCGTTTTTTTCATAACTATTGGTATCATATAGATGTTCCTGAACAAATGAACCCAAATAATTGAATATAGCTTGGGATGCTTTATAAGCTGTTAAAAGTAGAAAAGATATTGCATTAATTATTCAGTCAGTGATTACTACAAATGTTCTTATTTCTTAAGTAATCTTTTAGATAATGAGTTTATGTTAGGACAATTAACTGACAATTAGATAAGTAAAACTCCGTCGATGAACTGCAGCTACTCAGTTTTTCTTCTACTTAATCAAATATTTCAATACATATCAGAATCGAGATAAGTCAATTCAGACAAACAAGTAGATCTCGTTACATAATCATCCCTAATGTGATTACTTATGACTATCCATAGACTGTTAGCATATATCAAATAGGCACTTGAACGAATAACAATAATCAAAATTATTACTGTACAGTTTAAATGTTCCACTTTCCGTATTCCCATGATATTTTAAGCATCAAATTAAACATCGATCATTTTACGGCTAAAATGTATACCAAAAATCAAAATAACTTATTTCACTGTCACTTAGGAAAAAACTCAAACAAGTGATTTTTTTTACAAAACATGTCAGACATTTCTAAAATATAAAATACATAACCATTATATAACATTAGAAAATAATTTGTTCGAAAATTGCAATCAGCGTTCATATTACTTATTTTTGTATTAAGCTGAAGACATATATGTTTAGTAAGAGATGTACTTTGACTAAGGAATATTTTATGTTCCGCTAACGTTCGTTCTTAATATGAGTTCTGATTTGTATTTCGTAAGTTACACCTTAAGATGAGGGTGAGTTGACATAAACATTTTTAACTCTTGGATTTATAAGAAAAATGTGCATTTCCTTTAAAGTTAGGCATTTTAGGCAAATCTTTTCTAAAATATAAGTTAATATGCAGCTTGTATTTTCAATCATAATTAGAGAAGAACTCATTTTCGTTTCAACCTTGTTTTAATAAATGGTTTCAGTCACTTGTAATCCATTTGTTGAGCAGTAACACAGATGAAGTAATAATTCAAAAGCGTATTTGTGTGGATTAACTGGCAGCAAAACAGTTCAATTTCAGAAGCATTTTCAATAAATTCTAATTGTCCTTTCACCACATACGTTTGAACATGCGGCGCAACAACTGATGAACTCATATTTTTGTTGTTCGGATGGGTAAAAGATCATGCACTCTTTCGCTTCATGACTTCAGTATATCCTTGAATCTCTAAATGCCTCTTGAACTTCGATTTCACTTATTTATAAACAGCTGATCAGTAGTGCGATGATATTCAAGCATTTCAAATTAATACACTGTGAGAGACCGATCGACCAAATAAGTCCACAACAATAATAAATATACTCAGAATTCTCAAGTTTATAACTAAGCCAATCAAATAATGACATGTTCCAAGGACGAATAACTCTCATTCACTAACCTCCTATGTAATAAGAAAAAATGGACACAAAAACTATTCATAGCACTTATAAAACAGCACATAATAATGAGCATCTCATCCTCGTTAGCCACGTGTTCGACGAACGTATCATACCAACCAATGCAATCGATAATCATTAATGATCTTGCCACCCAATTTGCCGTGTTTACTTGCTACCCTAGGTCTTATCACAATATTGGTCAACCAGTGAAGCAAAAATACACGAGCAACACTTAGAAGACAAATATAGGCGGAGACTGATGATTTAAGAATGTCTTCGGCTTTTAAAGATGATGTTTCAGAGGCATATTGTATACGTTGATGGAAATCTACACAGTATACTTCCAAAAAAAAACAATTCAGAGCGACAGACGTTGGTCCAGATATCTCCATGCAGCAGGCCGTCAAGACTGATGAGATATCCATGATAAGTGTAGTAGTTGATGAGCTAAACAATCAAACTGTTTTGGCGTTATTGCAGAGGAGTATTAGGGAAATGTTTTGAATTAATGGAGCGAAAAATATGTTACGAGAAATGCTTCTGTCTTTACTTAAGGTGATCGGAAGACTTCATTTTGTTAGCGACTTCATCAAACAGCAGTGTATCATTTAAATACACAAAGTCAATAAGTGCATAGGGCCAGCAAAATGTACCAAAGTTTTAGCTAAATCATCCATTATGTTGCATCGTTTCTATGTTGAAAATTGAATCACCAAACGTTAAACAGTTTGCCGAAGATTGTTAAGGTTGGGTGGAATTAACAAAGATTAACCATCTGAACCCCATGAAATTACTCATACAGTGGTGCACGTATGTAATCTGTCCATTTTATTCAACTACGATAATTTAATAAAATTCTAATTACTTGACTCAGTCATCAAAGAATCCGCTTAACCTGTTAGTAACATGAGAATAAACCAGGTTAGGTATTAAATTGTACCGAGAGGTGAGTAACACAGAATCTCAACCAAATTATCATTCAACTTGAATATGATCTACATTGGAAGACCGACAAATAGGTGTTAAATTTTATTGAATGTATGACTAATCCAGCCGACATTTAGAGGTTATAAGGTCATCATAGTTCAATGATACAGGTCTCCTCTAAAACTGCGATGAGATGAATTTTTTAATACTGGCATCGACGACAACGTTGGTGTAATAATTGAGTAGTAGCGCCCATAAATAATAGAAGTTTGGAACAAATATTTTCATACATACACGAACAAAAGTGACCAGAGCATTTTAAATTCTTTGTCGGTATTTACTTTAACGTCTGTCTCATAACTTAAATATTTAATTTTTAATTTTGTTGTGACTGAGTAATACATGAACTGATCTGAGAAATGATGGACCTTCTGTAGCTGGTCATCAAGAAAGTTGATGGTGGCTGCACTGGTAACTTGACTACTGATGTTGCCAGATATAAGTAGTATGTATCATCAATAAAAAGTGAAATGCCTGGCGGCAGAAGGTTAATAAGATCAAAGAAAATAGAACGAGGACAAAGAATGATTGATGTGGAAACGAAATAACAATGAAGTCTGAGACGATTGACTGATATTTGCAAAAGGAATGGTCAAGTTTGAGACAATTGATTGACGTTTTGCAAATTAAGTGTTTACTGTATGGCTCTTAGATTTTACTATGTTGTTCTGCAATTCCGTATTCAAATAAATTCGTCCACTACACTGATATTGAAGTATGTGCTAGCATAGAAAGTTCTAGAGGAGTTGTAGTGACCTACTTCTATCAAGAGAACGTTATTGATGTAATGGAAACAATTATTATTATAACCAATTATACCAGTGGTTGTTTTACCATGCTTGTTTGTTTAACTGTACCAAAACATACATTCTTCCGTTGGTTGTGACCTTGCACGAATTCGGTTACGCTCAGTAACCCCACTTGTAGCCTGGCACGATCTCGGTATTCTTTCGATACAAGATCGCCAACGAATACATCGCTACTACAGCCATCAACTGCCTTCTGATATTTGGCTTATGGGGGATATTATCGGTTAACTGGCACGTAGTCTTCCTGTAGTGGTGATCATAGTCAACCGCGACTCGACGCCACACTACAGAGTACTGAAGGAGTCCGACATCTGATTACGAAACACGGAAAAATAAAGCCAAATAACAACACACACCTGTCACAACAGCCTGTTTGATTGGAAAGTCTTTGATAAACTCCCTTCCTGAGCCCCAGAAGTAAGACTATACTTAACGCAAGCATACAAAGAAACAGCTTGACTTTGTGGAATATTACTGTACGTTGGTTGCTAGAGCTAGACAACCCTGACCAAAATTCAAATAAGTGCATTAATTTGAAAAGGCTGGAACATTTATTAGTACCATCTCACTAAATAACTGTTCCAGAATACAGATCAAAATGTTGGTAAAAATAGATAAGAGAACTGAATAAGTGACGAACCCTGACCATGTTTACTTTTGAAAGCAATTTTGGATTTGGAAGAACAATGAAATTTTCGCTAACAAGTATTTGAAGCCTTGACTTTCTTGCAAAACCTTATTTGCTTCTAGAAGATTGATCAAAATGGAAGAAGGAAATAGCTAAACTAAAGAACCGTCGATATAGTAGGGAAGGAAACCATTGCTTAATGAGTTTTTAAGTAGTCAAATCTTGTAAATAAATGTTATTGAGACCTGTGTAGATAAATCATCCTCTTTGAGAATTTTATATACAAATGTCCGTAGTCCGTAAAGTGAATTCCACGAACTAGGAGTAGTAGTCAATGAATAAAAGCCACCCCTTGTAGCTGCAACTGAAAAATGATGGGTTAACAACTTCGGCGTTACTCTACAATAATCAGGATACCACTACCTAGAAGTAATAGGAGTAGATAACGAAATTGGGGTGGGATCCCTATATGCATAACTAATGGTATGAAAATCCGTTCCTTTACTAGAAGCTGTGGAGTCACTGACAGTGAACTCACCCTCGGAGGAGTCATCTGCTAGGCTGATGGCTTCATTTTAGATCACATTAGACCATTTCACAAGAATAACTGGTGTCTGATATCAGATGATCTTTATGTACCTGATATTAATTTGACAGAGATAGAAGGCGTGTGATTTCTTTCGATAGCAAGCTCCCGATGATGATCATAGTGCTTGTCTTGGTAAAGTACATATCCGAGCCCGCATGTTTAGATTCAGAACAAGGACCTTCTTTGTTAGACTTAGTAATCGCTCGTGAGACCGATAATATTGCATGTCAGCAAATAGACATCATTTTGTTTTGTCATTCATATTTAGGACGTGTGACATAATGTATGATCAGGTTGGAGCTCTCCTAAATGTGTGGAAAGCAAACATAACATCCATACATGAGTGTGCTACATCAGCGGGCTGGTCAGTATATATTAACTCATCAATTGAAGAAGAGTGGTCTACATTTGAAGGCACACTTACCTTAGTTTCGTTCCGCTTTATATACTAATCTGTGCGATGTAACCTTGTAAATCCTATCGTAGGTAACTGAATAAGTCAAAAAACGTCATGGACGTAGGAAGTATGCTTATCTCTACAGGCTTTGGATAATACAAATCTATTCATTGAAAGTCTAGGTACTCTTGCAAAAAGTTGACAGGGCTGGACGTTTGTGTAAAAACAACGGCTTAGGATTTATGAAAACAGTCCTGAAGGGTTTTTCTTTCACATAAAGAGGTTAACTCAAAGAAGCGATGGAATTTCCTCGCTTCTAGCACGAAAATGTCGTTCAAACAGGCTAGATATGACATTACTAGATCTAAATTTCTATCAGTACATTTTAATAAAGTGTGTTTATTAACAATGGGGAAAGGATAACAATAAGACATATTAGTGGTGGCTTATCTATGGATCCTCTGGTTATTGAAAAAGGTGCTGTCTTATGATTATTCAACATCTCAAACAGGATGAATGTAGCGGTCCTAACGAAATTCATCTTAGGAATGTGAAAGCCCTGGAGGATGTTATGTCAGTACCTTTTGCGATACTGTTTATTGAGCCTTTGAGACAGTCGAAATTCTCAAACTATTGGAAACACGCAGTAATCAGTCTGGTTTATTGTCTGTGGGGAAAATTCTTAGTAAGTTTCACCAGTGTCATCGTCGAACAAATGGAAGAAAACTATCCATGTGAAAACGAATAACTTTAAGGACAGGGAACAACATGGTTTTAGAAGAGCCCTATCTTGATTGACAAAACCCCTCATTAAAAGGGAAGAGTGAACTGCAGTGAAAGATAGAATAATGCAGGTAAATTTATTTTTTATGGATTCAAGTACAGAATTTGAAAAAGTCCCTATGCATTCTACTCGAATTCGTGGGGCCGCACTTGAACTATGTGATTCAGCCAGTGAATCTTTCTTTCAAGTAAAAAGCGGATGTACTCGAACCAGTTCAACGACGATGGACCAAAGTGATGTTTATAAATCACCTGTAAAACGCGGCTTTAACTACCAATGGTTATTCGAATTTAACGATTCAACTTTCTGATTGATCTGTTATTCAACTGGTGCACATTGGATCATTATATATATATATATATATATATATATATAATATATAATATTTATATATATATATATATATATATATATATATATATATATATATATATATATATATATAACAGATTTTGATCCTACAACACAGATGATGTGTAATGAACATTGATTTCCATGAGATAAGACCGCTGCAAATTGGTAAACCTTGAAATTGGGGGATGCAACAAATCATTTTAACTACACAATTAAAAGACTTAAGTATGTTTTCGAAGGCGACACACATTGGCTATTGTATGAAACTAAAGCGCGGTGAAACTGAAATGGATGGCTCTGGGATTTTAAATTGTGAGTTGATGAACCTTGTAAAGAAACGCGTAGCTTGCAGAGACAAAATTGTTGAGCTACATGATAAATATACCCAGGACAAACTTAACAAAATGGTAGGCAGTTTTGATTGTTTCAAAACTTCACGCTAGAAAAGTTATCAGAGTCTTATAACTGCAAATCACGAACAACGTTGTGATACTTCATGCCTCCCATTGATTGATATTTCACCGAGTGTTGTACGTATAAAGGACATAGTTGAGGTATGTTCATTCACTGAATCGGCTATCGTCTAGGACGAGGAATTGCTCGTTCGTCAATTTAAAGCGCTGAACGATTTTGAATGTTATAACGATCGGTTGTCACCCTGATTAACGGTTTATCTAGTAAGTCCGTGTTGCTGTTAATTTTTTACACAGTAGTTTGGTGGCCTATCGTGGTCTTCAAAATCTATTGGCAGACTTCTAACATTCGGTATGACCAACTAACGTACGCTTAGTTGATGTGACACTACCCTATCCATCAACAGCTACCAAGATTACCGTATTCTTGTATTTTCGTCTCAAAAATGATCGTGAAACTTGTGAGTTCGGTATGTACATGTCGTCACTTTGTACTTGCAACTTCACTGGACCTAATAAAGTTAAAGATATCGGTCTCTTTCTTTTTCTGTATTTGTGCAGTTTTAGTCTGCTTAAAGTATGAGAAACTGTATTGTTTCTACGAAAATGAAGGGCCAAAATAGGATCATGGCTCAGCAAGATTGTTTATGAGTATCAGCAGTACTTAGGATTTGAAGTCGGTATTTCACGTGATCACATTTCCGTCGCGCTTATCGTTTCTTTATAATCCTCCTTTCGTTTTCGTTTAATTGGACTAATTCGTTAGCGTTTTACGTGGTTAAGATATTCTGAATAGTATTTTTCACACTGGAAGTGCACAGTCATATGCTTTGAAATAAATTGGGTAATCAAGATCTCCGTAGGTGTGTAGTAGAGGGAAGTGTGCCACATTACAGGTTTAATCGAATAAATGACATGAACTTTGAAGTTCTTGTCGTTTCGCCTACATATTTTTTGGTTACGTACGCAGAAATAACACTAGTTAACCAGTCGCATTCGAAACAGTGGTTTGGCGGTTTATTTCTGTTGAGTTAGTTTTGCTTGCTTCATTACTAATGAAAATAACGTTTCAGCGTAATTAGGTCTGAAGTGAGCGATTGACATGAATGATAATCATCCACATAAAACCACTACTTCAAATCTGGAGTTAATGAGAACGTTGCGTTCATGACTACTGTTTAAGAAACAAACCAAACAAGTGTGCGAACAGTCAATTTCTTGAAGTCCGAAGGTGTGCTGTAGGACTTGTAATCTTGCTAAAATTCTCCACTTTATTTGTTGACTTTGAAACTGACACACACTATACACTAAAAACGTAATGGTCGATTCTGTATTGCAAAATGCAGTGTTGGCTTTTCAGAATGATCGATAATTTGCTGTACCCCCAAAAAAGTTCTGTAACTATATGGGGAAATGTGTTGGGTTATGTTCATACGAAATGGCTTTTTAAGAAAAGTAAATCACTGCAATTGTTTCAGATTGTTAATAATTTATTAAATCAACCTACCTGCTCTGGTGCTTCCCTGTGGTATGCTGAAAACCAATCTGTCCAATTTTTTATTGTCTATATGGTTTATCGATTTTCTGAGATTCATTTTACTCTGTTTGTCTAGCAAACTTTCAGTTAGTGATTGATCATAATCGATAATAATATTGTCTTTATAGTATGTGAACCACTCCAATTGTTCCCTACACAAGTTCATGGACAATGAAAAAAGTTATCAATAAAATATGCACTTTGTAGTTACCAATCTAGTGATCTAAACACCAATATTCGGAAGATTATACTGTGGTTTAGTTATTTTACGTTCAAGGTTAACTACCAGTCCACCGTATAAGTAGGGTTTGGCTACATCTATATGACGTCACGAAGTTGGTTAGTAGTCACTCGTGGAACGCCACACTAACAATTATTGGGCTTCTTCAAGATCCTTACAACACTTTGAGACACGTCTCCAGCCGACCATGGGTTTAATGATAAACATAGACCCCTACATTAGAAATTTTTCCGTTTTCTTAGGGACCGATAAATCTGGGGGTTGGTTTGCGCTAACGAATTGGAAACAGTAGATATTCTTAGTAATTGTCATCGGCTATTTCAACTCATCCGAGCGAAAAATCAAGTATCAGTGAAGCAATCTGTTGAACCGGCAGTTAGTAACGTACGATGGTGTCTTCGACGATGAATATAGCTTTCTGACTAACAGTCAAACTGGTCTGTCACCCCAGCAACGTCGGCCAGAATTTCCTGTACTTTTTAGTCGGTGACCATCAATATACTTAACGAGATAGATGTACGCACAGAACTTCAACTTCTGAAGCCTTACAAGTAAAGGGGTTTAGAAGACACTCCTGGATCGTCTTGAAAATATTGCCGAACTCCTGATCAGAGAACTGATTATTGTTTAGAAAAGTATATCCCAAGGTTTGGTAATATGTGCATGAGCATTTTCACGATAATTCATTTGGTGTCATCAGTGAGACACCAGCTTCGGTGATTTGGACGGATGTCTTAGCGATTCTTTGTTGTGCATTAATTTCCGGCAACGGCACGGGCTGTAATAGGCTCGAAGAAGTGATCAATTTATGACGTGCCACTGTGGCATGAAAGAAAATTACTTAGGACTGGCATCCCCGATCGAAGCTGCTACCTTGTCGCGGTGGTCGGGCTTGCCTATCGTGATGACCCAACCGAGCTATATTGGCTGGAACATATGTTCCTGCAGGTTCTACCATGCCAGGCAGGTCGATTGGTGAACGGTAAGACTAAAAGCAGCAACTCAAGGTCTGAGGGCGAAGTCGTACTGCTGACTGTAGAGAGGTGTGACAGCAGTAAGGTGTTTCCCTCGGACAACCAGCATGACAGCGATGCTGCCTTCCCACAAGGAGGGGTGGGGTTAGAAAAGGTCGACCCTAAAAATGTCACACCTCACCTTACCTCACGGATTTCCCTCTCCGGCGGTAAGGCCCTTTGAAGAACGGAGCTAACACGTCAGAAACCTTCCACAAAAAGGCCGTGCGCGACCGGCCTCAAGCAGTTGTCCCTTGGGCTCTGCGGTCACGCTCCCAGGTCGTCAAAACCAACACTAATCCAATTTCCTTTTCAGCTTCCTCAAGAAATACCCTTCCACGGTGTGGGCAGCCGGGAAGTGATATCAGCCCTCATACCCGTAACAGCACAAGAGACCAAGGTGGTCACATTCAAATCCTTCCTATACCTCCTAATACCTCTCTTATCTCCCCGACTAACCCTCCTCGCGTCTCTTTATCACCTCGCACCGCTAGGGCAAACGATTCGAGTACGTGGAACGCCATTCCTGGTCTCCTGAAACCACTCTCTAAACTACACGTTGGAGCTTTTAACGTACGAACACTTTGCCAAATAGGACAGCAGGCTTCCTTAGCTAAAACTTTAGAATCTCGCGCCATCGATGTGTGCTGCGTCTCCGAAACGCGCATACAGGATCCAAGCAGCGTCATTCATTTGACCTCACCATGCCAAAATAAAGAACCAACTCGATTCACACTTCGTGTATCTGGTAGCCCAGATGCTCCTTCTCGTGGACTCTCCGGCGTAGGTATAGCATTGAGTCCTAGGGCAGAACTAGCTCTCTTAGAGTGGATCCCAGTAGACAGTCGTTTGTGCGCTGTCCGACTAAACGGAACAGTAAGAATCCGGAAAGATAGGGACACTCGTCGTTGCCTCTTCGTCGTCTCTGCCTATTCTCCCACTGACTGCAGCTCAGATGATGTAAAAGATGAGTTTTACAGAAAGCTTTCGGACCTTCTCCGAAAAGCTAAGCGCTCGGATGTAGTAATAGTGGCCGGTGACTTTAATGCTCAAGTAGGTAAACTAAGCGATAGGGAAAGACACTTAGGTGGATCCTATGGTGTCGTGGCTCAGAGAACAGATAATGGCGACCGTCTGTTGCAGCTATGCTCAGATAACCGCCTGTTCCTTGCAAATACTAACTTTAAACATAAGGAAAAACATCTTTTAACATGGCGACCCCCTAATTCGTCTCAACGTTGGACCCAAATAGATCACATCGCTATCAGCCACCGATGGAGGGGCTCGATAGAAGACTGTCGCTCATTCTGGAGCACATGCCTAGATTCAGATCATGCTCTAGTGCGAGCGCGTATTTGCTTGCGTATTACTGGACGTAGGAAAGACACTGCAAGGAAACCTCTTTGGGGCCTACTTAATGATAGTCAAGCTAAGAGTATATTTCAGGAACAACTAGGAAAACAGTTGGGCAGCCATGTATGTGATGCCCACCCTGAGGCAGCATGGAATGATATCCGAAAAGCTGTGGAAACAGCAGTGATATCTGCTAGTAAGGTAAACCAGAAGGTTAGGGAGCAACACTGGATCTCAACAGCATCTATCGCACTGATAGATGCTCGGAAACACATTCCACCTGGCTCTGAACATAATGAAGAGCGGAGTCAGCTTAAGTGCAAGCTGACAAGAAGTCTACGCAGTGATCGCGAACAGTGGTGGGTAGCGAAAGCAAGAGAGATGGAAAAGGCAGCGGCAATAGGTAATAGCAGACAATTGTTCAGACTCGTTAAGGAAACCGGAATTAGGAACCCGACCGTTAGCGAAACAATCTCAGAGAAAGATGGACATATTATTCATTCTCAATCCAGGAGATTGGATCGATGGGCAGAACACTTTAGGGATCAGTCCAACTAGACTTCAGCCACACTTCGGTTTCCCACGATCTCTAGTCAACCTGAATGGCAAGTTAATGTAGGTCCTCCGTCCCTTTACGAAGTTGAAAAAGCCATAGGAAATCTGAAACGAGGGAGAGCAGCAGGCCCTGACAGGTTTACTCCTGAGATTTTTAAGGATGGTGGTCCAGTATTAGCAATGAAATTAACCGAGGTCTTAGGTAGAATTTGGGAACTGGATGTAATCCCATCTGACTGGTCTCAATCACTGATTGTGCCAGTTTTTAAGAAAGGACAAAAGTCCTCTTGTGACAATCACAGAGGAATCAGTTTGACTAATATAGTGTCTAAAATATTAGCTTCAATAATGCTTCGACGCCTAACCAAAGCTCGTGAAGAGCAGACTAGAGAAAACCAGGCCGGTTTTCGACCTGGACGTGGTTGTATAGATCAGATATTCACACTACGTCAGGTTCTAGAACACAGACACACATTCAGACGCCCCACAATGGTAGTATTTCTCGACCTTAAGGCGGCATTCGACTCTGTTGATCGTGAGGTTCTATGGCAGTGTTTGTCACTGAAAGGAGTACCAAAAAAGTACATTAACCTTATACAGGCTCTCTACTCGAACACAACTGGTAGAGTGAGAGCTTATGGCGAACTGTCATCAGAATTGATTACCTCAAGTGGTGTTCGTCAGGGCTGTCCACTCTCCCCATTCTTGTTCAACTTTGTCATTGACGTACTTTTAGAGATAACACTCTCCTCATCTAAATTTACAGGGGTTGAACTTCTACCAGGAGGTTCACTTGTTGACTTAGAATATGCTGATGACATAGTTTTATTTGGTGAAGACGCTGACAAAATGCAGAGTCTTCTGACCACTCTAAGCAACAATGCAAGCATGTTCGGGATGCGATTCTCTCCCTCGAAATGCAAAATGTTGCTTCAGGATTGGGTTACATCGACACCCGAACTAGTGATAGGGAGTGAAGTAGTTGAGTGTGTCGACCGCTTCACTTATCTTGGAAGTCTCATCAGCCCTTGTGGTTTAGTGTGTGACGAAATCTCAGCACGGATACAGAAGGCTCGACTAGCTTTTGCCAACTTGCGTCATTTATGGCGTAGGCGAGATATCCGTCTATCAACCAAAGGACGTGTTTACTGCGCAGCAGTTCGTTCCGTCCTACTTTATGGCAGTGAAAGATGGCCGGCAAGAGTAGAGGATATCCGTAGGCTACTAGTATTTGATCATAGGTGTCTTCGAAACATTGCTCGTATATCATGGGACCATCGAGTAAGTAACACAGTTGTTAGGAAACGGGTACTAGGTAAGGATGGCAAATCAATTGATGAAGTAGTGAAACTTCATCAGTTGAGATGGCTGGGACACGTGTTACGTATGCCCAACGACCGACTGCCTCGACATGCTATGTTCAGTGGTATAGGAGTAGGTTGGAAGAAAGCTAGGGGCGGCCAAACCAAAACATGGCACAAGTCCATGAAGTCACTGACAAGTGAACTGAGTCATGTTGGTAGGTGTAGACTACCTGGTTGGGGACCGCGAGATGACAGCAACCGATGGTTAGAGACCCTGAATGACATGGCTCAAAATCGTTTGCAATGGCGCAGGTGCATCCACTCTCTGTGTTCTCCCAAATTCTAATCTTCTGAATTCTTTATGTCCCTTTTTTCCTCTTTCCAAATTTATTTCACTGGATTATACTCTTTAAATAACATCTCCACACCCTAATCTTCCCGATTACTGCTTATACTCTTATTACCTCTACCACTACGGGATTTGAATCGACAACTGTATCTCTGTGCTAATGTGGTGTGGCAACTCGAACTGATGTACGTACGTACGAAGTTCTACGTTGTTACTGACTGACTGAGGACTGGCATCTGTCAGTTAATGGAGACTGGTTGAGATTCTAGAGATCGCGAAATCCAGTGGCTTAAGGTGCTACCGGACACTGCTCATAAAGGATGCCATTGGAAAACCTACTGTATTTTTCCTTCATACATCAGAATAACGAGATGAGTTTTCTCAACTGAAGGAGAAATCTTCCGTTGTTGTATTTCTAGTCTAACTGTATCTCATTTTACGTTCCATTCTTATTTACTTACTGTATTTGATTGCACTCCGTTTCTCTTTGTTTCCTAATAACGATATCTCTTCCCTTATATAGCGCATACTATTCTCTGTTATATGAATCAGATTTTTCTTGTGATACTCTTATACCTTCAAATTAAACTTCTGGGACCCTTCTGATTACTTAATTCTCAGTGACTAAATTGTTTTCAGAAAATAGGCCTCAGAGCTTTATTTTAATAAAACATTGAGACTGAATTTCATTAATCGGTCTAATTGGCAAGAAGTAAAGTGTCAAATGAGACCATTGTTAGTCATGGAAGTTTGAGGCTACAATTGTATGTTCACAGTAATTATGCAGAGTATATACTTTTGTTAGGCTTTATTTATGAATCTACCCATTACTTAATGGTGCTGGATTTCTTTATTCAGTGTATGGTAAGTAGGGTTGAGTATATAAGGAGAATCTAAGTGTCATCGACGTTTAGATCACCTATCCTCTTCTCAAAGACCCACTTCTTAACTGAGCAGTTTTCTTTCGATCTCAGATCACACAAAAGTTGGTCTTCTAATCACAACCGTCTTATAAAATCCAATTAGTAAAAACATAGTCGGGATAGACATGGTGTATACAGCTTAGATGTGCCTACACTTATTCTATGAGGTCCTCTTACTATGGATTACTTCATATAGAAGTAATCACATATAGTCATGTGGTGAAAAGTTTTTGTTTAGTTTCGTCAATACTCGTTAAAGTACCATACTAATTTACGGTTGTGGTCAACCAATGAATTTTTGTAGTTGAAAATTCCTCCAGTTGGAATCGCCTTTGGCAATCTAATTGGGAAAAGGATTTTCTGTCTGGGGCATTTACTGGTCCTGCTCACGGAAAGCCTTTTCTTAAACTAAGGTATCAGTAAATAAACAGACAGACTATCTAAAGTTAGATTTAAATGTTTTCTAAAAGATAATAATGATGACCAGATTTGTAAATGTGTGTTCCTTTGTACGTATTTCACGTGGAGATCCACTCATCGAAAACTGGATTTTAAGTGATATTGATAGGTTTATACACTAAATTCACGTGGAATTATTGTTTATTTTAAGCAGTAATTCATTTAGTTGTTAGTATACGGTACGCTGAAATTCGATAATTAGTAAAATTAATACTAAATGGGTATATATATATATATATATATATATATATATATTACATCTTCACCAATACTTCTGTTTGAACAATAATCGGTTGCCATTTCTCCAGTAATTCATTTTGTTCAATTTGTGCCTGCAGTAGATTGAACTGGAGGAAAATAAAACATAAACTGTTGTACTTTGTATGTGAAAATTATATTTGAAATATTCTCAGCGATTGAAATTTAACTAATTTGTGTTCTTATGAAGAAAGAATTAGTTCTAATAGCACAATCATTGATAGTTTGCCAAGCAACGGAAGCTAAACAATTAGATATGTGTCAATTAAACACACTTTGCTTCCATTAATAATTTACTAGTATTTTATTAAATTTATACAATATTGGTAACATTTCTCATGAATTCTGGTTTACTTAGTTAGATAAGTAGCTTAGTATTATTATTCCCTTCATAGTTTAATGAGTTCGTAACCGAGATCTAAGGCACTTGCAATAGCACTCTATCCAATTACTTGCACTCTCGTTTATAATCATAATTTGCTCCTAACGTGCTTCGATTTCGCAAGTTATATTTTTCAATTTCTCCAATCAACTCGAAGTGCCATTTGAAAATTTGACTTTTTACTTTGTTTCTGATTTTCTTTAATTACTATATTTGTATGTATTCGTGCATTACATCGTAAAATGTATAGTTATCTATGTGGAGCTTTCGAAAACTTGCTTGATGGGATAATTTTAAGGATTTAACATGATGAATATACGATAACTCATCGTCTTTAACTTTGAGGATATTTTTCTTCTATCATATAATATCATTCAGTTGAATAACGAAACTGTTTATTTATTTTTTTAGGATCCGTGTAGTTGCGGTTAGAAAAGTTTTCATAGTTTCACCAAAAGTAAATGATCCTTTGTCTCACCTGTGAACGTTGTGTCCATTCATCTTGGCATACATTTCTCAGTTTCATACGTCTCATTTTGTGCGAGTAATAATCAGTTAGCAAACTGAACAGGTGATTCATTTCCTGAAAGAAAAGACATAACCTTTCATCTGACTTAAAAAATATAAATTGAATTCTCGGTTAATTATGGGTGAAGTGTAATCCTTACAACCTCATTTCAACGTTTCGTGGTGAGATAGATACTAGGTAAGGTTAGTAGCGAATAAATTGTCCTTTAGGACATGAAAATTAGTGTGAACATATCATGGTTATTTATTGATAGTTATCTAATGCTTAAATTACGAACTGATCATTTAGAGACTTGAAATTTTATTTTCACCTTAATTTAATAGTACTCAAATGTTCAGTGAAATCCAATGCTGTTCATCTTTTCTAATTTTTACAAGTATATCTCGTTAAAATCTTTAATAAATCGAGCAAAGTGAATTCTTTCTCTCTAGTCAATGAACCAACGTATAAAGTAATTTATATTTCTAAATTGATGTAAGATAATGTTCTTAATGTTTTTATTGAACCTCTTACACTTATATACATTGTTACTATAAATTCCAGGTAAAGTCATTATTTGTTCAAATGTTTACTTTTGCTCTCTTTAACATAATAAATGGGAACTTGCATGTAAAATGCATGTTCATATTGTTGTTTGAATTATCAAATTATTTGAGTTTCCTGAGTAATCTGACAGTATTCCAACGAAACAAGTGATACGGACTATTAACAAACAATATGATCAAACTATCGTTTAAATTTATCCAGCTTATAAAACTCTAATTGCGTAATAAGAATCGGTTATAAACAGACCATAAGTAGATCATTTTTTGTAATTGAAACACTTAACCTTCAACTTATAGATCAAAGATTTTGGATCCTGCTATGTCTACGTTAGTTTAACAAGCTGGATAGTATCACTAATCTTGAAAAAAACACTATAGTTTAAACGTGTTGCATAATCCAGTACTTGGTAAGCGAATTACTCTTTTTCTATGAATACAATAAAAGATTGATATTTGTCGTATATAATTTTACCGCTTCAACAACTAGAAAACATCAATATTATATATATATGACACGACTTACTTGCGAATAGCCCGTTGATTTTGTCTTATCTAGACTGGTTGCATTCATATTATCATTTAATTTCATTATATCTGTTGTTTCATAGGATTGACACGATTTAACAAGTAATTGATCACGATGATTCAACCATGTACGTATTTCATTTAAACATGGTTGAATCAAATTAATTTGACTAACATGAACTCTTTCTAAAATTACATTGACCAATTGTAAAAATATTGTTCGACGATTGAATTTTATTACTATGAAAGTTAACAAGGAAAATATTCAGTTTGATCATCTTTGAAAAAAATACAGTCATCATTTATGAAAACTATTGATTCTTATCAGTTCGAGTGATGTTCTGTGAAGTTTGTTAACGAAATTAGAAGATTTGAATTTCATCTTATTCGGGTGAATCCTGAATTCAAGTGAAACCGTTACTATCAATGTTTATTTATTTTTAGTTTCTTGTTTTATTATATATTTCGGTTATTCTTGTTTATGAAACTCCTAACGTAAAGAAGACTATTAAATATTAGTGATTAACTTGGCAAAAGTTAACTTTTTCAGGTATTTCAATCATCAATGAACCAATTTAGTATGGTTACTTTAAAATTCCATTGTAACTGGAACGTAATATTCACTGAATGTCAGGTAAGTAACTGTACGATAACTGAAGTTCTCAGGCTTTTTCATAAGAAATAGTCATGAGTTTTAACTTAGATGAAGATAAAACAGCCATTCACTATCTACTATATAGTGGTTCTTTTTATTAGTCCAGTTTTTGATTTGAATATTTTTATGGCTGAGATAGATTTTCTTAACGTTCCATATTTAATTATAATAAATCAACGGAAATCTTTGCCTAAAATTTATCGGTGAATAAATGTTGTAGCAGGCTTTTTCAAAAGTCAAGTGGATTAACTACTAACCGATTGTTTCGTGGATACTTGATGCCAAACAGTTAACACTATCCGTTAATACTGCGCTGGTCGCTAATGGCATCTGGAGAGCATTAAAGAAATTGACATAGACTATTATCGTATTATATTATTGTCACTGAGCTCACAATCGATGTAATTACATCTACATTTTTTCTTCGATATATCCTATACCAACAATTAATTTAGGTGACTGACTGTGCTAAACAAATAAGAAATAAGGAAACCTGCAGATGTGATAAGTGGTTGTAAAATTTTCTCGTCACTTAATGTTGTATACTCATATCTATTTATTGACTGACGATTTATCGAAAATCGAATTGTTTCGATGTTCAACTGAGGATGCCATAAGGTTCTAGCTATCATAAAACACTCTAGAACTAACACCAGAACAAGTATACAAAACCTGTTTTAATAGATGTCCATCAATGTTTTCCAAAAATATTGATAATTTTATGTACTTATGTGTTTAACTTCAACACCTCTGCTTAATATGTATCTCAAAATTTGCTGCTGGGATTTCTAGTTTTGCAGAATTTTCGCACCCTGTAGAGCAGATTTTTTATTCTTGATTTATCGTTTATCTATCCTTATAAGAGATAATATATAACACAAATAAATACATTATGATACTCATACTGGTGACTTAGCAAGGAGCATTATATTTATTTGTAAGAAACTATTGATTTATTCCAAAAACTTATTTGTAATTAGAATCCATTGGTGTTGCTAGATTTTTACATGACAAATATTTGGTTGATGTTCGTAATATGACAGTTCCCCCTAAAATTAAACTTTCTATTGAGTATGTTCTGTTCCTTAAAATTAATAAGTCTATATTCTTCCAGTACATGACGCACTGGTTTATAAAATTGTACATTTGTTGAATGTAGCAACAAAATTTGGAGAAAAATACATCAAAAATGGCGATTGAATGTAGCATCTGTCCAAGACTTAACTAAATATAGATCCTAAAGCACCATAGTTGCTTTTTCTTTGTTCCACTTAACTATTTCAGCTAGAAAATTTCAATTAATCACACTTTAAATCCCTGTCTTTGCTTAAACACTACGGATTTCCTTTGTCTAATACATAACAGGCATGTCTTTATTATTATTGTTACTTTTTGGTTATACCCCTTGACTACATGAGACTCGGTTATTTGTGTTACACTATTGTACACAAGAGATAGGAATCTTTGACTGTTGAGAATAGTTTGTGATATGATTAATAACAAATTGGATTTAATTTTTATGTTTATTTGATATCAACCAAGCATGTAGATCATTTTGCTATATTAAAAATCTGGTTAGGAATCTGAAAGCTTAGTCAAGCTGATTAAGTATATGTATATCTTTGATAATAGGCAAGTAGAAATACAGAGATTTTGACAATAATCTTGTTTTTATCACTACTGAGTATATATAACACATAATTTTGTTAGCTCCTGGTTTTTTAACATGATCAACAGATTCCTTAAACTCACCATCTTTTATTGCAGCTTTTATTGGTTTAGTTGCCATACATGCAATCGCTTGATATTCATCTTCGTAACCAAATAATTCTCCTCTTGGAGGATCTAAGTAACCGAAAGAGATAAAGCTTTTACTTTGTAAATAAATATACAGTTAATAAACAACTCATAATTTTAGTAGTCATTTAAATGAATCCTATAGAAAAATTTATTTATCTAAAATTACTAATTTAAAGTGTTACGCTGCAAAGTGAATACTTCACTACTCTCAGTACAGAAGATCCGTAGAGATTATAGAATTTCACAGTTTATATCTCTAACCTTAGGAAAGCGTTAAAAAGAGCAAACCTCCTCAGAAGTCGTGGATGTACACTGATGAGGAGTCTCAACATAGAAAGAATTAGCTGTTCAGCGATTCCTGATTTCCACCAGTTGTTCAATTAAGATCATTCCTCGAAGTAAACTATAAAGTTTAATTTTCAATTAAACAATAGCTGAAGCCAAACGATTTTTAGGTTATTGTCAGAGACGTATAATTACTTTTATGTTTCCAATAAATCTATCCAACAGGAATTGTCCAGCATAAGCTAAATTGAAGGAGTAATTGCTGACGTCTAACAACTTATTTATGGATCCCTTAAACAAATTCAGTCTCGTTGACAGACCGCTTGATTTCTAGTGTTTTGACTGGTAAAAATTACGTAATTCTCTGAAAAAAGCAACATATGTGTAGATATGTATCCTGTTAAAGTTGTATTTGCTCTTTTTCAAGAAAACTAAAAACCAAAGTTTATACTCACTTAATTTAGCTGTAACCAGATAGCTATAAGCATCTATTGTTTTAATGACTGAGTTTAATTCACCCATTTGATCGGTATTCTGCCTTGATTTTCTTCGTCCAGTTAAATAACTAGAACTTAGTTTACCCTGAGAAATCCGTTTTTTTGTTGACACGTTAATGCTTGGTTTGATATCTGTACGAATAAAAAATAAAGGTAGGCCGATATGTAGACTAGGTCAACAAAATCCCAGGAGAAAAAAACAAATTTTAGATGTATGGTTATTGTTTCCGAGTCATCTGACATCACAAGAACTGTTTAACAGAACTCCAGGTGGGATTGTAACTTACTGCATTTATTTTCGTATTTCAAGTACAAAGTTACTTTGATTACAGTTTGTTTCTGAGCGTTCTTTTTTTCTCTTATGTTACTATATACATACCTATGTAATTTAAAGAAACTTAGAAGACCCACACATCAAGGATCTGCGAAACGCTATTAACTCTCAAGATTCATATGGATCCCCAAATAAGACTGTGTTAAGTGTACTGCTCCAATTTACTGACACCAACTGAACGTAGTTCTATTTCAGAAATAAGTGATTATCCATCGATCTAGTTACTCTTCTGATGCAACACGTTTGTGATTACAATTTCTTTCAGTACTACACGAAAATATCAGTTTATAATAAGAGCTAATTAACTTTATCCTACACATTCCATAAACACCCGTGGTGTTCGATAAACAATTCCACTTCATAATACACAACATAGTCATTCTGATAATGAATTACAAATATTCGGTAGTTTGTATTTTGTTAAACTGTTTACCTAAATAAGGATTGCTTCAAGTGAATTAAGTTCACAAAAAAACTAAGGTATCTTCAGTTTCCCTGAAGAACAATATATTTATCCATTTAAACAACTGTATCAATCACTATAAAATATTCCTTACAATGGCGAATGTCCACTGTCAACTTATCAGTTAAATTAAGTTCTTGTCCATCAACTAATGAAAATAATAACTTAAAAGTTTTCATTCAATGTTAATAAATTTATTTCCAAATAGTAATTCAATAATTAAAAGTCTTTCAAAGTGATTTACAAACAATCAAACTCCAACCTTTTGAAATTTGCCGAAATGATAGCAATCAAACGTCTAAACCCAGATTTATGTACCCAGAAAGAGGAAGTAATAAATTTTTCTTTGCCCTGGTAACATTAAACTTCCTTTTTGCTATTTATTACTTCATTCATTATTTCAACTCTTTCTGAAGTTTAAATTTATATCATTTTCATTTTTCTTCAATTCATATCTTTCTTTATTACCATTAATCTATTTTCAGTTGCTTCATTACACAATCATCTAATGTTTGTTAGCTTCATGAGTTCTATTCACTATTTCAATGTTCTGAAACTTTCCCTCCCACACTTTACTTATCCGAAACAAAAACTATATGACCTCATTAACTCTAGTGAAATCTTTGTTATATCATGATATATCTTTAATCACCCTCTTATGTCAATATCTGTTGTAACGTTGATTTTCAAATAATTTAGGTTGTAAGCAGCTGATAAGAACCTAATGAAATAAAAGGAATTCATATTATTCTGCACCAATCTTCGTTCTTACTCTCTTTTAAAGTTAACCATTCAATAGTAATTCTTCATATTACTTACCTTTCATTAATTGATTTAATGTGACTTTTACAATTTTCAATATTGTAACAATACCTTTAAGTTCATTTAACACTTCGAAAACTTTGATTAATTCAAATGTAAACTTAATCATTATTTGAGTAAGTTTTCTATTCAATGTTTCATCTAATAATATTAATTTTGTAGTACATTTTCTAACGCCAAGAATTATTGTTAATGATTTTAATAGAATCTAAAATCATAAAGATCATTTTATATTAAATTATTAAGCTACTAACAACGTGTGTTTTACAATGAAATATATGTATATATATACCACATATTGTTTTATGTTTACTTGGTGAAAACCATTTAAGTGATAATGAGAGCTGTTTTATTGCATTGCATTTCATCAAAGTAACGTATCTAGACATCTTAAATCATTCGACAATATTATACTGACTTATATATGAGATAGATTAACCAGTTTATGATATCTCACAAAATACCATCTGTACGAAACGATTGTACCCTATCACTTGCTCTAATCATCAATGGCTTCAATATTTTGTAGTTTACATCTCGGACTGGCTGTAGCTATACTACCGTTGAAAACTAGGAAACACTGGTTAGCTGTTTTATTTTGACATAGGACGTCTTACCAATGTTTGCCTACAGCTTCATCTGGGCTCGGACCTGTGAACTTCAGGCCTCGTGACAATCGCTTAACATTCAGGATTACTAAGTTTAAATCAAATAATTTGTACATCTAACGTCAATCACTTCCCTCTATTATACAACAGTTATCCAGAGCCATTGGTAGGTAACTGGGTTACTTTTGAAGTGGTTGAACTGATGAGTCAACACTAATATAAGCTAACTATAATAACGAAAACTGTTGAAAGAATATTCATTAGTACAAAACAACTTTTCTATCATATTTTTTCATTATTATTTACTAACCTTAGCATAATCATGTGTTACAGAACTCATTTCTATGTTAAAACTCAATGTTTCATAGATCAGATTAGCAAAATCTAGCAATAGTTGCACATCATTCAACATAGCGCTTAACTCCAAACCAATTACCAACTTTTCAGACAAATGGATTTTCTGAATCTGTTAGAAAATAGAATAAAATTTAACTTCAGAGTATACAAATAAATAAATTTCTAAATGGTATTAATTTAATAAAAGTAAAAGAAGAAAAATTTGATCCGATCAATTATATTCATTCAGCTAAAACAATCTGACTTTAAAGTATAGATAAATAATAGTTTCTCTATTTAATTCACTTATATATTTACTCACTAGATCATGGTCTGCCCTATTTCTTTACATTTATCAACTTTCTATCACTGAATGAGTTTAAATAACAATTTACAACTATAATCAATCAAATAACAATGTTAAATGACTTAAGTCGAAAACTTTTAGACTGAACACACACTACCTCATCTCAGGTTATAAATGTGCATAACTTTTTTACGCCAGTATATATTCAACATAGATTCAGCATTCTCACCTAAACAAAACTAAAATAAATTTTTATAGTTAACCTCAAGTATAAATGAGAGCTTCAGAACGTTTTACATAACATTGATAAATTCTTGACCTATGCAGTCATGAATGAGTGATTTATAGTGCTGGGATCATGATTTAAGTAATAGAATTAGGGTTTCGCATTACAGTTTAGGATTAGAATTCAGGCTTGATAATCATAATGTTTTTAGGTTAGGGTTTGGGATTCGAACGGAGAAATTAAGATTAGTGATTAAAGCTAGAAATTAGGGGACATGTAAAATATATATATATATATATATATATATATATATATATATATATATATATATATATATATATATATATATATATATATATATATATATATAGTGATTTTTACACTTGAAACGAAAGTTAATGCTCTCATCCCGCAATCCATGTCTTGATGAAAATTGTTAGTCTTAAAGTTTTTATTTCACATTATCATATAAAAAGAAACAACCAAACCTAGCAACGTTTCCTAATGAAAATATTATAATAATGTTGACTGAATTCTCTGCAGCCTTTGTCGAAAGCATCATCGTGCAAAATGATCAGGGATATATTCACTGTGAATGTCCCTTTGTCTATAGGAAATATGTACTAAATCTTTGATACAGTGAATTACCCATCAAGTTTAGTAGATCACTAAATCATTGAAAAAAAAAATAAAATGATCCACCTATTCTCACATCGAATGACCTAATCAAACGTGGATTTTTTTTTCAAGGTATAAAATCGTTAACAATAGTCTTACTTGTTTGTCCAACAAGTAAGTGGAATTATCAAATTTACATGAACGTAGATTTCCAGACTTCTGAATAACTGAGCAGTGCCATAAAATACATGTCGTTAGGTGCTTCAATAATATGCTTGAACATTGAAAACTATTTAGGTCTTTCAACCTATATAAATTAAAAGGTATCATATAAATTAAATAGGAATTTTCAACATACTTTAAACCAGTTAAATGAGTTGAATTATCATCATCTTTTGTATCATACTTCTCCGTTAAATATTCCCAGATTATGTTAACTGATTGAGCCATTAGGCATTGGGATAGATTACGTCGAAATGCCGACTATATAAAAGAAAATGAATGGTAGACTGACGGACGATTCAGTACAAAAGAATATATCGCAATAAAGTAATTTTAAGTGTAAAATTATATATATATATATATATATATATATATATATATATTTAATTGGTTGGTTACAACTTAGTGATCGACCAGTTGTAACCAAAAGGTCAATAGCGATTCGAATAGCTCAGCGCTAATGTGTTAATTTGTGAAACCGGTTAACACAGGTTTGAATCCCTCATTGAAGATCAGCTCCTTCAAGATTATAAGGTCACCACTATGTCAGTGTGTAATCCATTTTAATACACACTTGAATATCTCTGAGTTAGTATTTTCTCTTCTCTTGATATATATCATTTACCAAATGTTTGTCGTGCTCATTTGAATTTGGACAGGTTGGTGGTTGAATTATCCCGTTAATAATTATAAACGAGTGATGGTAATCTTTATTACTCTAAACCACATAGTACCTTAATAACTTTCTCTGAATAAAGTAGACAGTAATGAAAATTGTTACTTTTTCATTAGAAATTCAGTAATCTGTTGACAAGTTGTTTTATGTCTGTTTCCTAAGCTGAGTGTCCGTACCTGCGAACAAAAAATTATGTATAGATATAGCTGTTTTTATACACTATACTATTAAATCAAGACTGTCATTAAGAAAAATTCGTCACTCTTATATCTCTATAAAAATATAAGTATAATTGTATTTTAGGAAACACACCTGATTACATGTTAATTTTATCATAAATAAGATATGTATCCAACTTTACAGCTCTCGATACACTTTAGTAAAACTCTAAAAAATAATCATTCAAGTAATTATGACCAGATCTAATTTTCATGATAGTTAATTGTAAACAAAATTTACAAATCTCAATTGTCTCACAAGTGACTGCTGCTGAATTGGACAAAATTAAACCTAGTGCCTTTCACTTCGAACGTCTACACGATATTCACTGAGTGACTGGATCCAAATAGACAATGGCCTGTGAACTCAAACCCTTAAAACTAAATTATAAATTTATTGATGTTTATTATAATCAATCGAAAAACTGCCTGTATTTAATTTTCGTTTTTTTAAAAACAATAATTAACCTGTAGAAGATGACATAATCCCGTATAAATGCATAGCGAAGAATAAGCTAAAACCGGTTTTGTACTGTGACCTAAACCATGTTTATGTGATCCTATCGGGTGACCTTCTTTATTGTAAGCCGCTACAGCAAAGGCATATTCTTCATTTGGTGTTAGATCAGTCACTTTTAAAACACTGGAACTGTCATTGCAAATGACCTAAAAAAGGAAATAGAAAAGTATTCTAATCAGTGATTAGATGTTTATTTGTTAAACGGATTTATGAATAACATTAATTACCCCAGACTGGAAAAGTTCAGAACACACTTTAACAGTTTATTATAAATCGTATTGATCTGAATTTGTTAACGTGCACATTCATATGAGTAGCTTCATAAACCGTTTGGAATTGTGATAACATCTACAAACTATCTGACTGTGATCAGTTTGAACCAATTAGATATTTTTGCCACACAAAAAGTAGGTTTCATGTCATGAATGGAAAGCAAAACTTTAGTCTTAATAACAAATTCGTCACAAAAATTATCTTCTAAAGTTGTTTGCAGTTCGTTTCGTGTAGAAAGAAAAACCACTGATTCATGAAAAAAATATATAAATGAAGGTTAACAACCATACTATTAACTCCGCCTGTAGCTCTTATAAGGTTACTGCCGGTCCCAAGCCCGGGTAAAGGAGGAGGGTTGGGCTTGGGGTTAGCGTCCCCATCCCGTAGAAAACTAACTCGCTAAAAAACGCTTACCAGAAAAAATAATCCAAACCATTTTAACTTTGCCCTGGGAGTTAGAAGGTCTTCATTTAGAAGAATTATGACGCTTCATGGTGAAAGCCGAGTTCCTTCGGAAGCCACGAGGCCGATGCCCCTTCTAACAACCAGAGCAAAAATTTTTAAAGGTACATGGAACGTTCGAACAATGTGGGAAACCGGGAAGACCAGTCAAATATCAATGGAAATGAGGAGATACAACTTAGCAGTACTGGGAATCAGCGAAACCCACTGGACCCAAGCTGGACAGAAAAGGCTAGCTACGGGAGAGATGCTGCTATACTCCGGTCACGAAGAGGAAAATGCTCCACACACTCAGGGAGTCGCTCTTATGCTGTCCAAAGTAGCACGAAATGCACTTGTAGGATGGGAATCTCACGGATCCAGAATCATCAAAGCATCATTCAAAACAAAGAAGGAGGGGATCTTAATGAATATTATCCAATGTTATGCACCCACCAATGATAGCAACGACGAAATTAAAGATCAGTTCTACGAGCGGCTGCAGTCAATCATTGAGAAATGCCCAAGAAAGGACCTAACTATTCTGATGGGAGATCTAAATGCCAAAGTCGGAATAGACAACACTGGATATGAAGATATTATGGGACGACATGGACTGGGAGAAAGAAACGAAAATGGAGAAAGATTTGCAAATCTATGTGCATTCAACAAATTGGTCATAGGAGGCACAATATTTCCACACAAGCGTATACACAAGGCTACATGGATCTCACCGGACCACACTACAGAGAACCAAATAGATCATATTTGCATCAACAAAAAATTCCGAAGGACAATGGAAGATGTGAGAACCAGGAGAGGTGCTGACGTAGCTTCAGATCACCACCTAGTTGTGGCCAACTTAAAACTGAAGCTAAAGAAGAACTGGACAAGTGGACAAACAGCAATACAAAGGTTCAATACAGCCTTCCTTCGAGATACTGTCAAACTCAATGAATTCAAGATAGCTCTCAACAACAGGTTCCAAGCCTTACATGATCTACTGAAAGAAGAAGAAAGTACTATGGAGGACAACTGGAAAAGCATCAAAGAAGCATTAACTTCAACGTGTCAAGAGGTTCTCGGTCTAAAGAAATACCATCATAAGGAATGGATCTCTACAGAAACACTGGACAAGATCAAAGAAAGGAAGAACAAGAAGGCAACAATAAACAACAGCCGAACACGAGCAGAGAAAGTCCAAGCACAAGCTGAATACATAGAAGCAAACAAACAAGTGAAGAGGAGCATTAGAGCCGACAAGAAGAAATACGTGGAAAAACTAGCAACGACGGCAGAAAAAGCTGCTAGAGAAGGAAATATGAAACAACTTCACGATACAACGAAGAAACTATCAGGGAATTACAGTAAACCAGAGAGGCCGGTCAAAGACAAAGAAGGCAAGCCAATCACCGAAATTCACTAACAGCGTAACAGATGGGTAGAATACTTCGAGGAACTGCTGAATAGGCCGGCTCCAATGAATCCAGTGGACATCGAAGCAGCACACATAGATCTTCCTATAGATGTCAACCCACCAACTACGGAAGAAATTAGAATGGCCGTCAGACAAATCAAGAACGGGAAAGCAGCAGGACCCGACAACATACCAGCTGAAGCACTGAAATCAGACATCGAAACAACCACAAGCATGCTTTATCTTCTATTCAAAAAGATTTGGGAGGAGGAACAAGTGCCGATGGACTGGAAAGAAGGACACCTCGTCAAGATTCCAAAGAAAGGAGATCTGAGCAAATGTGAAAACTACAGAGGCATAACACTACTGTCAATACCAGGGAAAGTCTTCAACAGAGTGTTGCTGAACGGGATGAAGGATGCAGTCGACGCCCAACTTCGAGATCAACAAGCTGGATTCCGTAAGGATCGGTCGTGCACAGACCAAATTGCAACACTACGGATCATCGTCGAACAATCAGTTGAGTGGAACTCATCATTATACATCAACTTCATTGATTATGAAAAGGCATTCGACAGTGTAGATAGGAGGACGTTATGGAAACTTCTTCGACACTACGGAGTTCCTGAGAAGATTGTCAATATTATCCGGAACCCATACGACGGGCTACAGTGCAAAGTAGTGCATGGAGGACAGCTGACAGATGCATTCCAAGTAAGGACCGGAGTCAGACAAGGCTGTTTACTCTCTCCCTTCCTCTTTCTTCTGGTGGTCGACTGGATTATGAAGACCTCAACATCTGAAGGAAAACACGGAATACAATGGACAGCTCAGAACCAATTAGACGATTTGGACTTCGCAGATGACCTAGCTCTCCTATCACGTACACACGAACAGATGCAGATAAAGACAGTCAGTGTAGCAGCAGTCTCTGCATCAGTAGGCCTCAGCATACACAAAGGGAAAACTAAGGTCCTCAAATTCAAAGCGGAGAACAGCAATCCAATCACACTTGATGGCGAAACTCTGGAAGATGTAGAGTCCTTCACATACCTGGGAAGCATCATCGATGAACAAGGAGAATCCGATGCAGACGTAAAGGCGAGGATCGGCAAAGCAAGGGTTGCATTCCTACAATTGAAGAACATATGGAACTCAAAACAACTTTCAACCAATATCAAAGTGAGAATCTTCAATACGAACGTCAAGGCAGTTCTACTGTACGGAGCTGAAAATTGGAGAACTAAAACCACCATCAAGAAGGTACAAGTATTTATAAATAGTTGTCTACAGAAGATACTCAACATCCATTGGCCGGGTACCATCAGCAATAGCCTTCTGTGGGAGAGAACAAACCAACTTCCAGCTGAAGAAGAAATTAGGAAAAGACGATGGAAATGGATAGGACATACATTGCGCAAATCGTCGAACTGCATCACGAGGCAAGCCCTAACTTGGAATCCTGAAGGGAAGCGAAAAAGAGGAAGGCCAAAGAACACATTGCGTCGGATAATAGAAGCAGATATGAAAGCGATGAATTACAACTGGACGGAGCTAGAAAGGAATGCCCAGGACAGGGTTGGATGGAGAATGCTGGTGAGCGGCCTATGCTCCTTCACGAGGAGTAACAGGCGTAAGTAAGTAAGTAACCATACTATTAAGTCAGCTGTTTTTGAAAACAAATCATATATTCAGTTGGAGGTATGTGCTCAATGATGTTTGGAAGCGTCCAGATTATTGATATAAAACTTAGTGTCCATCACTGAATAAAATGTAACAAGATTAGAACATGAAACGCTTACAATTAATGAGTCATAGGTTTGCACTTTTCACTATTTACTTCATTTCGGAAAGTTGGGTAACTCTTGCTCAAGTACATGAACCCTTACCTCATAAAATGTGTTACATTCATAAGAAAAATCTTCCAAGCCATTTAAAGAGACATATAAGATCAGCACTTCTGAGTGTTTGTTCAAGATTTTAAATATTCACTAGTATATGAACATAGTATGCGTCGGCAATTGTTTTTCCAGGCTTAAAGAAATGAAACAAAGCTAAATATACGAAGGTTTGACTTCATGTTGTACAATAGACTCAAAAATATTTTCAAAGAAAGCATGAATTCAAGAAATACTATAACAAAATGTAATAAGTTGATTACAATAAATAGATTGTTTTTATTCTCACCAAAATCCCGGTGTTGGTTAACTTATTATCAGTGATGTGAACTTTCTGATTGGATACAAATGTCTGTTTTCCGTATAGTGCATAAAAATGAACCTAAAAATATAAAATGACCATAAGCGTTCAGTGTTATTGAATGGAAAAGTTTGAAGTAAAGCCTATGTTATACAGTTTGTAAAAGTTATTATTAAGAAACTTTATTTCATTGTTACCTATTTGCTTTATTCGTTAACATGGTTATTTTGTATTTCATTTGCTAATTATTTTGTTTTTAGATATAAGACAATGAAGATGGTTTACATCACTGTTTAACATTAGCTAAAATGCTGTTAAAAATACTGGGAAGGGGGACTAGATAGTTGTTTCATTCTAGTTTAAGATCCCACAGCAATAAATACCCAAGAACCCATATCAAATGATTTATTAACATTTCAAAGCTTTCGAAATATCTCCGTGTTCTAATATTTAAAGAAATGAAGAAAGCTTTGTGTTGGTGAGATATTAATAAACTGAGTATAAAAGCAATTAGCATTTAGTTGCTATCATTTTTTTATAAAATATGATCAATGATCATAACTAAAAGCTAATTTGATATGATCTTATTGCACATAAATATTTAGTGAAACAAGAGACTTTCCTCTATGAATTCGAGTTGAATTTTTTCATACCATTAAAATGTACTCTAATGAAAACCGGTGAAATTACTCGATTTCTTGCACAAATATTTTCAAATTACCTGTTCTCCAGATAATGGATTCCACTTTTGTGTTTGAAATACCATTGAATTTTCACATTTAGCAATCACTATAGGTGGGGGCGGTCTATCAGACCGGAACCTTTCAGTAGCCAGTGTATTTTCATGTGGCTTACTCAAACCAGTTGATTGTTGACAATCGATTACTTCTTTACTACCAATAGAATGGAATTCATTTGACCATTTATTGAAGAGTAGTTTTTCGGCAATCTGTTGGATAATGATAATATTAATGAAATCATAATATGACAAATAAATAACATACAGGTTTCACTATGCAATGAATGTATTCATACATGTAGTTGATAATTAGCTAGATATTTTGATTGACCCTTACTTTTCACGTGTAATTTAAGCAGAAAGCGATTGGATTCATTTTCATCTCTATTACATAACTTCAAATTTTTGAGCAACAGTAAATATCGTTACACGTCTCCGTGATTTTTCATAACCTTTGACAGATAAGTTTCTATAAGTTTTCTATTTATTCTGTAACCAATTAAATTTGTCCTTGCCAGTTACGCATAGCCCTGAGTGTTTTGTACATGTGTGTATGATAGTACGTTTGCAACTACCCACTTTCCGCATTTTTCTAAACAACGTAAGAACTGAATCATATTATTCTGAGTTCCTATAAAATAGATCTTCAGTGCTTTATGCAATCGGTACACCGTTTTTCTACTTGTCCGCTTTTTAATAGTATTATGCCTGAAACATACATATGTCAAATGCAATTAGTATTCGACCTTTGATATACCACTATTCTAAAAGTTCCGCTTTCATACATGAAGATTGACTAAAAGGCCTGTGTTTAAAGTAATATTTGACACAAATTATCCTTTATCTTGTTTATCAATTTGTCTTTTTATGGAACGTCAAATGTAAATTTAGAAAGAACAAGGCAATTAAGGTTTCTGTTCTTTCTTTTGCCTAATACTAATCACTAACTTATCCAACAGCCAAACCTTTTGCAGTTAACTGAATAAGGACATGTTTATTGATTTTATAATTTATGTTCATGGATCCACGTTAAAAAAGGGGTACTATTCAATTCATGAAATAAAACAATACACCGTTATAAACACTTCTATCCATTAACAATAATCTTTACCTTGTAATATTTTTTAGCTGTTTCATTGTTTACTTCAGTTTCTGCTTTAAGGCAATAGTAAAATACTTTAGACATTTTATTTCGACCACATTGTTTAAGTGAATTTTCATCCATTTGTTCAATTTTCTTGTGCACTTTTTCTTTGGACATTTCATTCAAATCACACCACGTTAACCATTCTGAAATATTTTAGAAAAAACAAACCAAGGTGATTTTCATGTTTATTCAATACAATTTTTGTTTTGTTATCAAACTACCATTCAAGTGAATATAATTGATAACCTTTCTCTGTGAACCTAGATAATAATGGTATAAAGTTAGCTTTAGCTCTTAGATTATATAAACATTCCTACTGCTAGTAATTTCAGCAAAAGCTCCTTCTCTTTGAAGATAGAAATCTACACATTTGATTAGTCAATCGCCACTAGACACCTAAGCATATATCATTTTACAAAGAAATAAATCGATACAAAAAACTGCAACGTCACGCATATGGATAAATTTTGCGTTAGGTCTGTCATATATTAATTCTTATTATGAATAATTTCAAAAGCCTGTTGAAGTTGTATGTTGTATGAAATACTTGAAGAGAACTGGAAACACATGTATGTGTAAAACTAGACAGATTTCTTCTTATTTAAATAGGAATTTTAGATTCTTATGTATTTAATTTTCATTCTGTACTCATAACACCCAACCGTTTAACAAAAACGTGTTTCAAGTGAACATTCGGTTCAGATTTTGAAAAAGATATCTCTGTTGAAATATAAATGCATTTCATTACGAAGATATTAAGTTAAGAGAAACGATTATATTGGATCCCATGGTTAATCAATATGCAAAATAAGAAATATTAAACCATTTAAAGTGTTTCTATAATTCACCAAGCCTTGAATATTATTGTATATAAATAATTTACACAGATTTACCTAAATTTCGGAGCTTCCATCGGATTGTGTGCTCGAACCACAACAGTTCAACTTGTAGCTCTGAAAGACTATTAATTTCCAAATTCTTCGGCTTGATTTTTTATATAATGAAAAACACAGTTCGTAGTGTTAAAATCATCATGATAATCTACTAGCTGACATATATTTTAGAGCTTTATCGGTAAGACTATAATTTATGAACGACCTTTGAGCAACGCTAGACTGACCTTGTGAGTGTCAACCTAATAACCAGGACCAAATGAGGACTCGAAACCTGTGTGAGGAATGACAGTTATGATTTACAGTTGATGATTAAGGTTAGAAACAAGGTTTAGGGTTTTCATCACGAACTGACGTCAGCTATAATCACAAAACTCTATTTATCCAAATGGATGAGTGAATTTTGCACCAAAATCCGAAACCTGCTATCCTATACCTGATTGGTTCGTTCATAAATTATAGTCCCACCCCTCTACGTATTTTGTAAACACTTTGACTTCAAAACATCAATAAATTAGCAAATCAATGTCATCTGATCAGGTTTAGCAAGAATTGAACGTTAATCGAACAGAATAAATTTATTGCTCAATGGTAAGTCCATTAAAATGACAATCATTTAGTCATTAGTTAAACTTTGTCCATAGTAATAAATATGACTCACAGCAAATTGAAAATAAGAAATTAAATAAAGAAATTCTTTTACTTATTTAAAAATCTATTTCAAAAATGTACTGAAGTTACTCGATAGATATAAAACTGGTATCATGATTATAATAATAAGTAGTATTTTACATTTTGACTAAACAAACGAGTAATTAAATGTTATGAATCTAGTGTTAGATAATAAATAATTAAATATTGTCATCCTTTCATTCATATTTCAGTAGTAAACAATTTAGATTTAGAAATTTCATTGGTTGAAATCATGAGTCAATTGAAGCTAGACCACCATGGAAATTTCCACAAAACCCATTCTGATAATAATAATCACCTGCTCACCAGTGACTGACTTCAGGAGACACTACTGGAGTTCTAGTGAGAAGTCGTTACCAGTGGAGTTCAACCAGGTCTGTTGGGAGATAGGAACTCACTGAAGACAATAGTGTACGGCGGCGCAACTTCATGGATTGGTTGAATTTAGACATTAACGCCGTTGGAAGCCGGCTCAGTGGTCTAATGGTTAAGTGCTCGCGCACTAAACCAATAGGTCCCGGGTTCAAATCCCGCGGGGTGTGGGATTGTGGATGCGCACCGCTGAGGAGTCCCATGCCAGGACGAAACGGCCGTCCAGTGCTTCCAGGTTTTCCATGGTGGTCTAGCTTCAATTGACTCATGATTTCAACCAGTGAAATTTCTAAAAAATCTCCACAAAACCCATTCTGATAGTTTAGATTTAGTTCCTTTTTACAACCATTTGATAAAAAATGTATTATTGAAGAAGGACTTAAATCTGTCATTGTTTATAATTCTATGTTATTCATCAAAACCGACTGTTTTATTCTTGATTTAATGTATAACTGAAACTATTGAATATGTGGATTATGTATTTATTTGGTTTTTCTATGACGATGCGATTCGTTTTCAAGGGACGATAATTTGATAGTCTACTAGTATTTATCAATTTTTAAATTTATGAATGATTCAAGCTTATACAACAACACGTATATATTTGTAAATGCATCTTTAACAACAACTCCTTATTCAAATCCATGTTGTATAAAATCATATTACATGTGGTACTTACATGATTTATCTGAAGGAATATCATCCTTTTACTAATCATATTGCGTGACCAGTAAATTATATCCATTACTTTATTCCATATACCAGTCCAAAGATCAATTAAACATATGGCTAACTTATCGTTTTCATTGCATTCTGTAGCACCTTAAGGAAATTACATAACAAAATCATTAGATTTTTAAGAAAAAAGGTTGTTTGTTTTTAAAAAACAAAAGTTGACAGATAAATAACTAACTAATGACTGATTAATGAAACAATTCATTTATAATATTCTTCAACAGGTTATTCAATAATAATAAGATAAATTACTGGTTACTCTTCTGCATAATGTGTTTTGCGTTTAAGAAATCAGTAACTGGAAACTAATGAACTGAAACGATAGTCTGACTTTTAATATCTAGAAATCAATTTATTCATGAGTTATAGAGAATAAAATGATCAAATGCAAAAGATTTTTCTAGATAGAAAAATTATTGAAAACAAAGAAAGTTAACCTTTTATAAGTCACTAATTCGTACAAAATAATACTGTGGTGTGAGTTACTTATATCCACATAAGTAGTATATAACGGTAGTCAGGTATAGAATGTATTTCACTAGAAGGTCGTTAAGGAAAAAACGGGAATGGACCGCAATTGGTATGAAAATACATGAAAAATGAAATCTGAGACAATCGACTGATATTTGCAAAAGGAACAGTTGTGTTTGAGACGGATAAACATTTTGCAAATTAACTATTTACTATATGGTTCTCAGATTTTAGTGAGATACTCTGCTTGATAAATTGTGTACTCAATGCATTAAGTAAGCATAAGAGAGGAACCGTTATTGATTAATTCATTTATAATTTGGAGTTATATTTATTTAACACTTTTCTTTCGACCAACAACTAGCTTCCACACTATTAACTATCCTATAATTTATCATTTTAGACTATCACTTTCCAATGTAAATTTGCTTGAAATATTCATGGTTTACACACAATTCATTGAGATATCGTACACAATAAGTTTTTTCGTTTAAAAATGATTATTTCAGTTAATAGCAAAATTATAGGCAAAATGGATGGTGGCTAGCAGTAGGATCCAGAACGCACGTTTTGTTCTATTTGGGACTCATCAACTGGATGTACCTGAACAGTGCTGGGTTCGATTCTCAAAGTGAACATCCACTCTGACTTCCAGGTACAGCCAGCTAACGAGGATCAAATAGAACGAAACACAGTATCGAGGCTATCCGCACAGGATGCGCATATGTCAATTACAGACTGATTAATTGCAGTCCTAAACATCAATGAAAAGATACAAATAAACAATAAAAAATGAAATTGATATCAAAATTAGTAGCAAGTAAATGAAAGTTATTGGACTCTGAACCTACCACAAACATCATCTGGTTTCATTTGTAACGTTAATGCTTTTAATAATAATTTAATATTCATTGAATCTAATAGAAAATTTTGACTTGATTCTTTCCTTGAATTGTGATGAAATAATTTTTGCTCAAACATTTCCGTAATCCATATAACATAAAATATGAGATTACATGACATTAAACCATCTGCTACATCAATGTTTAACGATTCAAGTAAGGTCTTCATAAGACTAAATAAATACAGAATCTAAATAAAATTAAAATAATAAGTGATGTATTTCATATGTTTATATTACAAATATGTAATTGAATTGAACGTGAAATAGATACATTTATGCCTATACAAACTAATTCTATTTTTCATGTCTATTTTGGATAATTATTAAAAACTTAGCTAATTCGAGATCATGAATTGATAAGAATATGAAAAATTAAATTATTTAGTAACTAATTTATAAGAAGCAATCAATCGAATATTCAGATTGTTTATATCTAACTCATAAACAGATAATTTTTTAAGTTGTTTTGATCAGATTTAGCAGTTTTTCATTCATGCTATCTTGAAGAATTCATACGGTTTACAGTTCTTTTTTGAATGTCTTAGACTATTATGGGCTTCATTCATAGAAATGTGTTACTACTTGATTCAATATGCCTTAAATTTAGGCAACATAATGCAAATTTCTGCAATGAACACAGCTGATGATAAGAACTTGAAAAAAAAGTTATATTCGACAACTTTAACTGGCAACAATAGCATAAGTAAATTCTAATGGAAGTAATTTTATTTACTCTTTTGATCTTAATATTGTTCATTTACGGTCTGAATCAAATTTGAATATGTTCTCCTTGCATACAAGTTTTGTCTAAAGGATCTCCTATAAATCATTTATAATATGGTGAAGTTTCTATATGAAGCTCTATAAATATTATGGAACTAATGTGCAGTATTGTATAAAATTAAATGTTGCAAACATGAGGATAGTTATTACAGAAATCTTTAATCAAATCTTACTAGGTTTTCGCAGTAATGATTGTCATTTCAAGAATTAAGCGTAGAGGTTGTCAGTGTGTGACATGGTGTCATGGTATGAAAGAAAGCTGTACAGGACCGGCTTCAGTTGTTCATTCACAACTCCCTGATTGGGGCCTTAGAGATGGTACAACACAGTGACTATAGAAGTTATCAAATATGACTCAGATTAGAAGCCATCGGCGATCCTGCTGTAACTTTATTTTACTTTCTTCATAAAAAAAGACGTAACTTTTTTAACTGAAAGAATTCTTTCTGGTTGTATCTTTGCTAACTGAACTGCTCCTCCCATTATTATTATTTCACTATCATACACTAATTTCTATTCGTTATTGTTTCCCTTTTTCTTATACACACTTTACATTCTCTATCTCTTCACACTTTCATTGTTATTGTGTGGCACATATGTATTTGGTGCTCCTTTGTACCAATATTTATGTTTTCAAATAAATATATGAGTTTTTCACAATTATCACACTGCGTTCATAACAAAAGCAGAATTTCAAAATAAGCTGTCAAACTGAATGTCAATTGACTTTCTACACTCTAAAGTGACGTAAAATATTTGTCTATGATCTGGTAGCCAACTTAAATAACCAATATTTTCATTAAAATTGAACACTAAACCCCCATGATATGAGATATAGATTACTTGATTTATTACCTTTGTATAAATTGTTATATTAGATCTCTTGTTTGAAAATTACATAACATGTCTATTTTTCATAAGCCCATTTAAAAGTTCATTTAATCAGATAAAATAGCCTAACAGTATAGGGGTTGTGGAGATTGTTAATTTTTGATTGAGACCATGAGCCGATTGATGTTAGACCACCATTGAAAACCTGGAAGCACTGGACGGGCGTTTCGTTCTACTGTGGGACTTCTCAGCAGTGCGCATCCACGATCCCGCTCGCGGGATTCGAACCCAGGGCCTTCAGTCTCACGCGCGAACGCTTAACCTACTGGACCATTGAGCCGGCATCTAACGGTGTTAATGTCTAACCTCAGCCAATCTACGAAGCTGCACAACTATCTTCCATTGTACTGAGGTAGACACCTGTTTCTACCCGACACGGATAAGCTCCACTGGTCATGGCTTCTCACCAGAACTCCAAGAATTTTCTCACGAAGCTAGTCACTAGTGAGCACATGGTAATCACCAGTATAGGGGTTGTAAAGATTATTAAGTTTTGATTGAGATCATGAACCGATTGGTTTAAATTCGTAATAATGAACATCCTATGATATTAATCATTTTATCCCAAATATTGAAGTATTATAAAAGACTCTATTACTAATAAAATATATCACCTTCCACGGTAATGAATTGGTTAAATTCCTGATAACCTTTTTACATCATTAATTTAAAAGATCTTAGTGAAGGTCGTTCTATTTTTCTTCAAATGATTCTATTTCAATAAAAGAATCTGTTTTTACCTAGTCATTTATAAATATCAAGAAAAAATAAAGATTAACATAATCAGCTTTCTTTGTTTTCTATATTGATTAATAGTTAAATAACAAATTTTAATGTTTACTTACTCCAATTAGTTTCATTTGAATTGTGTTGAAATATTCTATTTTCAATTTATTCTGAATGAACCATTTATGACATAATATATGACAATAATCCCATAATACTATAATAATATCTATCAAAATTGCATTATCATACATAGAGATCTATTGTAGTATTTAATATAAAATCATATTCACATTTACCTGAAGTTCATCTATTTTCTTAACGATATTATCCAATTTTTGTATTAATTTTAATATACCTTTTGGTAAAAAGTCTGATTATTAAAACATATATAGGATACCATATATTTATGTAACTTACTTAAAATTAATGTTTGATTATGTAATAATCTAGTTGAATTTACTTCTTTATCACTATCCAAGAAATCGATTGCCTATACCAATTAATTAAACAATAAAATGATGATAAGCATTTTAAACAAAGTTTAATAGTGACTAGTAGAAGAAATCAGAATGAGCGTTTCTCTCCATTTAAGACTAATCAGTTTGATACATCTACACTCCAATCTTGATATCAAACTAGAATAAAGTAACTGGTATCCTTTTATTTGTGTGTTAGTTGATGCTAAACTTTCAAACGTTTGTAATTCTTTCTTTGATGTGTTTTGTTCTTGGGTATTCATGTTTTGCTTTGAGATCTAACAGCTAGATCCCAATGTATTCTTAATATTACCAATTGTTGACACAAATTCGAAAAACATCTACTTCCTAACTATAACAAGATGAAATAAGATTTGTAAGATACAGTATTTTTCATTCTTAACAAACTACACCTTAGGCATTCACTATTTTAATCTCACATACAAAGCGTAGATTTTTCTAAATACTTATCAGGCTTAATTTAAATGACTTACTACCACACGCGTTAATTCCATAAATTTATTATTCGATTAACTAATTACTTATGAATTATCCAATGATATGTATAAAATATTATTATACTCACTAAATAGAACTATAATCATTATATTCCGACGAAATAAAAGTTACTCACTTATAAATAAGAGTGAACCTATAATATATCAGCACGAAAGTATTAAGACAAATCCCAGACTAGTAGATCTAGTAACAGTATTGATGGTAACATAAAGAAGATATCATTTAAGTAGAAAGAACGTATTCAATGAATAAAAAGTATAAAAAATATCTTAGAGCTCAAGATCTAAGCAAAGATAAACTGTGAATAGGTTCAAGCCATCGGGGACGACCCCAGCCATATCATCAGAAGTCTCTAACTATTAGTTATGATAACCAAAAGCACTCAAACCAAGTAGTCTACACCTACCTACACTGCTCAGTTTGAAAATTGATGACTGATGTCTATTCTTGGCTTTGCTCTCCCTAGTTTGTACCAGTTGTACTTCAAAAGGTATATAAATAGATCATATAATATATACTTGAAATGATAGATCTCTTTCCAACAACGTAGTTAAGTACAAGACAACTTATTAAACGATCAAAAGACTGGTTGAATCCTCTTTTCATCAACATACTCTTAACGTTCTAATATAGATAGTCTGTAAGACTTTATCAATTCCAGTCTCCGACATACCACATTACTCAATGAGTGTCATTCAATCATCATCTAGAGGAGAAGTGGGTCGTAATATATTCAAAGTTTCATTTAACTTCGTTCACCCTATTTCATTTCACTAGTATTAAATTTGTGAAATTTAGATACCTATCAGTCTGACAGATAGCTTGTGTTTGGTTTTACTAAACAGACAACTAGGTGAATTCACTTCATTAATTGTGGCTATTAACATTTATGAATGACCACAGAACAGTAAACAGCTTCACATTTTTGAAAATCTAGCAAAAATAAGATAATAGATTATTAATCTGACTTGGTTCATTTCGCCATGTGATTTATTACATTAAAATTTATGAAACTCAACTGCATAACATATACCTACTTTGTTTGACTATTTACACACGAACCATTATAGATGTGCCTGTTGACAAAGTTACACTAAGTCCAAGATCACTGTATTAATAAGCATGAAATTGTAAGTTTAGTTTTAACTTTCGTTCACTTCTATGAATACCTTCCATAGAACTCAATTTTACTGAAAGATTTAAATTCTCAAGTTACCATGTTAGTTGAAAATGCTACAGTTATTCATTACTGATAAACATCAGCTATTTACAAAATCTACTTATGTACATTACCTTTCTATTGACCAGTGAATATTGTTAAACTATTCATTCTTTTTTCATAGCCGAATTCTGATAATAAGATTCACCTACAACACCATATGTTCAGTGCATCCTTTTAAATTTCTTACTTTAATAAATTCAATTGACCATATTTTGACTGTGATATTCTTAAAATCTATTTATTTGTAATACATCATTGATAACGAACTAAATTCTATTCATCTCTAGCAAGTGTTTGAGTTCTGTCTTAATTAACTGGACTGTATATTACTTAAGTTACAACAAGATTACACCTTCCTATGAACTTACCGAATTTAATGTATCCTGTTGTTTCATAGAACTTTTACTTACATTAGCCGCTGGAGTTTCTTGTACAATAGGTTGTTGTAATACATCCTCTATTATCTCGTTTTTATTCAATACTTTTATTGACAATTGTGCAGAGTGTAACACACGAAGTAATTCCAATGTATCAATTTGTGCTTGAATATACTGTATAAATTCTTTAGGTACTTGTTCTTTAATTAGATCTAATAGTTTTTCCTGTTGGTAAAAAATAATTTAGCGATTTAAATCGGTTAAATCATTGGGTTTGCATTGCTGCTTTATTAATGTCAATGAATAGCACAAATCTTATTTAGAATGTCAATTAGAATTAAGAAAGAAAGCAACTTCATATATAATTGATTAAAGAGATTTATTTAACATCAGAATTACAAAAAAATTACTGCTATGGTGTGTGTCAGTTATGTTGATATAAGTAGTATATAACGCTAGTCTTACACACAGAAGGTTGAGAAGATCGAAAAGAAAAGAACGGGAACAGAAAGCGATTGGTATGGAAATGCAGGAACAATGAAGCCTGAGACAATTAATAAGCATTTTGCAAATGAAGTATTTTCTGTATGGTTCTCAGATTTTACTAAAAGGTTCTGTAATTTTGTGTTCACATACATTTAGTTTTCACCGCTTGTGTTCTCGTTCATTACATTGTTATGACTTTTATGAATTCATTTAGAGTTAAAAGATCTACGTGAACTATCTCAATAAAAAGGTGACAGAGAAATCAACATCAATCTCTGTACTAGATTAAACTAAATAATATGTGTGGAAAGCATAGTTGGAGAACTTTATACTTTGAGTGTTAATCATTCATTTATTTATATTTGCAAATGTATGATACATGTGTAAAAATCAGTAAATTATATCAGATATGTTAATTGTTCATGTGATGACTTTTCCATTGTACTATCAGTTTTTCTTGTTTCAATGGCGTTTAAGTTAAATAATTAGATGAATGAATCATTTTGAAAGTAATCATGGTAGTTAAAATTACCTTCCTTACTACCTTTGTCTAAATATCTGGGCAAACACTAAATAAAAATGATGTCTAATGGATTATAGACATCACGTTTCAGGTAGACAACGAAAAGTAGTTTAAAAAAGCATCAATTCGGCATCCAATAGAATAAAAAACATATGGGTAGTCGTTTAGAAAAGCTTAAATGTAAGATAATGATTTAAATCATCAACTTGTTTTAGTTGCATGAACAATATTTCCCTATTTATTACTGAAACAATTACATAAGAAACTGTTTATTAAATAGATTGATACCATTCATCCCAATTTTCTTTGTTCTTACAACTGTCTTTTAAGAAAACTAGGTCCAGCATTCCCAATTAAGAAACTATGAATACTTTGTTAGTTATATTCTAAACGATATAATATTTTAACTTTCCAACTATATCCCGTATAATGTGAAGAAAACACATTTCAGTATGAGTTTCTTACCACATAACTGTACATCATATGGATGACAATTAATTTGAGTTATGAAACAAAAACGAACGGAATTCTGTCCATCTGCTTTTCATGAAATAAGCTTTAAATATAATGAATACTTTAAGTTTGGTTTCACTTCTATTTAGTGATTATTGCTATGAAATTCTATATTCGAAAAGTTTTACAACGTAACATTAATCTTAAGTATAGAAAATCAATATGGTATTTAGAATAAACTTTTACTGTACTTTTAGCCATGAAGAAGACCTATGCTTCATCCTTATTGGTTCGCAAAAGCTTGACGCATCCGTAATCTATAAAATATTGATGATCCCTATAGGATTCTAACCTACATCACTCAGTGTTGTAATCAGGAGTTTTACATTTTTAACGACAATTCTTTACCTCTTAAAGATAATATACGAATCAGTATTTGAATGAACAATATTTTTGCAGTTCAATAAAATAAATTTATTGGCTTTTTATACTTTAATTGAAGGTAACTAAAATATTTTACTTACTTCGAAAACATGCAAAGTATCTCGTGATACCAAATCGAAAATATCGTACTGAGCACATGCAAAATAGATTTGTATTAATTTCATCAAACTATCTATTGTACAACTAACGTTTGTATTTATAGTTGATGAAGGTATTGCTTTTGATTCTGATGACAATTCTCCGTTTTCATCATATTCTTCGGTGGAATCATGGTAATTGTACTGATAATGAATTAAATCTAGTTGTGTCCATTTCAAAAATTTTGTTTCATTCAATGCTATTGTATGATTTATTAAACCTGTAGAAGTTTTCTCTCTATCTACTGGTATTTTACGAATGACGTGTATTCCAGATAGAAAATTAGGAATCAATTTTTTAGAAGAATTTGCTGAGTCAAGAAAAAATTAAATAAATGAAAATGATTTAACACTCTTTCTGTTTGGACCAATTATTGTTTTAAAGTAAATTAATTTAAATAACGAAAGTAATTCACGTTCTCATTGAAGGAGACCTAATCACATAACGCACCAATTTACAGTAATGCTATATATCATTAATAGTACTTTATTTTAAAAGACGTACAAAAGTTGTTTCCACTGGACATTTTCTACAAAAATTTTAATGGTGCAGAAGATATAATGCCTGTGAAATGCAGTTACAACTGACAGTATTTTGTAATATAGTTTTGTTATCGATGTATACACATAGTCATCATTCTTGTAAGGATAGAGATTTCTTTAGTAAGAAGAATATAATTGCAAGAACAATACATGTACATTGATAAACTGGCATGGTCACAACGTTACAAGCCTTTGGAATAATAGATTTCATAAAAGATGCAGTAGTTAGCAAACAACCTTTCCTTAGGGGAGGGGATTGAGACAACGCGAATTGGAATTAACAGTACAGTGTAAGGCGGTTCCAGTATTGTTATAGGGTACCCCTTGATTTTATTGATTCGCCTACATGTTTTGGTTACTTTTACACATTTCTTTTTAAACACTTACTCAATGAATCAGATTGCAACTGTTATTTTTCCAATTTTGCTAGATTTAACGTTAACTCTTGTTAGGCTTTCTTTGTAATTCTGTTCAGTACAAAACCCCGAATGAATATAAATCTCATTATATGTCAAATAAACATCTCAGTTTAGGCGCATAGTTGTGATTTACACTCCGAAGTACCTTGTTACGATGAAACTGTAAATAGTGTTAGGTTTTTATATATGCTTTGATTACCAGATATTATACAACGTAGTTGTGGAACTATCATAAATAACACAAGACAAAAATACTGAAATAAATACGTTCATAAATATTTGAGATTTCATGACAGCTAACACATTAATTTTTTAGAAAATAACATGAATTGACTAAATATTTGGACTATTACTCGGATATTTGAATATTCAAGATGACCAATTAATTAAAACTATTTGAATAGTTACAGTGTCTAAAAAGTTCTTCTATGCATCTTTTTCACATCACCTGCTTAATTTTTACGTTTAGTTTAATTTTTAGCTCAATCAGTTGTTACTGAACAATGTAGAGTATTCAGTTTCATGACTACTATCACTTATATGAATGGTATTTGCTGTATTTATCTTATTCGGTTCTTGCTCTTTAGAACTAGATTATGAAAGACTACAACTAATCTGACAAAAAATTTACCCTGATATGATCATGAATATAAAATGGTGTTACCGATTGTAGCTCACTTTCATGTCGACATTTCAACTCGTTGTAAATGGAAATCATTTTTTTATGTCAGTATTAGAATTGATACCAAACAGCTTGTCATTATTATTAACAGCTTTAAAGATTAAATAGGCATTATATCAGTGAAAAAGATTAATTTTTCCGACCAATGTAACCACTGAGATTGGAATAAACGTTCATTCCAAATTTTATTTATAAACAAATGGTTTCGTTTACCTTACCAAACTACTTTGCAATTCGTTATAAATGAAGACTAAAAATCAAAAATCAATTGTAGTTTATCAAAAGTATTTATGAAACAAAATAGTTCAATATTTCATATGCAATATTCAGTATTATACATTCACACTATCCCCTGGATAATATCATAGTGATATTTTCAGAAAATGTTGTGTATTACCTTAAAAACCAATATTTCCGACTGGTCCGCAACTTTTATCATGTTTGGAAAACTGGAATATCTTTGAACTTAGTTATGAAGTTTCCAAGCCAATTTTTATCACTGAATAAGCTCATATTTGTTAGCAAATTAAAAATAATGTTTTGGTTAATTTGGAGACCTTAGGTGTCAATGCTCATAATCCACCAAACTAGCACAGATATATTCAGTCTTTATTTTGCTCAGGATTCTCAGTTCTTATTTTTTCTTACACTATGTATGACTTTATTTTGTTCGCCTTTTCAAAATTCATCATTTACTCCGACTTCTCAGATATTCATCTTACTAATCTCAACCTACTACACTGATACGGTGTCATAACTTTACCCGATGAACACATATCAGATCGTATGCCAATTATCATTGACTGATTGCGTTTACTTTACTTACTTACTTGCGTACAACGTTTGGTTTTTAAATCACTGTTTCCAGATAACTTTCGGACATTTTTATATGACAAGCATACAAGCATAATTAATTGATGACGGCAAAATATCAGTAGTTTATTTAAGAGTGGAGAACTACAAAATCAATTTGTTTACAATTTGTGTGTAACAAATAATGATCCGAAATATGGGGAAAAGGGTAAATAAGTATTCAAAAAGTAGCATATTTACATGAAAACATGAGGACAACTAACTATACAACGCTAAAAATTGCATATATATTGGTTTTTGTGTATGTTTTCTATCTTTAAGGTTGTTTAAAAAATAACCTGATCTTAATTATTAATTATTATGATTATTATTTAAAATTCACAATGTTTTGTGGAGTAAATTACATAGTTAAATTCTTACTTACGATAAATTAACTCCATTGACGCAATAAAAAGTTCAGTATAAACGTCAGACATTTCCCAATCAGATGAATCTACTGGTGGTTTTGGTATGATTAAACTTCTTCTTTCTCCAGGCTTTAAGCTTAATGCTTCTAAAATAGCTAATATTTGAGCAGACGAATTTGGAATTAATTGATTTAGATAACGTTCAGTAATTGTTCGAGGCCATGAATGCTGTACACAATATGAAAATATTTTAAATACATTTAATGAATAACGGTCAAACAAAATGATTTGTAGATATATTATTGTGGAACACTTTAAGAAATCAAGACATTTTGACAGTGATAAATAAATTCGAGCTATTAAGAAACCAGGCCACGGTTACAATATATAGGAATTAAAATCCATCAACTGCTTTACCGGAGAATTGACTTAAAATTTTCTGAATAATTCACTTAAGTTAGGAATATCTTCCTCATTACATCAGTAGAAATAGTTGCAACTAAAAGTTACGAACTAAATAAGTCAAGTAAAAAATTGAAAAACAACACAGAAATTAGGCACTTATTCGTTAAAAATATAATTTAGATATAATTCATTAACTGTCAAAAAGCTGCGCGATAACAGTTAATCTAATTGAACTTTAAGTCAGTCAGCAACAATGTAGAACTTCGAACCTATGTACATTAGTTCAAGTTGTCAAACCACATTAGCGCAGAGATACAATTGTCTATTCAAATCCCATAGTGGTATAAGGAGCAATCGGAAAGATTAGGATTTGGAGATGTATTAAAGCTTCAAACTGCTTTCTAATCTCTTTGATCTATGCTGCTAGATAGTAGCACTACCCTTTACAAATAAACTAGTGTCAATCAATGTAGAGTATTCAATTTTGATCAGTGAGTTGCACCACCTAAAACATTGTTAATTAGTATCTATTTAGAAAACTAAATATAGTTGTAGTGAATTCATATTCACAGTGATAACCATGTGAGAATAACTATATTTCTTTTCGTATTCCATAAAAGTGAAATATCCAATATTTTCGAGCAGTTTTCCGTTCAATTGGGATTTCTGCATATGCCTTCTATAAACATGACACAACAGCGCATCCCAACTTCACGAGTGAAACAAGTAAATAAAGTAGGAGTGAAAACTTGAATTGAAATTCGTGGTGAAAATTGCACGCTTATGTGCAGCAATCATCCACTAACTGAACGAAATCAATGCTCGTAAACGCTAAATATTTCATAATTATACAAAACTGAAAAGCAGACCTGCTACAATTTTACAGATACGCATCTTATTCTTGAGAAACTTGGTGTTTGCAAGTCACTGTTATTGAATTTACAAAAAGACATGTACATATGCTGTTTATTCATAATATGATTCTGAAATGTAAAAACGTATACAAGAAGAATGAGAATTACGCTTTATCGTGATAAACAAAACACCTTGAACGTTTCATTTTTATCGGTTAACAATAAAAATGAGTTTCCATAAATATGCATAGTTAGAACCAATAGCGCCTTATCTTGAATTGTTTCTATCAATCTATCTGACCTTAGTTCATTGGAAAAAACCGGTTGTTGCAACATTTTTTGTAAGTAAACAGTGGAATATCACTTTTAATAAAAGTAAAACTGCCTTCTTAACATCACAGTTGCAGTTAAAAAATGAAAATTCTTCACCAAAAAATTTCTTTTGACGTGTATAAGTTATTTTACCCCGTTATAATTAAAAAAGGAAGACAATCACTATTATTTTCGTTGTATTGACCTAAGTATTTTTTTCTTAGAATTAGAAGTTTATCATTCCAACCATTTAGCATTTTACTTATTCACCATGTGTTTCAAAGAAACTATGAAAGAATCAAAGATTGAATTACACAAAAAGCTCATTCTGTATAGCTCACGAAAACGTTACGAATAGTTCCTATATTTAAATAATTACTTTGAAACTAACCTACCTGTAATAGTGTAGCGAATTCAACTCTGACTTTTGGTCGGAGATAACCTTGTGGACGTTTACGTGATTCAAAGACAGATCGTTTAAACACCATGGAAGAAAGCTGTATTTACAAATTCATAAAATGTTATCACTTTTTTGGACGTGTTTTAAATAAGATAAGGATTATGATGAAATAAATATCATAAAACATAATGTTGTACAAAGCATTGCTAAATTGTAAAATTTATCATAAAATGGTTTATTATCATTATTATTATCGGCGTTTACTTATTAGTTAATTATTCAATACAATGCACACTGTAAGCTGGGTTATTATACGATCGAATAAATCAGTCGGTTTAAACTAAATGGATACTGCAAGGTTAAATTGCTTCATTTCATTTCAGTAAAATAGTATGACGTTTACAAATACTTGAAGTGTCAATAAAAACGGCTTTATACAGATAACACATTTTGTTATTTTATTCTTTATTCATCTTTCTTAATATTTAATTATCCAGCGTTTAAAGATTCACAACTCTTTTAAATTACTCCATCAAAATCATGATAAATAATTTCTCACGTCCATATTCATTCTATCTTTATAATATCTAATCGCGGTTTATGCTCATGAAATAATTTTTCAGCTGTATCGAATTCAGTCAGTTATAATTATGATGAATTCAAGCCGAACTATCACTAAATTTATTGGTTCGAATAAAATTTCAGTAACTAATCTACAGCTGATTTCTTTTACTTAGAAAATTCCATAAACTTGCCTATCTGTTAATATATTTGAATAACAAACTGTTTTCACATGAATTGTATGCACTATCAGCACTCAAACAAACTGGCTGTTCCTATTTTATAAACATAAATATTAAAATAACTAGACTCTGCCACACTAATATCTTGAAGCTCTAGTAAAACCAGAAAACTGTCATGAATACCAGAGCCTAAAAAGTTTGTGATATCTCCATAATTATATCTTCACAATAAATTTAGCTCCCAAAGTTGCAAAATGTATTAGTTTAAACATATCATTGGAAGAAATTAAATTCTACTGTGTTTACAAATCAGTCAGAATACATTCCATGTATGTTTTCAGGATGGTTTCAATAGCTCATAACACAATGGCTACTTTTAAACAAAACTCCTGTCAAAACTAACATGTCTAGGGATCTCAAAGATAGAACATTCTTCCAGGATTTTCGTGGTTTCATTTGGTAGCATTAGTCATCGAATTGTTGACCAACAGGTTGTTTGATCAATATCATCAGACTAAGTGAAACTAAGGTGTTTTTTACTTCACGTCAGAAGAGGAAACTAATATTTTCAAAAAAAATACACATTTCATCTAAGTAAAAATCGTGGCCGTGTAAACGAAGTATTTTGACACAATCGCATTGTTCATATACAAACTGCTAGTTTGTTTATGAGTAGGAATATGTGCAATTAATTCTGTGTAGATATTGAACTGCTTTTAAGGTCAGTTTTCTGACAGAGTAGTAAACTCAAAATAAATTAGCCGTGGTTTTAAACTTTTCAAACTTTCGAACTAAATAAGGTGTTTTTATCATACCTAAAACTCCATAGTTCATAGATTATCTTGTATTTTCGAAAATATTTTAAAAGATTGGTGTAACAGCTTTGGTGAAAATTTTCACAGAGTGAATACCATCTATTCAATGATACCGACTGAATGACAAAAATTGTACTAGGTGTTTAAAGAAATGAAATGTTTTGATATCATTCCTCTTTATGCAAACTTCTTAGCATATTCGGTAGCAGTAATGAGGGTGGAAGAAGGTCAACGGTAATTTACGTTTTTACATACTTCGATAGCAACCACGTGAAATAAATTACTGGAGGTGGTCGACATCAAACTTTTCTCCCGGTCCCGTAGTTGATGCATCTCAGCAAAATCAACCAGCGATTTTCTTGCCAGAGCCTATTCGATCGAAAACAAAGATCAATGATTACCACTTGCTTATAACCGTCTGGATATTTTGAAATGCGTATATAGAGAGAATAAAAAATAACTTCAGTAAACATGCTACTTTCGAGAAATGAGATGTTAGTATTTATATGGTTCGCTCACTCACTTATTTTGTTTTTCTTTTAATTTTCTGAAAAAGTATCTGTGGGTGCTCCAACCTGGTTTATTTTTGAAATCTCTGTTTATCTAAAGATAAGACCACATACTTATTACATTAATAATATATGTGGATGTTTTAAGAACCCCTTTGCATTTTCCATATTTTAAATCTCCTTGAACGCTTAGTTATTTGCGTACGACTTAAATAAGTCGAAAACTTGATTTTCCTTTCTGTTCAAACTGTCTAAATACCTATGTCATTTTCACTGACTTTGCAAATTCAGTGCACTTTGCTAACTTAATTCAAGGTAACTTATATGTGCAATCGTTCTGAGGTTTTACCATTTATTTTTAGTAATAACGTGTGGTACAGAATTCGACTTTCTGGCTCAAGACTTACTTACGCCTGTTACTCCTCGTGAAGGAGCATAGGCCGCTCACCAGCAGTCTCCGTCCAACCCTGTCCTGGGCAATCCTTTCCAGCTCCTTCCAGTTCCTATTCATCCTTTTCATATCTGCTTCTAGTTCCCGACGTAACGTGTTCTTTGGCCTTCCTCTTTTCTATTTCCCCTCAGGATTCCAAGTTAGGGCTTGTCTCGTGATGCGATTCGACGATTTCCGTAATGTATGTTCTATCCGGCTAATGGATGTTGAGTATCTTCTGTAGACAACTATTTATAAATACTTGTACCTTCTTGATGGTGGTTTTAGTTCTCCAATTTTCAGCTCCGTACAGTAGAACTGCCTTGACGTTCGTATTGAAGATTCGCACTTTGATATTGGTTGGAAGTTGTTTTGAGTTCCATATGTTCTTCAATTGTAGGAATGCGACCCTTGCTTTGACAATCCTCGCCTTTACGTCTGCATTTGAACCTCCTTGTTCATCGATGATGCTTCCCAGGTATGTGAAGGATTCTACATCTTCCTGAGTTTCACCATCAAGAGTGACTAGATTGCTGTTCTTCTCTTTGAATTTGAGGTTCTTGGTTTACCCCTTGTGTATGCTGAGGCCTACTGATGCAGAGACTGCTGCTACACTGACTGTCTTTATCTGCATTTGTTCATGTGTATGCGATAGGAGGGCCAGGTCATCTGCGAAGTTCAAATCGTCTAATTGATTCTGAGCTGTCCGTTGTATTCCGTGTTTGCCCTCAGATGTCGAGGTCTTCATAATCCAGTCGACCACCGCAAGAAAGAGGAAGGGAGAAAGTAGACAGCCTTGTCTGGCTCAAGAGTATGTGGATAAATAACGGGAACAGTACAGTGAACAACTGTAGCTGTTTCAGTGATAACTAATCATCCTGCCTTTACCCAAGTCATTAAGTTGTTTTTCTTGATAATCACATCGAACACAACAGTTTTATTTAATTTATTCATAAAAATCACATAAAGTAAGCCTAAAGCTTTGTCATGTTTAGGTTCTAGTTCAATATATCATTGTGACTGTTTGCAAGCACTGAAAATGCTTAGCATCTGAAGCATTTAAAAAATCTTTGGCAATTTAGTATAGACATTTTGTTTCTTTGAAACATCTTAGGATTCTTAAATTAAAGTATCACGAATCTAGAGTTTTCTGTTATCTCAATAATTGCATAGTTTTGTCTAAATAGAATTTAATGACACATTTTTAAGCCACTTAATAAGTTTTGTCTGGTTGTTTAGAATATATGATCATTGATTAGCCCTCTTAAGAATGAACAAGCATATCATGTCAACCGAATCAATATATTTTACGAACAATAAAACAACTGTGCAGTGTCTCCGATGTAGCGAATAAGTTTCATTTTTAGGACACAGATAACAGATATATTTGGTTAATCACTTGAACAGTAATAATAATGACTTCTTATACATATTTTAGTTATCATTACGATTTCTTACAGAACCAAATTACTCAGTGAAACAGGTCATGTATAGTATTTAAAATAAAAATTACATTTAATTGTGAATTCAAACACCAGTATTATAGTTTATGAAAATTAACTTTCGTAATATAAATTAATTTACCCTTGAGACCTCGTCAACGAAGAACTCTCAGCTCCAAACATACATTATTGTAGTGAAGCTTTTTCAAGTATTGCAAACCAAAAGGTTTATCATTCAAACCATACTAATTAGACCAACTCATTTCAGAACAGCTGCCCCCAAGCTTTTAAAGACAATTTTTTATTTGTTGCTGGAGGTAATGTTCATACTATTGTAATGACGAAAACCTTTGACTTTTTTCTAGCCTGCAGATAATGTGAATGTTCACAACTACTACCGGTCTTCCCACGCTTGGCTACTAGGGTACTATTCAAATGTAACTTACTATCACTAGCTTGTTCTTTCTTCAAGTGCTGCCCAAACTTTTTCTATTTTATCAATAAAAATTGCGTTGTTCAAAATATCACAAACAACTATAAAATGGTAAGTGATAACAAGCAAACCGGCAAGAAAAATCACAAGTCGAGAATGAAAGAATTATCTAATATCTTTGGTTATTTAGTTAAGGAAAATGACTGGGAAACGTAATGAAAAGCATCATTTAAAGCCCTCAGAAGAAGCAGTAAATACGAATTTAACTTTATATTTAATGTAAAACTGGTTTTTCTTTAAATCACTGGAACGTTGCATAGAAAGTCAATGACAAAGAGTCGTCAAATATTAGTACTTTGAACTGCGATGGATTTTCGAACTCATATAGCTATGTAGCGGTAAATAAATCCCCAAAATAAATAGCCCTAAGTTTTCGACATTGGATGCTGACCATATGTTTTAGTGGACTCATCTAGCTGAAGGCGCTCGGTCATGCATCCGCACCAGATCACGTGTGGTAACGCCGTGCTCAACATCAACCTCAATCGCTAGCCAGATTAGATCAGAGAATTCCGATATATTGGTCATCGCCAAATATACTCTTCCGATCTCCTCGACTCTGTCTTTTGATTTCTCTGGGCGGGAACGAAATATATTAGAAGGTGTTACTGGTAGAAGCGTTGTCAAACACTGAATACCTGTGACATTATCATTGGTGAGCCCGACGTGATCTGGTACACCTAATTGCAACTGTGAGTCTGTTCCTTTTTGGGATTTTTATATATCATTGCCTTATTTTTTTATTTTTTTTTAAACATTGTGATTTTTTTTCGTGTTTTTTTTCTTGGATATATATACATTTTCCCCTCGTTCATTATCGTACTTCATACTCCATCATGACTGAACAGACACCTAAAGTACTCAAGCTTAAGACTTTGTCCCCGCCTTCGTTTCAACTGATGCCTTTCTGGCCCGACAACATCGAAGCTTGGTTTTGCTACGCAGAAGCCGACTTCTACGAGCACGGCGTGATCGACACACGTGCACAATTCCTCGCAGTAGTCAAGGCACTACCGCGCGAATTCAACAGGTACGTAACACCTAGTATGTTTACTAGTGATGTTTCCGATCCTTACGAAATCTTAAAACGCTCGATTCTTAAACGAGGAGATCTAACTGATCGAAAAAGGTTAGATCAACTCTTCAACAATATCGACCTGCAACACGGTTCTGCGACGGACATGTTGCAACGGATGAGAGAGGTAATAGGCCCAAGAACTTTCGACGAAGGTCTATTCAGACAACTCTTCTTGTCAAAACTTCCCCAACAGGTGCAAGCAGTTCTGGTCTCGTTCCAGAACAAAGCCTTAGACGAGCTAGCTGCATCTGCCGACCGCATTTTAGAAATTACGAAACCTTCTACTACCGAGGTATTCTCAGTCAAAGAAAAGCCTCACACGACTCAGAATGATATAACCGACTTATGTCACACACTCACGCGTTATCTTAGTCTTCGTACCGACCGTAAGAGATCGCGCACACCACGTAGAAGCATTTCTCGTAAGCGATCTGCCTCTAGACCACGAGAGACAGATAACCCCGATTGGTGCTGGTATCATAACCAGTATGGAAAGCTTTCCAGAAATTGCAGAAAACCCTGCAATTTTCCCAACACGAAACCGACTGATTCGAAAAGCGATTCGGGAAACTTCCAAGCCGGCACGCGTTAACGGCAACCGTAGCCGGCGAACAAAGCCGTCTGTTATTCGTCACAGATGTGACAACGAGAGTTCGCTACCTCGTCGACACTGGCGCAGAAGTTAGCGTTCTCCCAGCGAATCCTAACGACCGACTTCACGAATCGACCCTAAACTTACAGGCGGCAAACGGAAAACCGATCGCTACGTATGGCAAAAGGTACGTTTACCTTAACGTGGGTTTACGCAAACCCATCCATTGGATTTTCGTTGTTGCAGATGTTTTTATGCCAATCATTGGTATGGACCTTCTACAACACCATAATCTTATCATCGACACGCGCAAACGGAGGCTAGTAGACGGAAACACTAATTTGTCCGTTTGCGTAACTTCTTTCACTGGTTGTAGAGTATCCCCAGTCACAGTTAAACATATGATAGACCCACTCTATCAACCACTACTCGATAAGTACCCTGGGATACAACAAACTCAACCGAAACTACCGTGTGTAACCAGCAATGTTACACATCATATCACGACTACAGGACCACCTGTATTCTCTAAAGCACGACGACTAGCTCCTGAAAAGCTAAGGTTAGCGAAAAACGAATTCGATCACATGATAGATTTAGGAATCATACGACCGTCAAGTAGCCCATATGCATCTCCGTTGCACATAGTCCCTAAAAAGGACAGCAACGATTGGCGTCCAACTGGTGACTATCGGCGATTGAACGCGAAAACCATTCCCGATCGTTACCCGTTGCCTCACATTCACGATTTGACAGCTACCTTGAAAGGTACAACTGTCTTTTCGAAAATCGACTTGGTTAAAGCGTATAACCAAATCCCTATGGCTACTGACGACATACCGAAAACAGCTATCATAACTCCCTTCGGACTCTATGAATTTTTGCGAATGCCTTTCGGTCTAAGGAATGCTGCTCAAACATTCCAAAGATTCATAGACGACGTTTTTCGAGGTCTCAACTTCGTACACGCGTATGTTGATGACTGTCTAATCGCAAGTCCGGACAGAGAAACACATCTCAAGCATCTGGATCTTGTTTTCGAACGACTTCAAAAACATGGCATAACTGTAAACGTTCAGAAATGCCAATTCGGAACCAACTCGTTAGACTTCCTAGGACACACTATCGATGCTCAAGGCATTCGACCCCTTAGAACCAAAGTGGCGGCCATTCTGGATTACCCAGAACCGACCACCGTCAAGCAATTACGCACGTTCAACGGCCTCGTAAGTTTCTATAGACGTTTCATACCGAAATGCGCATTACTCATGAAACCTCTGACCGACCAACTTCGTGGAAATGCGAAATCCATTAATTTGGACGACACCGCACGAAAAGCATTCTCCACAGTTAAGGAACTGATTGCTAAAGCAACAATGCTCGCACATCAGGACACCCGAGCACCCATTAGCATCGCAGTAGACGCATCCGACTCGGCAATCGGAGGAGTCTTACAACAATGGGTTAACAACCCCTGGCAACCCTTGGCATTTTTCTCTATAAGGTTGCTAGACACCGAATCGAGGTACAGCACATTCGGTAGGGAACTCCTAGCTATGTATTGTGCTGTACGGCATTTTCAACACTACATCGAAGGTCGTGAATTCACTCTTTTCACGGACCATAAACCGCTCACTTTCTCGTTAAGCTCTCCTTCTGACAAGTACTCTCCCCGTGAGTCTCGACAACTGGACTACATTTCGCAGTTTACTTCAGACATTCAACACATCTCTGGAGCAAACAATGTAGTTGCAGACGCTTTATCTCGCATAACTTCCTTGAACAGTTTCCAAGGAATCGACCTTCTTAAACTCGCCGAGCTTCAAAAAGAAGACACTGATCTTCAGCACGAGTTATCGTCCACGACACTTAAACTACGCATCAAACAGATGAGAACAGGTAACGAAACCTTACTTTGTGACACGTCTACAGGTAGGGATCGCCCAATCGTGCCGAAACATTATCGACGCAATGTCTTCAATACATTGCACAAACTTTCGCATCCAGGTGTTCGTGCAACCATCAAGCTTATAGCAGAACGGTTTTGCTGGCCTGGAATGAATAAAGACGTGAGGGAGTGGGCACGCTCCTGTGTAAGCTGCCAAAAATCTAAGGTCATCAGACACAATAAATGTCCCTTAGACTCGTTTAAAACTCCCGATGCTCGTTTCGACCATGTTCATTTGGATTTGGTAGGACCTCTACCAGATTCAAATGGATACTCTTACCTCTTAACCTGCGTAGACCGTTTCACTCGATGGCCAGAAGCAGTACCTATCAAGGACATCACTGCTGAAACAGTGGCCCGCACCTTCGTCGAACGATGGGTAGCAAACTTCGGTTGCCCTTCAACCATCACTACAGACCGCGGACGTCAGTTTGAATCTGATCTTTTCCGTCGTCTGACCACACTTTTAGGAATCACTCGCTTCCGAACGACCGCCTACCATCCACAAGCAAACGGGTTGGTAGAACGTTTTCACTGACAACTGAAAGCTTCGCTATCAGCTGCAAACGTTTCACAGTGGACCGACGCTCTTCCACTTGTCTTACTAGGTATCCGCAATGCAGTGAAAGCTGACATTGGATACACTGCGGCTCAACTCGTTTATGGAACGACACTTCGACTTCCAGGAGAATTCGTGGATCCTTCGTCCTTTTCAATGAACATGGATCTAACCTCCTACACGAACAGGCTTACAAACGCAATGCGTTCAGTTAAACCTGCTTCCACTCGACCTCAATCAACTGATGTTTTCGTTCAACCTGACTTACGATATAGTACACACGTTTTCGTTCGTCGAGACTCGCATCGACGACCATTCGAATCAGCATACGAAGGACCCTTCAAAGTTCTTCAACGCGAACCGAAGTACTATATAGTCGATAAGAACGGAACCAACGATAGCATCAGCATCGATCGCCTCAAAGCAGCGTACTTAGAAGGAAATCCTATCTACGTCGATTTTCCTTCGTTACAACCGAACGACACGACTCCACTCGTAATTCCTCAACCGACAACCAATACTAGCGATGATACTCCGCATGTATCTGAAAATAAACCTAAAACGACGCGTTCTGGAAGAAGAGTAAGATTTCCAGAACATTTAAACGACTATTGCACGCAAGGCACTTCTCGACATTTTATATTATTTTTTTAAAAAAACAAATTTTAATATGCTTATATATTTTTATTTCTATTTTAAAAAAACAAACAAAAAAAAACAATTTTTTTTAACGCTATTACGTGTTCATGAGTTTATTTTCCTTCTTTTTCCGCCGACATTGTGTTTTTACGCACATACGAGTGTATTTTCGACATACACTTACATTTTCTTTTTTCTTTTCCAGGACGGCTGGAAAAGAACGATGACGTTTATGAGGATCCGAAATTTTCATTGTACATTTCCTTTTTTTACTATGTTGTACCTCCGTCCCATATAGTAAGGAAAGACGACCAGACGCTGCTAAATTTAGTAAGCTATCAGAAGAGTGTTTACCAACGACAAACTCGTTGGGTTTAAACTTCTGGCTGGCCACGTCTTAGGGTCGTCACTGCCTCACTAGGGGGCGAGTGATCTGTAGCGGTAAATAAATCCCCAAAATAAATAGCCCTAAGTTTTCGACATTGGATGCTGACCATATGTTTTAGTGGACTCATCTAGCTGAAGGCGCTCGGTCATGCATCCGCACCAGATCACGTGTGGTAACGCCGTGCTCAACATCAACCTCAATCGCTAGCCAGATTAGATCAGAGAATTCCGATATATTGGTCATCGCCAAATATACTCTTCCGATCTCCTCGACTCTGTCTTTTGATTTCTCTGGGCGGGAACGAAATATATTAGAAGGTGTTACTGGTAGAAGCGTTGTCAAACACTGAATACCTGTGACATCATCAGCTAGATACCTTCAGTGTATCAGATCTGGTTACGAATTATGTGCATTTATTTAAGACAAAATTAAATTCTTCTGCTGTTTGGTTACGAATATATAAGAGCCGGAATAAATCAAAAATTACCACGTGACATATATTTAAAATATATGCCGAGAAACGTACTTCTGATGCATCACTGTAACCATTATAGTGAAGCACTTTACTAGCAGTAACGGAAATACGAAACTTCAGATCAAGCAGATGCATTGGATTGTATGACAACCATCGCGATGTAAAGAAATTCATCCAAAGTAACTGCGCGGACAGGATATCAGATTGACTGTTTGGTGCAAAGTTGTCAAATAACTTCAAAAGGTTTATTGAGTCTAGAATAAACATTATCAGGAAAGAGGACCCACCTACCTATCGTTATTAGATCAGAATCAATCGAACTGTCAAACATGTTGAGAAGAAGCTCACGTTGCTTACGGAAAAAACAAAGAATAAACCCCTCGAATTTCCCATCAAATCCGTATTCTGATAGAAAATGTTCCAATGTTCTGAATAGAACTACATGATCAATATTCTGAAAAATTGAAGCAGGTTTAATGAGCAATATACCTTTATGAATACCCTCAGATAATGCCTTTTTGCTTCATCAGGAAGAAGTGAGTTATTTATGAATGAATCGTTCGTAACCGTTTTTAAGCGACACAGAAAAATCACTAAATCCGAAAAATGTATCTTGTAGACTTATTAAAACCTAATATTCTTTATACCTCTCTACATTTAAAGATAAAAGCACAACTTTCATGTATCCAATTTCGTAGTTCAACCGCGCTAAAAGACTGATAAATAGTTTTTAGACAGCAGTAGCTGTAAATAATGCATCCAACCTATTGCAACATACATTTCTTTATCGGAAAAGCATAAGTACTCCTTATTTATTGGCTTCTTGCTTTCCAACATTTTATGAGTAAAATTAAGAACGTGTAACTGCTGTAACAAACAAAGCGGTCAAACGTTGTCATAATGATCGTTGATTCATGGTATCACTAAACGAAGAAAACCAAGCTTTTAGGAGCTTAATGAAAATAGGCAAGTTGTGTATTAGACGGAACAACATCTTAATCTTTTCTTGACAATGAAAATTTAATACTGTAAGGTATGTGACTTACGCACTATTTAAAAATAACAGAGTTAATTCTACTGTTTCGGCCGTTTATTATGCATCAAGACTACCGTTTTCACTTTAAATCAATTTATTTCAATTAAAGTAACCCCATGAATACCGTTTTTTCGAGGGCGCTTTGTCATCTGTATTTCTTTATTTATTTGCACTTTTGGATCTAACGTTTTACGGTTTATCACATATTTCTGGTCATCACTGTTTTGTCTCCAGGTGTTTTCGTTTCATGTTTTTTGAAAATTTCTGATTGATGACTGAACAGTGCACGAAAGGTAATTGTCAACGCCCAATCCCCTGATACCCAGTGGGATGTGAAATGCTGTGTGGTGAGTGCAAAGCATGGTATAAGTATGTTTGATCAAAACGCCTCGAAAACCTAGTAACAAGGCTAGGTCTGTTTCCAGCAAGGATAACAACAACCTGACTACCCGAGTCATCGAAAGTCATCCAGGATCGTGCAATTAGTGTAACATGACTGTAATTATTACCCACGGAATGCTGATAAACGGGTGCAAACTAAGAACAAGAGACGACCTAATTGTCGAGGGGAGGTCAGTCCCTCAAACAATAGTCAAGAAATTGGATTGATCTTAATAACAAGTCAGTTGTCTATCAAATAGTCAAGGATAATGAGAGTTCAGGAACCAAAACTCGTTTTGAACATGACAATGAGTTGATAAAAGAGCTAATAAACCATCCGTTGTTTCAGGATATATCTCTCAGATCATCTTGCTAAACATTTTCAGACTAGTAAGCCAAACGAGCCCGAAACAGAATCGACACAGTATGCTAAAAGTGGCATTCAAATCTCTTGATGACAAGGACCTATTGCTATAAGAGCCAGGAGTTTCTACACATAAACATTTGCAGCTCACGAACCGTACAAGAAGACAATAAACTGGAAATGAACTAAAACTAAAGTTAGGTGCTGGCCAAAAGAACTTTAGCATTTTAAATGGTGAGGCTTCTAAAGAGAACGATACCCAAGCCGCTTGACTTCAAGACGAAGGTATTCAAGTGGTCTACAGATCTGTTACACTAATTCCCGGAGCTTAAACAACTAACGATCGTAACTAAGTGTACAGACAGAATCTGTCAGTTCGAATGCAGTCTTAGTCATAGAAATTTGGTTGACGCAGTCTGCAAGCAGTAAAAACTTGATTTCGGAAGCTTCACATTACTGTGAGCTGGCAAAACCCAGAAGACTGAGGGAGGAGAAGTATCTTTGTTCACTAGAAATGCTATCCCCCTTACAGATATCGATAACATAACCCGCAAAAGTGGAACGTGTGGATTGTTAAGTTGCCACCTGAATTGTGAAGGACAAGGGCTGGTGATTGTTTCGGTCTACTGAGGTCCAAACTATGAGGTGAACGATGTCTTGCCTGACAATTTCAACACTTGGTCATCGAGTGGTCGATGCCTGGTCTTAATAAACTCTTCCAGTTGAACCAGGACACATTTCAGGTTCACCTTGACAGTGTCCTAATCGGTTTCGAGAAAATCTTTGTACTTACTCTATAAGTCAGATAAATCCTTTACCAAATGGTTCAATGAGATGGTGGTGTAGTTAATTTAGCTGAAGGATTGATAAACTAAGGAGTCTATAATTTCCATTGCGTAGCCAGGCAAAACAAAATCCAGCCTACAGGTCTTTTGTGTTAGATTCATTGAACGACATTTCGTGATAAGCTGTGTTCCTTTACCAAGTCACTAATATCAATGACCAGCTTGAAATTATAGTTTAATGTGAGGCGTTTTAGAACACTGAATTCATCAACGAATAAAATGTAAGATCTTTTCTAACTGCTCAAAGTTCTGAATCATGGTGGATCCAAAAGGCTCTAGGTTGTATTTAAAGAAAGCCAAATAGACAGGATCCATTTGTACCCTTCAAGTTGCACCATGAGGCATCCTGGTGACATTATGGTAGATGAAAGTTTATGGACTCTGGTGGAATGTGATTCGTAAAACAAGTGCTCACATCTACAGTATCACATCTGTTACTACAAAATGGATAGAAGTATTCATCTGTTCTTCAGGAATTCTGAATGTGATCGTATTACATTATTGTATAGATATAGAATGTGTGAGAAACAATGATTTAGTAAAACAGTTACGAAGTGAGTCATATTTATATAGATATTACTATGCAGCAATCCACTCTTAAGTCATTTGAATCCATTGTGGTGTAGTAACTTACAATAATTGGTTGAGAGTTGACTGCAGACATCCTAGTAAATACCAGAAAATTAATGCTCAAGTATTCAGTCACCTTCTTATTTTGTAGAGATTATATTTCCCATTATTCTGTATTGGATATTGAAATGCCTTGTGTGTTCGAAAAGGTAATCTCGTGCTTCACTACATATTTCAGAATTGAAAAATAAAAATTGATTCCATACTATTCTGGTTTTTTGTCGGTAGAACGGAGTGTGTCCACCGACAGGGGAAGTCTACTTCATGAATCAGCATAAATTCCACTGATACAGTGACTAACTCAGTTGCTCCAATGTACAATTTGTAAGCGTTTTTAGCCTTCGAAATACCACCTAGTATGCTTCCCATGTGGCTGACTAACATGGTCTGTCTGGCTCGGTCCCTATGACAGCCTTTTACAGATAGTAAGTGGGGACATTGAAGTAAAGTTTTCTCGTCTAATATAGTCCGCTGCTATACGGCGTGATCTTGGACTCCATTTAGAGACAGACTGCTTAGTTTCAGATGCCTAATTATGGAGTAGTTTGAACTAAGGTCAAATAATAAATAAGCTTCATACCATTTATTTCATATGATCGTTCCGCCACAACATAAATATCCAGCTAATTTAAAACATCGGTTGGCTAACCGATCTGAAAACTCCACTTTGTAGTATGACGACAAGAGTTTAAAAGTTAACAGTTTTGGGTAGATTCAGTTACAGACCTGATGGAGCATTGGATAGTATCCGAACCTCCTTTAATGACACAATCCGAAAGCCAATAACCCAGGAGTCACAAACTATGGGAGTGTGAAATTATAGACAGAGCCTTGTACTATATAATATCTCGGTTGGCTGTTTATCGAAATAGGTTATTTGAATGGCCTAACGAAACGCAATCTGGAGTGGGAGTTTGGAAAATTTCTGTGTGTTGGTAGTGTGTACAACAGAAGTCCAACTCACCTGCCGATAACGAACAAATCCATCTGTATTTGGAAACCAATGGATTACTAATCTGTTTGTCTTCCGTTATTGTAAGAACTTTTGTGAGAGTTTTGTGCAAATGTTTGTGGAAAACTCTCCCGATGCAAAATGTTGTGGTGCAACTGGTTTCCCTACTTTTAAATCTGAGTTTATTTCCTCTATATTCCTTTAACTCTACACTTCGTTGATGTTTTGGTTCCAGACAGGACATTTGCCATATGTTTTATGCTGTAGTTTTCATTTTTCTTTCTTCCCTGTCGAATTTCAATACTCCTCAAAACAGCATCAACCTTCATTTACCTGACCCCTTAGTCATGTGGACGGTGATATTGTCCTATTCTCCTCTTGATTGAATTTCTTGAGCTGACTAAAAAAATATGTGTCTTTGTTGTAAAGTAGAACAAAAGAACTGGAGACGTGTTCAGATTTCCATCCCTAATGCTTTTATTATTGATATTTTTATCGATCCAAGTGTTAACTTTCGAACAAGGTGTATGTGGTTACTCCAAGATGTATAAAGTAACTTTCTCGTTATAACGAAAAAATGACCTTCTGGAAGTGGTAACTAGCTTGAGTCACAAATTAATTTATCTGCTAAGCGCAATTTAAATTTAATTATTACCGATCCCTGAACAACTACCGTTAAAATATCTGGGTGGTTATTGTTATTTAGGTAATAATCTACAAAGAAATCTATAAGTTCATGCCAAGTCAATCCTTATTCAATTGTTTCATTTTAAATTTTGTCTAGGCATTAGTTTTTGAACTTACCTCCACTGTTATTGCTAATTCACAACAGCTTATTTCAGAATTAATAGATATATCAACTTTCGTTTCCCAGTTATTTGGTTGCTGACTCCAACATGTAAATAGAAGGATATAGAAGCAGCAAAGAACACCTAGATATTTCCTTTGAATACTGGTTTGAGCTTCATTTAACAGCAGAATTATGTGGATTTGGATCTTTCTAACTAGCACAATTATAGAAAGGAAGAGTTACACTTGATTAAGAAGAATCGGGTGGTAGATTTAAATCATTAGCCCTCAAGTTATGGAACGTATGAAAAGTTAGTGAAAACCAATGCCACAGTTTCAATGTGAGCTATATTTAAAGGTTTTTAGGTGCTCAAATATAGATCATATAAAGCGATTAATTGTTGAGTTCAACTTATTGTCTTCACCCGGTTGAATTAAACGAGAATATGTAACCTACGTACCTCGAATCCAAAGATCGTCTAGCCTAACTCATCGTGACGTAATTCCTGGGCTCTCCTGCTCTTTTAATTCCTCGAGAGAACTGACGAAATCTTACTCGTGAAATGTTTTTTTAGATAGGATAAACTGAAACGACAGAATACGACATGGTCCATTTCACTGATGATCAATTTGTATCAGTCGTTATTGAAGTCAGCAAAGATTTGTAATGCAATTAAAGTGTAATGGTCAGTTTTTTTAGTTACCAATATTTTTAGGTAGACAAATGACCTGACTGGAGTTTATTGATACTTTACTGGACTTGAAAGTTTACCATTGTTTTCAACAGATTCGGTGAAACAATCCCGACAGTGGATTCTATCTCAGTCCAGTTCTAGTGCACTCTTTGAGTACGACCCACTTTTAGCTTATCTGTCTCCAATGTAATTGTAAAGAGATTACCTTCCAGATGTTGTGCAGTGATTTTCTGTTTACGCACACAAATAGAAGTGGTTGAAGGGTGATGAATAGGACCATTTTAAATGATTATAAACATAGATTACACGAAACACGTGAACGAACAATGTCACTTGGTTATTTAGTTACTGGGATGTTTAATCAAGCATGTCCCATCAAGAGCATGTAAAATATAAAAATTTTCCGATTTTAGTAATTTAATAGCAAGATAACTAGCGCTATAGTGAACGGAGACGTGGTTCGAGTTAGCAAACTAATCATATTAGGCAAAATCACACACTGGGATTGTAACGTATGAAGACAGTACATTAAATACACCATTTGCAAACCGTTTTTGAGCTGTCCTGCAGAAAACCAACCTTACTTTCATGCCCGTTTTTATGTCGATTGCTTTCCGTCTTATCTCCTTATTTTCTACTGTCTACTTCCGATACATGCTATTTATATCTGTCCGTGCAAATAGCACACACTCGCTCGTGTGAAAGAAATTTAGCTTCAATCAATAGATCTTGAGGTTTACTGGTATGAGTTACGAAGTGGAACAATACACTCAGGATAATTACGTTAAACTCAAAGACGTATTCCGGTTAGGAACTGAGATCAAGATAAACAAGATCGCGACACGAATTGTTCTTGACCAATTTAGTGTACTGTAAGACTAAAGATATCGTAGATATATAGTACTTGATAACGCTGTGGTTCGTAAAGACTTTATAATCTACGATCTTGACGCCATTTGAGCTACAAATCAGAAATAGAAAGGCTAGAAGATATATTTGAAAGATGAAGTACATGAACCAGACTGACTAGTTGTTTCAAGAAATGCCTGCAAAACATTCCCGAACGTGATTATGTACAGATGCTTGACCGAGAGACTTCAGCTAGGACGAGTTAAGTAGAACCAACGAGGTCAGTATCGTTGTGAAAGACCTACAAAACTATTTACATTGCAAACATATTTACTGCTGTACAAAGAATAAGCTCTTAATCAAGTTATGAATTCCCTAATCCTGTTTCGGTTTTTTATCAGAGCTTCAGTCACCTAAAAGATTTGGGACGGTTGCATGATTTGAAAGGTTTCACATCACTTTTGGTCCATTCTTGCAGTTTTATGAGACTGAAAAGAACTAGACTATTACATTAACCTAAAATTAAATTCGTACATGGTGTAAAATCATCTAAGTATACTTTTGAAGAGTGCTTACTAGCCAGTTCTTTCAATTCATGGACCTCAGAAAATAGATTTCAATACACTCTAGGAACTGATGCGCAGACTTGGTTCTTACTCTGTTACAATAAAAACTAATCGTAAGATACCAGTAGTTAAAATACAGGATTTTACGTCACGGTCGAAGGCTGTGAACACAGTTTCAAAAGAAGCTAAACCCCTCTCTAGTTTAATTTTTTGGAATCTGAAGGAGTCGAAAGACAACGACCCTGCTAGAAGACATGCACATGACCTTCAGTTAGTGGAGTCTGTGGTAAGAAATGTGCTATCTGAAGAGGTTTCAGGGGTACATATTTCAAAAGTAATACGACTTGGTAAATGGGTTGGAGGCGAGACCCAACCAAGAAGAATCTTGAGGCTGGCTCTCGGGAGTTTTGAAGAAAGAGACATATTATTAAAAAACGCACTAAAAACTCGTGACTCAAATATCCGTATTCGACCACATTGGCCGCTTGAGGATTGAATCAAGTGGAAGAATGCTCTTACTGAATTGAGAACTTGCAAGTTAAATGGCGAAAATAGCCTTACCATTAAGGGTTTTCGGGTGGTCAGTTCTTGGGAGCCAATGCTTCCGAAGCCTGTATGGGTAGAATGATTGATCGCTAAAACACCTTAAGTGTGTGCTACACGAACGCACGTTATCTTAGAAATAAAACGTCAGAGCTAAGTTTGATGGTGGAAGAATTATGTGCCGATATAATCGTTGTTACAGAAACTTGGGTCACCATAGATATAGACTGTTCTCACATCATTGCAGGCTATATCTGTATTAGAAGTGACAGAGTTTCAAGTCGCAGAGAGGGAGGTATAATATGTTAGGGATCACTTTCATATACAATCAACCATATCGGAGGCTCACATCAGTGGCACATGTGAGGTTGCATGTTGTAAGATAGAATCTAGAAATGGGTCAGTGACTATAGAGGGAATATACTGTAGTCCTTTTTGTCGTGCTGACGACTTTATCCTAGGACACATCTGTTCTTGGAGTATGGCAGAATGTTGTCTCATCATTGGGGACTTCAACGCACCGCATATCAACTGGATAGAGCTTACAGCCCCAGGTAATGGTTTTGATCGCGACCTTTTATCTACCGTTATTCAGTGTGCACTTGTACAATGTATCACAAAGCCGACACATATTGATTTGGAACATGATGCGTCACTGCTGGACCTCGCCCTCACCCACCCCTGTGAGGGTGTCTCTAATATTCGGCACCTTCCCTCACTAGTGAACAGTGATCACGTTGTACTTCGTTTTAAGTTTAGGACACATTATATACGATTTGTATCTGCTCCACCCCGTCCCAACATTTGGCGAGCTAATATTGAGAAACTGTGCTATCTCGACTGATTGGTCGGTCGACGCGGATGGATCGATCGAAGACGAATGGAATAATTTTAAGGCTACACTCGAGTCCGTAACGTCGCCGTTTATCCTACGGTCAGCACGTAAGATATCACATTGCCCTCCATGAATGAATAAGGAAACCCGGAAGCTGTTAAAGCGTAGGAAACACTTCTGGGACTTATTCTTGATGACGGGTCACGCATCATTTAAGCGTGTGTACCGAAAATTCCGGACTATTTGTAAGAAAACCATAGCTAATTCCCGCACTACTTAAGAACGACAGTTGGTATATGATAGCCGTAGACCTAGTAAGATACCGGGCCCTGACGAGTTACATCCACGGTTGCTGTCATCTCTTATTTCAAAACCGCTCGCGATGCTCTTCAACATGTCCCTTTCACTCGCTTAACTCCCTAGAGATTGGAAGGACGCTATAGTCAGTCCTATATTTAAGGACGGTCAGAGATAGATAGTATCTAACTACCGGCCTGTCAGTCTAACTAGCATAGTCGTTAAGTTACTTGAAAAGATAATTCGGGTTAGGTTGCTCAGCCACATAGATTTACACAATCTGTTAGCTACTGAGCAACATGGGTTTCGTAAAATGCGTTCATGCTTGACTAACTTACTTATTGAGAGAGAGGATTGGACAGCAGCCTTATATAAAGGTCTGTCTGTCGATGTGATATTCATAGATTTTAGCAAAGCATTTGACAAGGTTTCACACTTAGGTCTTATGTAGAAGCTCACGAGCTTCGGAATAATAGGTACTGTACAGGAGTAGATAGGAAACTTCTTATGTTACTGCAGACAGAGAGTGAGGGTCACTGGGACGCTATCCGATTGTAAGCCGGTCGAAAGTGGTGTACCCCAAGGCACCATCTTAGGCCCTCTGCTCTTCCTTCTCTACGTTAATGAGCTCAGGTCGTCGAAATTATTGTTTGCGGATGACGTAAAAATCTGGAGAACAACAGAAAGTGCGGCTGATCATCTGGATCTCCAAGCTGACTTAGACGATTTAGTTAGATGGGCTCAAGAGTGGGGCTTAGAAATCAATGCTAGGAAGAGTGTGCTAATGCACATCGGTCACGGTAATAGTTACCGTTACACTATTGAGGGTAAACCTCTTCCATGTGTTCAAGAGCATAAAGACTTAGGAGTAGTATTAAGTCATGATTTAAAAACAACTACGCATAGCAAAGCAGCCGCTGTCAAAGGTTTTCGTGCGTTATGGTCACTTTGCCGAGGGTTCAAATGCTTTGACGAGATGTTCCGAATTTAATATCCCAACTACGTAAGACCACATTTAGAGTACTGTATCCAAGCAGCTTGCCCATGCCTAGTAAAGGATACTAACTCCCTTGAACGTGTCCAGCGTGTGGGTCTTTCTAGACTCCCTTACGATGAGCGTTTAAAACGCCTAAATCATTTCCTCTTGTCCTATCGTAGGACACGAAGTGACCTTATACTGGCATTTCGTATCTTTAAGTATGATTTGGGTGTTAATATGTCTTATCTGTTTGCTCCTTCCAGCACTAATAATCTCCGCAGTCATAGCAAGAAGGTTCATAAACCACGATCTAATAAACTTAAAGTGCGGTACAGTTTTTCTCATCGAGTAGTCAATCATTGGAACGCCTTACCCGAACAAGTGGTATCAGCCACATCAGTGAATACCTTCAAGAAGAAGCTGGACCTTCACTGGAAAGCAATGTGTCAGGATTAATACAGGTTCACCAACCTACTATCCTTATTACTGAAGACTGAAGACTTTCAGATACTTTTCAGAGAGGCAGCGCGAATTAATATTGGATGTATTCTCTGTTTTTAAGAAAAATATTCGCCATCAGGTGTTTTACAGTCCTTTTGTAAGGTGAGTCATATCAAGTCTCCCACTGACCTTGTGGTTTGTTTTTCGGATTAAAAGTTTATTGTCGTCGTAGAGACCTTTAAACCAACTTTCAAAATTCAAGATGTCTAGGAGTTCTTCTGAAGAGAGAAATAAGGCACCAAAATGCCCTTTTGAAGTCTACAGATCTGAGGGCGATGCATTTTTAATGAAGAAAAAGTACCTTAAGGCAATTATGGCTTACGATCAGGTATATGAAAGAGGCGTCGTTATTTTCAACATAGGCCTTGGATAGAAAAGAAAATGATAGACATTGTCTTCTTAGAAGATCTTCATGTTACCTAGCACTTGGAAATCTGACCAGGGCTTTAAGTGATGCTGATGCTGCACTTGTGGAGGATTCGAATTATTATAAGGTGCCTGCTCGAAATTCTCGAGATTATCAATAGTTTAGGCTCTTTATTTGAAGGGACAGATTCTCTACAATAAAGGAGATTTCGAACATGCCCTTGTGTACTTTCATCGTGGACAACAGCAAAGACCGGAATTACAAATGTTTCGACTTGGGATCCAGAAGTCTGAAGAAGCTATTGAAAACTCTCTGACAGGTAAATTAGAAAGTTATTCTACAATTCCATTTGTAATCATAAAAAAATTCAAAAGTTTGCTATACAATTCTGGTTTGTTTGATCGGAGCATTGGCTTTGCCTGAGGAGTGGCATCCATAAGTATTTCAGTTTTTGTAAAACAATCAGACTAAAATCATTTTTGTCATATGGGCTGGACTTCAATATTATCACAAGTGTTTCAAAAGTATATTACTATATATCCATCGAATTTGTATGATGAAGACTTTTTCTAACTTAAGATACAAAGTGAGCTATGATCAGAAACCTTGAGAAAATATGAATTCATCATTAGTTGTTGATTGGTATCTGTTTTTTAGAGACAAAATGTTCTAAGTTTCCGCCATTATGGTGTCCATAGAGTGTTTCACCCTCTTTAGGACGATATTTTTGCTTGAAGACAGTTCAAAGTTTTTGAAGGACCTTGAAAAGGAAGATCATGTAAGTAGAATTTTGCAATGCCAGGTGTAAGAGAAAGTGTTCGATCCACATTTCAAATAATCTCGTTGACCGAGTATTTGGTCAAAAAATTGCACCTAGAATTTTTTGTATAGTTGGCCAGTAATTTCTGTCGAGCGTTTTTCAAACTTCAACCAATACTTTTATAATCATTTACAAATAATAACATACTGTTCAATAAACTTTTATACACAGTTGTTATTAGTGTTTTGACTAAATTGAAACAACGTGGAATGTGGGACGTAGGTAGAGCTTTTTCTTCTTAAGCACATATTTCGTGTTAATGTGAAAGGTCTAACCGTTGGTTGATGTATCATTTAAATCACAAGTCTGGATGTTTTGTTTTATTGATGTGCACTATAAGCGTTTATAGAGTTATACTAAGAACACGTTTGGGTGATATTTGATCAAATGAATAATAAATTGTACTTTTTGAAACGATCTGTTGACAAATAAACGTATAAGACACAAAATCACATTTGAAATCACTTCGAATGAAAAAGAAGTCTCTAACCTCTGAGTTTGCTTTTACATTCGATACACTATCAGTAAATCTAAGATCACCCTCCTAGTAGTTTTAAACAACTATATAGTTTCTTGGATGGAGAGTGAGAAAGATAATACTCATTTTTGCTTTAAGAAAAATCAAAGTACAACGCTCTCTAAATATGTCGCCCAGGTTTTTCTTTCTTTTTGTTTATTGCAGGTCATAAGAAAATTAAAATCGGTAGTGCAGGTGCAAAAGGATTTGTCAAACAAATGGATGATGTAAGTTTTCGTACTTTTCGTATTTCTTTGTTGTCCATTCAAATACTTGTGCACTATGAATACAAGCAATAAATTCAACTGCAAAGTATACATCTGTTTTAAAACTGATCTAATGGTATATTAACTTGTAGATACTATCACCTAGTTCGAAACTTTTAACTCTTTCCTGCAAAGTGAAAATTAAACTATTAAAAACTCCAGTAATAACAATATAAAAAACAAACACACATCGAAAAATATGTGTCAAACAGTTGATTGCCTGAAGGTATGCAGTCAGCTATCTACTGAGTTTGCAAGCTGGAAGCATTATTAGCAGTGGCTGAGATTTTTACCCAATAAAAATAAAAAGTAAATCCGATAGAAACCAATATTTGAAATTCGTTGAAGTATAACTAATTTGATCCGTATCCAAGATTAATTTTGCTCTGCATTTTCCAGCGAGGAGTATTATCGGCGGTGATCACTTGAGCGATTACTAAATCTACCTTAAAAGTGTATATACAAATTAAAACAAGAAAACGTAAAAAAATGTGATGAGAAACATTAATATTAAAATGCAAATTTACTGCAAAATGACAATCTTTATGTCCTCAATATTTAATTCTCAGTGCTTTAGGTGAACATGACAATCAAAATCAGAATTTTGTTTCGTTATGATGCAATCAAATTAATAAATTACTATGAAATAGTACTTCAATGATAATCTTTTTTAATCTTTAGTATCCGTCAGACTAAACATATCTTTATTCTTCATTATAGGAAGAAAAAGCTCAAGTAAAACATTGAAATTTAGATTTTTGTGTAGATTGTCATTTGATCTTTAGTCTTTTTTACGTTGTTGCATGGTAGTTTACTCTTTCTGTAACTAACTCATAATTATTTTGTTTGCGCTATTGTAAATATTTGGTTAGTATTCTCAGTTGCATGATAATCGTTCAACTCTATTGATATAGTAAGTATAAATGCTCAACCGATTTATGTTATTTAAAAATGCTCTTTCTTTATTTCGGTATCTTCAGTATAAAAGTTTAACCGGTAACTCGATTTTCAATGAGTCTTCGAGTTATTCATCAGTTTTTACTTGATGCATCCTTTTCCATCCATGCATATTTTCCTTGCTAAGACAGGCGGTTTGAAACTTCCAGCTGTCGTTCCTACTGTAGTTAAATTTGGCTTTACTATTAAGCATCTTAACATTTATTCCCTAGATCGTAATTTCAAGATTTCTTCTGACAACTTCACTTTAGAAAGTTTGGTAATAACACTACCCCTTATACTCGAAAGAAATGTAGCTTGAATCCTATCCTATGAACTTCTGCTTCGTAAATTGGCTAAATTATGTTTTACTATTATTAGTTGCACCTATATTGTATAACCTAAAGATCAATGTCCAGATGCATTACTCTGTTGTACATCCATGAGCTGTAGAATAAATTACTTAAGTTGAAGTCTGGTTTACTTAGTAAATCATATCTCTCGGAAAACTTTGTGTGTTTTCCTAGTGTTATCTGACTTTGACTAATAAGAAATCACTAGTAAAATCGTAGTTCATTTCCAACATGAATCTGCTACAGTATATCTATTTGGTTCCTTAGCTATTAATCTTGTTAATTCCACCGGAACGCACTGATGCGGTATGACAATTTGTTGTGATATATTGGCATAAATAACTACTATTACTGAACTATCGGTCTCTTATTATTATTTCCATTAGTATAGTTTTCGTTTTGTAATTTTCGTTTTCCAGAATCTCTGTATTATTATTTCTGTATTATTAGACTATGCTACTTGTGAGTAATTCTTATTTTATTGCAGAGTTTTGGTATTCCACATTTCAGTAATTAGGGATCGTCTTATTGCATTCATTCAACCATTTGGAACTATAACTTCTTTTCTTTGTTTGTACTTTAAATCACATTTGAATATGTCTCTGGTCCTACTAATTTAGATATAAACTAGTGGCTTATCAAAAATGGAACCATACACATACAACTTACTGCTAAGAGAACCCAAGACAATCATGTAAAATCAGGCTTACTTTGGTTAACTTAAAGGCTAATTACAAAAGGTTTTTAAAAAAGTTCTCCAAACCTTTATTAAAAGAAAGGAAGGATTATTTCTGTTACTGACATTGGCGAAGACTGTTTAATCTGTTTATGGTATATATCAAACATCTTATTCACAAAGATACCATTTACTTTTCTTATTTCGCTTCATGGAGGAAGCAACCAATAACTCAAATGTCTTTTGTTTAAAATTTTTTAGAAAGCTAAGTCACGTCAAATAACTCAAAAGTCCAAAAAAGTAACTAGTGACCCTTCTACCGGAGACGGTGATCAAGATAATCAGAATATTCCTATTAATTTGATTCCGAAAAATATGTCTAAAATCATGTTTGGTCCATTATATACAGATCATGAATACCTGGAAGAGTTGTTAAAGCAAGAGTGTAAGCAAATTTATTCATTTCATTGTATAGCGTGTACATAATGTGTTGATTTTTAACACATGATTATTCCTAAGCTGATGCTTAATTTCATGCTTTTTGGGACATATAATTCGCAAACATAACCCTTTCTTATCTTTATTCGTAATTCTGACTGGGAAGCAAGGAAAATGAGAGAAGATTAAGTCAAATAGCTCAAAAAATGCATCAACTCATAGAGTTACCATCCTTTGGGTAGTTGTAGATTTCCGACTCGAGACTCGCTGGATTATCGTGAGCTATGGTTAAAGACGCTAGGCAAAATGTCCATGATTCAGTCACAATGTCTTACATGCATCATTACATCTGTTTGTAAATACTGGGTTGGGTATCATATTTTATATCCGACGATCTTATCCGTTTTGAGCTGTACTTATGTCAATTTTCTATTTTGACCAATATTCACTTCGCTTATATTTACATAATAATTTACTTTCCTGTTGTGATGGTGCCAACTGAGGTAAATTGAACCACTAGCCATCGTCATCACGTTTTATATTATCTATGACAGATTGACCCATTGTTGAGCAGAAAGGTTATTATTTACATCCGAATCCCTTCCAAGCCATCAGATATTGAATTACCTAAGCTTCCCATCACTTTTAAACTATTTAGATTGATGCCTTATATTATTATATTATGGAATCATTAAATAGTATAGTTTCCGTAGACAGTGTATTATTCATTTATTCTCATTTTCGATATGGTCTAATAAATTTCTAACATGTTTAATGACATTTAACCACCAGTTCATTTTTATCTACTTCGTTAAATCGAATAAAACAAGTATTTTACAACAAATATTACATTGTTTAGCTGAACAAAAATGGAAGACTACATATTCTGAAGAAGTACGTAATCTAGCACGTAACGGTATTACTTATTTGGATGAACGATCTAAATTTTGGCATCAAGAAAAACCTGTTTATGCTCGAATGAAAGCTGGAAGATTGAAACCCTTGATAAAACCTCAGCTTACTAAAACACAACGCTGCCCTGAAATTAATAAAGTATTGAATAGACTGCATCATATTGATAAGTGTAAGTCCTAATAATTTCTTAAAACTAAAATATTTCCCTGTGAAAAATAGTTATTTTAATACAAAAGGTTGCTAGTAGAATGCTATTAGCGATGTTTCAAGCTCAAATGATATTCTAAAATATGACATGAATTTTTAGGTAAGTAAAACAAAAGTGTACATTCATCAACTTCAGTTTTACAGAGCACGTATAACGTTTGATATTTGTTATTCCTATCTTATAGTGAAACTGATTGACAGAGACTTCTAAATACGTAGGAATTCATAAATAATATGAATCTATATGTCCTAACTCTGTTATATATTTAATATTCATGAATTGAAACAGTTCGGGATGCTTATGAACATACTGTTTTAAATAACAATTATAAATCGTTCACAACAATTCGCAATAATGCACAATAAATGCTTTGTATGAATATTGATATCTCGTCAGTCGTTTATGAACTGAAGTAATAAAACTAATGAAACGTTTAGTGCACCTCCAATACTCTAAATCGATAAATTTCGAAAAGCATTTATCAATTAAAAACTATTCATGAATAAATTCTATATATTCAGCTATTCTATGTGAATCACAATTCGGACAGTAAAGCAACCAGAGAAATTGATCTAAATTTGTTCTGTAAAACATTTGGAATCCTCACTTTCTGTTATGAAGTTTTATGTTTTCACGTGAGTTTCGGATTGCTTGATATAATTTAAGCATTCATAAAGACTGACAGATTTTGAGAAAATTCCAGTGCCATCTAGCATCATTAAATGATAAAAAAATCAACCGACTTTAATTAATACGTGATACAAGGCTATCATCACTCAATGTCTTTTAGAGGTTCTTGTCTTTAATTGTAACGTATTTAGCTACTTATGCTTTTTTTTTAAACCGAAGGCCATGAAAATGTGACACAGTTGCTAACCCTATTATGAGCTATCACAATTTTCTGGCCTTGGAGATAGCAAATTTTAATAAAAATTTCCGATACATAGAACGTTACTGGTTAAGCGTAATAAAATAAAAATCAAACCAAGTGGGACTCATTCACGGGAGGCAACTCAGTCAGTATATAGGTTCTAGCCGATTATTTATCACCATATATAACAAACTTATGTAACTTTTTAAATAGCTCTATGAATTCTTTTACATGATAATTATCAGCATTTTATTGACGAAAGATGCAACAAGTATAGCAACAACATAAATGTATCAAGAAAAAATTCATCATGAAATCGATTTATTATGGAAGTGTTAAACCCAGGGTCATTGGTTATTGCACTAATCGTTGCCCTACACAGTCAATATTTGAATGTAGTTGCTTTAAGAGTGAAATTCTCAGAAAGGAAACTCTTCTCTGAATTGTTTTTGTTTGTACACCACGTGGCAAATAAATGAAGAAACGATTCCAAATAATTTCCAAATGAAAGGTATTATAATTGTGAAACGTATTGTAAAAATATGAGTTCCAATGATCATGTTATACGTTAATCTGTTTTTAATGAACTTAATATCCAGTGCAACGGGCGCATCAACATGAATTAGCGGTGAAACATTCTGAGAATTTACTTCACGAGGTTAAAACATGGGATTCATCACAGGTTTCAAATTATTATGAAATTTTGGCAAATATTTATTCAATGCTTGGGTTGTCCAATTTAGAATTAGGAAATTATACCGAATCATTGGAAGCCCATCAAGTTGCATATGACCTTGGACAAGAAAATAATTTATCAGAGGTTATTTCCCATTCAATGGATAATATGGGACGTGTATATGCGAAAAAAGGAGATTACGATTCAGCTATTAAAATGTATGTTGAATATAAAAAGATAATTTCTGTTTGTTTACTTAAGATTAACGTAAACGCGTTTATTCATAATAAAAACCAATTTAAACAAACATCTTTTTTAAAAGAATTTAAATCCTCAAAGTGTGAAATCTCCTGTAAAAGACATATTTTGAGAATCTATGTATGAGTAAAAATTAATCAATAAGAAAGTAACATTGAACTAACACTTTTAGGTAATCAAATGAATGTTGACTACAAGCTATTTTGAAACTTCAAGACATAAATTTCCTCGAATATACTCTTTGTTGTTGCCAGATGTCAGTCTGCCTTTTATTTAATAGTACCTAGTTCCACTTATGTGATGACAAATGAGTGCAAAAATTTGAATTTATTGAGGTTAAAAATTTATGTTTCATACGATATAATAAGGAATATACTGAAGCATATCGAACGTATTTGAATTCGACATATACAAAAGACCAAACCGACACCAATTACTACGTAATTGTCGGTCAGTGGAAGTATCTCAATCCTACTGGAAAGTATTCATGATTTAAATCGCAACACAGATACTACTAGTTTTCTCAAAATTCTGACCAATATGAAATAATATTAAAGCAGAACTTCCCATCAGTTTCGTAGAACCCGTTTGCATCCAAATATATAACACGCTGTCTTGTTATTTAGACCAGTGGTCATTTGACAACGTGACCGATAACATTTGTTCAGCACCACAAAGTATCTAACAAGCACGAGATTTTTTACTACTCAGTGATCAATGTAAATACTGGAAACAACTCTGAAGTATAATGCTATAATAATAGTGTACCACAAAGTGATGGGAAATGTTCGTGCAGCAAAATAGTTTTCGTCATTAGCAATTGACCAGGCGAATTGTGTCTGATATTTATTCATTCTATTAAACCAGTCGTGTCATCTAATTGACACTGGGCTGATATCATGAATGAACATACCTATTAGTGGAATGCATAAAACCAATTGAATGTATTATTTGTAAAAGCACACCGCTTTAACTTCCTTGGTAATTTGGGTAAATATAACTGGATATGTTCTTACGAAGTAAACCGATCAAGTTTAAAGTAACTGATCAAGTGATCTCACTGATATCGGAACTCAATTCGTCATTTTTTTAAAAATACATTGCCTTGTTATAACTGATCAACCAAACAAACACTACAAATAAAAATGTTACATTAAAATAGTCCAAACTTTTGGTGAAGGTTGCAGTTTTCTGTGTAAGCGTTGAAGCTTTTCCCCACATACACACGTGACGTAACAAATTGAAACTCGTACTTGGATTCTTAACATTATTATTTTTGTTTACAGATGGGAAGAAAAACTTGAAAAATGTACAGATGAATTAGATGTAATATGGCTTTGTTATGAATTAGGTCGATGTTATTTAGAATTACAAAAACCAAATAAATCATTCGAATATGGTGAAAAAGGATTAGATATAGCATGTTCAATGAATGATAAACTATGGCAATTAAATATCAATGTTTTGATTGGACAATCAAATTTACAATTGAAAAAACGTCTTGATGCTCAAACAGCTTTTACTACAGCTTATGAATTAGCCAAGGTTGGTAAATATATATATATATATATATATATATATATATATATATATATATATATATATATATATATATATATATATGCATAAATTCAATATATTTCAATATTAAAACGCATATCATTTTATGTAATTAAATCTATATGTCCAATTATTGAATAGTAATAAAGATTATAGTTGTGTGTAACAGTAGCCTAATGACCATTTAATATGCCTATTTAATAATGAGCATTCAATATTCGACTGTTATGTTGTATGTTAAAACTTCACTATATCAGTCTACAAGTCAGTCAATCATGTATTACTATTGTCCCTTACCTAAACTTATTCTGTTTGAATGGGTTCCATAAAAATTAATCAGAAGAACTGAAATCAGTCTCATTGTTTTCAAGGTCTTTATATTTTGTTGAACAAATCAATCTGGAAAATCATTGCTCACTTATGGAATAACTAATTTGAAAACTAAATAAGTTAAGGAGTAGATCAAATCTTACAAACCTAATGTAAACTCTTTGAAAAGATATCTGTATTTAATTGAACAAAATGAATTTCTAATGTGATTCATTTTAAATGAAAAAAGATTACAGATTTTCTATCCTGTTCTGTATAAACCACCATTAAAAGACGTTATTATTAGTTATATATATTATTCTTCACATTAATACTCACAGTTTGTCTGTAGTATCTACAAAACTTACTGTCTTACGTTCCGAACAGTTTAGAAAATTAATTAATCATGCCCAAATTTCACTGAACTATAAACCAACCTGTTTTTGTCTATTTATTATTATTTAATAAAGCTGTCAGTAAATTTGAAATGTTAAATATTAATAACAGTTCAAGAATGACATCCATGACCATCTTTCTAAATTATTGGTATATGCTATCTACTTTCGTAGAATAGTTTACATCTAGTATGTATGATTTAAAATTAGTGTATGTGATCAGAATAGTGAATGGAGATAGCGACTGTATTTAACAGAGATTATATCTAGTTTTAAAAGTTTGTTTAATTTTCGCTGATTTACGATATCAAATAAAAAACTCAGATTTAGGGATTTTGGTTCATTACTCAAATTAGTATCAGTAGTTAAAAAGTTTTAATAATAAAACCTTGAACCTGAGATGCTACTTGTTTTTACCTAAATGTACTTCAGCTCGTAACCTTTTTCACTAAATTACACATGAATTGTAAAGGTAGTTATCATGAATAAACTATGTGCTGTATTTCTCGGTTCTGAGTCAGGTGTATATGTGGTTCATCTTTCTTAAAGGGCGTTGTAGAAATTGTTGAATTTCAAATTTCATCTGACTGACTAAATTCGATTAAACAACTATTGAGAATCTGGAAGCACTGTATATCTTTTCCTTTTCAATATGGAACACTACGGAAGTGCACGTCCACAACCCCATTAAGGATCGAATTCATAACTTTCAGATCTCTCTGATAGCTCTTGGAATTTAAACCACTGAGTTGTCATACAATGGTTTACATTTCTGACTTCAGTTGGTTAGTGATTTTCTGTGACCATCATTCATTTTCATTGGTAACACTTACTTCACTTCTAACATCATTGACCCTCACTGTTCATGGAAGTGGGCAATACTGAAGAATCTTATAATACGATGAAACAGATGTTCAATGTTTCCCTGACTGTTTTAAGTCCTTTTGTGATCATAAATTTCTGATTTACATTTATCGTCTGTTTGTTTTTTATGGTTACATATTGCTTGAGTTACAATCATGATAAAAGCTTTTGTAAAAATGCTAGTTTCTAGACCCTATAGCTCCTCATATACGAATAAACTTATTGATCCCTCAAATTAAACACGGTCCCCCTTACATAGTTAATATTTTACCAATATCTTAACACTACTAGTCCCAGGCTTCTATAATCATGTACGACAGTACACGTGTTATACCTCACACATATACTCCTCTTACTACCTAAAAGGAATATATATATTCATAGTTGAATCGTCTGATTGGTGGTTATTTGACCTCAGCTGTGCGAAAATAAAGTGAAGTCGTTAGTATGTATTGTATTCTGAAATGTGTACACCGTTGGGGAATCGGCCTAATATCAATTATCAGAACAACTTAAAAAGAAAGTATAGGAAATGTCTCAAAGATGTCCCACTACACTAGAATATTTGTTTAAAAATAAATCTAGCCACAATCAACGAATAGGAGTTTAAATCTTTTCTTTCATTTATCATGTCATTTAAAAGGAACTTGAAGCTCATGATGCTGAGAAAGCAATATTAGAAGTAATCGATGAATTACAAAGTACCGATCGAGAAATGGATACATACGCATTAACGGATACAGAGGATAATGTTCGATCAGAAGGTGAGAGTATTATCTCACTTATTTTTAATAATTTTAAACATATACACAATACATTTTCATGACTAAATTTCCCACCAATATCTTGTCCTAGTTTTCTTATTCATGTATATATTAAAATTTTAAAACAGCTGCTTTTGTTTTACAATGTTAAAGTAAATTAATGATAAGTAAAATTACCCTGATTTATCAAGGATTAGTTAGAAAATTACTTCGTTTTCTAATAAGTAGGTAATTTGTACCCAGTAGTTTAAATTATTCTTCAAATTTTAGTAAATTACCCTCCAATTGATCTTAACCAGATATGTGTCATGATAATTCAACCAAATTAATACAACACTAAATACTACTGAATCAGTCAAAACGATACTTCTACTTATGAAATCAGTTCACGAATCTCAACCAAATGGGTTTTAAAATTTCGGACAACTCGTTAGTCTACTAAGTTTATGAACATATCTAAAATACAATTTAAGTACTTACTTATGAAAAGCAAATACTAATTCGCGCTTCTTTGATAAACACTCAAGGATGACAAAATAATTATTATGCTCACCTTTTTATAACAGTGTATCAATCACGTTCCATAAAAAATGATTTCAATACATAATTAGATGAGTATAAAATGAATAGGATGTTATTATTACTTCTTCAAAATATTCAATAAACGATAATATTTCTAGTCCCACATCTTTTAATCTGTTGACTAGTCATTCTTGGTATTAAAAAAAAATGAAAAAATTACATTCGTGCAGTGAAATTACATACTTGATTGAGATTATTCACGAATAAAACTTCATACTAACTGAGAAATATGTCTGATAAGAAAAATATCGTCAATTCGCAGTGACACTTTTCTTGACGGAGTTTTTTTCAACGGTTGAGATCATGAGTTAATTGAAGCTAGACCACTATGGAAAACCTTGAATCACTGGACGGCCGTTTCGTCCTATTATGGGACTCCACAGCAGTACGCATCCACAGTTTCACCTCGCAAGATTCGAACCTAGGTTTTCCATGGTGGTCAAGCTTCAATTGATTCATGATCTCAACCATTGAAATTACCATAATACGCACAAAAACCCATGTGATAGGAATTTTTTATTTTAAAATTACAATATGAAGTGAACTAATGAAGAAAAATGAATTTGATTAACTGTATCAAGTTATGTTTTGAAACTTTTCTGTCTGATATTATTTAACAATCAATGTTGATAGAGATTACTGTTATAAATCACATGAAAACTAATAACATTCATGGTATCAATTCAATGTTGTATGAAAATGTATTACAATCAAACATCGGTAAATAGAGTGTCAAAGATGTAAGTTGAATATAACAGCATTTGAAAAGTTTGCTGACTTAACACATTTTAAAATATCAATTCAATAATTTTATTGTTTAGAAGAAATGAATTAATCGTCAGCTGGTTGTATTATGTTGGAAATCAAGAAAAAAATATGTTATTAAGTTAGTCTCATTTTGATTAACTTCTAAGTGCAATACTGTACAGTATGAAGTATTAACCCACGTTTATTTAACGGTATAAAGTTTTATATACGAAAATTTATTCCATAAACATTATTTTAGAAGACTAATTACCTATTCCATCTATTGTCTTCTCAATTACACAACGATTATCTTCCAAATATAACGTTTCCAATAAATCCCATTATTTCCAAATACAATAATTTGAATAATCACGTTTCTCTTGCATTTTACACAATCTAAGATGTATAATAATAAAGAGTGAACATGAAAGTGAGCATGAAGATGAATATGCTCTGCTTAATTATGCTAAGGAAATATCTAGTTGATAAATTCATTAGTGTTTGTTTGTTTATTATTTCCTTATCCACAAATATAGAATGGTAAATATTGTAATGCTTTATTTTCTACATTTTGAAATCTCACATCACATACCCACTCGTAGTTGGTAGGATTTCTGACACCCATTACGTGTTACTAATTTGATGTGTATTTCTCATGCTTTCTTACCGTGAAAATACTGTTGTTACAAAAATACTCAACAATTATAGGCAGAGATGGAAAATGGCTGGCAGTGGGATTCAGGACGAGCGTTTCGTCCTATTTGGGGCTCGTCAGCTGGATGTACCTGTATCTCAGAGTTGACGTTCACTATGGGACTCGAACCCATTACCGTTCGCTTCAGACGCCATCATGTTATCCACTTAGCTATTGAGTCCTGATAGCCATTTGCTTGTGCGATTGAGTGAAGTTTAAGATTTCAGCTCTGAACATCAATGGGAAGATTCAAGTAAACAACATCAAGTGAATTTATTCAACAATTAGTCAACTCAAAATAACTCTAATATCTAGAATATTTATACTTATTTACAAAAATCGGGTAATATAGACTGAAGTGTGCTATTTTCAACATTCTTTTCAGTTTTATCATCTCAAATCAAATTAATTACTAATCAATAAACCCATGATTTTGTCACTTGACCTCATAAATATTTTTACTGTCTCCGACTTGTAAAACTCTGTAATTTTGACTGCGTATTTTGCTTACTTACAAGTAATTAAATGATGTTACGAAAAAAACTAAAGTTGTGATGACGCTGGTTATCAGTCATCCGAAAATTGTCATAATCTGTCATAATAATAATATTTTCAGTTGAGATAAACAGTAGGAAATATTCAAGCTTTATATAAAATCATGAGACAAATAAATTTCTATGTTTTCACGTAGGTAACTATCATTTTGAAATATTAAATTATATAATAACTTAAGCAGTATACGTATTCGTTTGCATACTGTCAGATGACTAATGTTTCCACATTTACTCAGTTTTACAGTTCGATAATATGATTCATGTGTTTTGTTTACCAACAATACATGCAACAAATGTTATTAAGTGTTAACAAGAGGAAACAATTTCATAATTATTTCCGGTATTGTTGTTGATTTGATTTAAAAATTAATTGTTTCAAATTGTCAATGAAACACAGAGATTGGAGATTGGCAAATTTGGTTGAAACGGATTGAAACTAATACCAACGGAAATATTTCATCATCTTTTTTTAATGTTTTAACTCCAATTACTCGTGACTAATTTCGTAAAAGTTTCATTTTCCAACTTTTGATTTCCTCTCATTGTTTAGCTACAGTAAATGAATATAATAGTTGATTATGAGATTATGTATCAGCTTACGCAAAAATGATCATCAAGTGACCGAGATTATTTTTACTTTTTTACAGAAATCTGACAAAATATTGTGCCATTTTGAAGGAGCATATTCTATGTCACTGCTTTGTTTTCTAGCCTTTACCATTTTGAAAGTTATTCCGGATGACTAATTAACTTGATCTAATTTCAAGTCCGAATCATTGAAATATAACCAACATTTAACATAGTCCAGAAAGTGTAAATAATGTTTTAGAAAACAATAAACTGTATCGTAGATGTGTAATTAGCTAAAATTTGAAACAACCGATGAAATGTTACGCGATTAGATCCAGTCAATAAAATAATCTAGTTGTCGGTTCTGTGCTAGTCGACACTTATTCCCAGCGTATATCCATCGTCTGAAGACGATAATTTTGCGTAGAATTAAGACCCGTTTTTTTAGTAACACATTCTGAAATGCTATATTGGTTACTACTCAAAGTTAATCAATGTAGTTGGTAAAAGACTGGTTATGGTTCAAATTTTAGGTTTACGGTCGTAAAACTTCGGTAATTTGCATAGTCTATTTCAAAAATTATTCTCACACCTAGTTTAATTGAGTTAAAAATATTTTCATAATGAACTCTTGAATGAGTATTTCAAATTGAAGTATATTTTAGATAATGACTTTATTCTTAACTCCAAGTGACATCTCTGTTTAACATTTTGGCTTTTCTTCCTATAAATTATGAAATTTTGAAAAAGATAGGAAATGAATAGTCACTCACAGTTCACTCGTTGTAGTAAGTGTTTACATAACTAACTATAATAAATAACCATCGTATTGCTGTCGCTTAGTTTATGTATGAAAAAAACCATAAGTTTTATATAGGAATAATTGTAAATAGTTTGAAATAGGATATCTGATCATTTGAACCAAAAGCATCATTGGTTTATGTAAACAGTTTGTCTAGTTTGATACTTTTTTACGTTATCAGTGATTGTTTTTTTTGTAGTCTACCACTGGTTTTACCAAATCTTGTTTTCGCCTCTCTTCATTTCACTGTACTAAAATTAAAGTATAACAATTTGGGTCGAAATAAATTTGTGTCAGAATCTGAATTGAATATAACGATCTAACTAATTGTATACTAAACCTCATGTAATTAATAGCTCTATTAAGAGTTTGCATTTTGTTTTTGTGATTAATTCAATCAATTTGTGATTAGTATGTATGGTGAGTTTCTTTCAAAACGGTTAGTGTAATTTAGTGATTTATATTAATTTTACGTCTATTTCATACGAACATCACTTCTTGAAAAACTATAGAACTATACTTATTAGACGTATATACAAATAACCAAAATAATGGTTCTCAATATATTGGCTTTCAATACTCACAGAATGTAAATTCAGCGAGACTATAATTTATGAACGAGCCAATCAGAAGCGTTTGAGCGATTTACAGCGGATTTTAGAGAAGACGTGATCATTGAGCGGCTACAATAAATGGGACTACCAATAAGTTTCATTTATTTGTGACAGCGATAATGAAATGACTTCTGTACCGTGCGCAGACCACCGTGACAAAGTTGTCTTTTGATGTTATTTATGTTGGAGGAAGAAGTTTGCTAGGACAGGAACTTTTTTCTCTCGATCCAGATTGGAACTAAGGCAAATCATGATAATTAATGCAAAGTGGATAGTAAAAGCACCAGTCACACTAGCTGCAACCTTTACAGATGTTATCGAATCTTCGGCAGTACAATGGTATGTTTATTGTCGAAATATATATGCAATAAAAAAACAGGCTTACACCAGTCGTTTGGAGAAGTCGGGAGAATCGTTGAAATAGACGAAACAATAATTAGAAAACGAAAATTCAACAATGAATGTAATAATAAAGAAGACTGGGTAAGTAGCATTTCCACAAATATACCTCACAGATCCTTGGAATATACGACAGGTCATCCCAAAAGGGATCCCTCCAACGGGTAGGAAACCGACAGGCAACGACGATAATACCAATTATACGGGAATATGTTCAGCCAGGCACTATAATATATACAGATGATTGGAGAGCATACAGATGCCTACTTCATATCGTTATCCACAAGCGCCAGTTCGTTGACCCTACAACCGGAATTCACACTAACAATATTGAAGCTATTTGGTCAAGGCTCAAGGTCACTTAAGATTCGTTCAAAATTCTTTCATAAATTTTAATCTCGCCATAAATTCATAGATAATGAAAACTGTTATAGAATTTAAGATAATCTAATAATTTTGTACAGTATTTTAATAAATATCAAAATACAATTTTTTTTCTCTTTTTTTAACAAATAGATTCACTAATTTCACGAAGTAAAAATCAATCACCTTATCAAACGAATATTCAATCTACAGAAGAATAATCATTATACCTACTGTTATGCACGAACAATATGTTTTCATCATAAAATGAATTCAAAAGTCTAGGTCTTCTCGTTACCAATTATATATTTTTCCTTATGATCATGATAAAAAGGTTGTATTTTGATTATGGTTACAAATCTTTACTGTTTCTCTTTTTTTTGTTTTGTTTCTGTTTTCAAAAAATGTAAGAAGAAATCGAGTTTATTATTTAAACAACGATTTAATACAATTTGTAGTTTATGCATTCTGTCTCTTCTTTTATTATGTGTGCAATAGATAGATTTTTATTCTTTTGTTGTTGTTGTTGTTCATTTTTCACCGGTTTATGATGATTAATGTTAACATAGACTGATAAGACGTTAGTTAGTAGTCATGATATACTCAATAGAAATATCGTATTTAAAATTTTTAGTTAATTTCAATTACAACACATATCATTTAGAAAAATATTCTGAAAGTAGGAAAGAATGTAGCGTTTTGTGTTGTGATCATATCAGTAATCAAAATAAAATTAAGGATCCCTGGTTTTATGGGTAAAAAAGTTGTTTGATAAACATATGACACAATTTACATGAATGTTTTGAAATGAATATATCTTTGTTTAATCCATCTTGCTACATTATGTAATTTATGTTGATGCATACGTAAAGGGCAATCGACCATTGAAATGTTAGACGAAACTTATTAACAAATTTTATATTTAAAACAGTCAATCCCTTTGATAAATTTGGATAATGCAATGGGAAAATGAAGGTTATCAGAATTATGTGATATATTTGCACAATATATTTCTAACAATCTTATGACACATGTACTTGATAAGACATATATAAAAAGTAGAAATGTCGGCTGTATTACCTTATCATTCAGAGGTGAATCGAATGGTCTCATGTTGAAACAAAGACTCAAATTAGTTATTAATAGAACATTTTATGCCATATAACTCGTCATTATCAAAAATTCAAGGTCTACGTTTTACCAAAAACCCAGACAGTTTGTTAGCGGCTGTGTCGCAAACCACTGCGTCTGTCAATTTACATGTATGTTCAGAAACACGTACATAAGGAGGAGCAGTCGTGAGATGCAAGTAAGTGTGACTGGACGCATACCTACAAAAAATGAAATTGAGATCAAATAAAATTATAAGATGGACGAATATCTTCCTTTATTGATAAACATTTGGTTGAGACCGGTTAATATTAAGTCAGCCTTTGTAGTTTTGTACAAAATTGTCAAAGACGTTTACTAAGGTTTATTGAATCCTTGGTTATGCAAATAATGAAACTCCCTTCATATGTCCATTGATAATTTGTTTTTTTCTGGAACCAACCCTAGAAATACTGATTTATTAGTCAGCTTGGTTTTCGCATTGTGTTATTATTGAACAAAAGTAAAGAGAATTCAATGAAGGAAATTTTCTTTTCGACGGAACTATTTACCTAAGCTGTACATTGGTATTCATGGTTGTATGTTAAATATATATCTACAGAAGAGAATTAGGGTCAAGGAGGAATGAGAGGTTGGACGTATCGTTTTAGCATGCAAAGTTCGGGATGAATTGATGGATGGCAGTAGATATGTTTTGATTATACTATTAGCCACATTCCATCTATTCAATAAAAACTTGTGAAGCGATTGCTATATCGAAGCAATCCGCACAGGATGTACTTCTATCAAGTAAGATCGATCAGAATTCGATCAAAATATCAACGGTGTGATTTATTCTTTGTGTTTTTGAATTTTTGTCAAAATTCAACTGAACTATTTGATACAGATTTTATGAGTCGAGAGAAAGTAGTATATTTTAAGTACTATTAATTATTTGGAAACAGCTCAAAATCGACTACTGAACAAAACGTGGAACAAGTTTTCAGCAGTAGACATCTGTGACCTGATAAATAACCCAGTCCATGACCAACAAGACCTACAGTTAATATGATTTATTCAGGCCAACGAGTCGCAGACCAACGGTCTACATTTTCAACTGGTGAAATATATCATTATCATCATTAGTAAATAAACAGAATCATTTTTACATAGTTTTTATCGAAGACTACAACTTTAACATCATGAATGTCAAACATAATTTTCCTTTGTTTTTTAAATGCTAAAGACACTTTTCATTAGTATATGGATTTGTGCAGGAGTCCCATACAAGGACGAAACAGCCGTCCAGTTCTTCCGGGTTTTCAACGATGGTCTAGCTTAGACAGACTCGTGAATTCAACTATTAAAACACTTTTCATTATTTATCAGTTATTTGTACATGAAAGTGGAAATACCTATAAAATTGTGCACACTTCTTTCAAACATGATTTACATTCTAAATAGTTTACTTTGAATGCAAGTATCTAACCGAATAAACGAAATTACAAAAAGAAATTCATTAGAATTATAAACAGGCTCAAACTGTTCTAATGAATTAAACATTACTTCAGAAGAAAAAAACTGTTGAGGGTAATAAGTCATTTGAACAAATACCAAACGATTCAAAATGTGCTTTAAATCTGAATAAATACACTTTATTTCTTAACTCAATCATCTATAACATAACTTATTACACTATTTACTTTCTAATCTTATCTGTTCAAGATATGACCATATGACTCAGTAGTAAAATAATTTGTTCATTTAATTTTGTTTACACGGATTCATATCATTTATACAACTTTATTTTAATCAAAAAAACATTAAATTATCAATATTTAGCATATTAAACATATTAAATATTAAATGATTTCAAAAACTACAAAGATGTTATTGTTTATTGGTGCTATCGGTAAATTCAAACTTGAAAAAAGTTAACTAAAATTTATGCTCAGTTTTCATTTCGTTGTTGTTGTTTAGAATAAATATAAATAAGTATTGTCTAGTGTATGAGACGGTTTTAATGACCAATTCTTTTCAATGAACATAATGCATATTGATAAATGATTCAAAATGTATATCACATTAACTTAATGTGGTTTTTTTATATTCACTCCTTATCAACTACATTCATTTCACTAAAATTATTTAATTATTTATAATAATGGTAAATATTTTCTGTTTAAGTAAGAATATTTACGTATTTATTATCAAGTGGAAGATTTTAATAATTCACCAATAAATAATTATTAGTTTCAATAAACTACATTGAATGAATAATCTGACCGACTGAAGTGGTTAAATTTCAGATCCATTAACATAAATTAAAATAATTTTATCAGAAGGGGTTTTGTGGAGATTTTAGAAATTTCATTGATTGAAATCATGAGTCAATTGAAGCTAGAACACCATGGGAAACCTGGAAGCACAGGTCGGTTGTGAGATATCAACTCCCTGAAGACAATGGTGTACGATGGCGCAACTTCGTGAATTGGTTGAAGTTAGACATTAACACCATTGAGTGCCTGCTCAGTGGTTCAGTTGGTTAAGCACCTGGCGTGAGATCGATAGGTCCTTGGTTCGAATCTCGCGGGATGCGCACTGCTGAGGAGTTTCACCCTAGGACGAAACGGCCGTCCAGTGCTTTCAAGTTTTTCATGGTGGTCTAGCTTCAATTGACTCATGATTTCAATCAGTAAAATAGTTTTATCATATAGGTTTAGATAATCTAGACACAGGTATTGTATCACTTTACCATTTTAAAGATAAAGAAACATGTAAATGATATTAAGTAATTGAAAATAAAGAGGAAATATCTCTATTGTATTCGCATAAAAATTGATGGTAACTTTATAATGAGAAAATTCTTAAAACTGTGTATTATCCTCTTGATCTTGCATTTCAGTATTCAACAGTTCAAAATTCCCTTGGACTATTCAATAAAAATGGATATTTGAGTGAACCATTAGTTTCAACAACTTCATTATTAGACTCTAAAGTTATAAGTTCATAATTATCGTGATATTTTGCAAAGGTTAAAATAAAGCATGTACTAATGAATTTGAAAATGTTTTATGATAAAAATGGTGAACGTTTGCATCTGTTACGATGTAAATACTTCAATATTGTGTTATTTGTATATTGGGGAGGTTAGTTAATTAAGGTCGGAGTAAAATGTCCTGTCACAATCGGTAGAATAGTAATTTAGGAAAAATGAAAATACATATTAGGAGAATTTCGTTTTGTCAATTGAGATAATAATAATAATATTGTTGTGGGTATAATATGTAATAAGAGGGGTGTTATCAAGGTAATTACGATAGACAAAAGAAGGAATCATGTGAACTGGGAAAGATGGATGTGAAGATTAAGATAGATGTAATCAAAAAATAGAAAGGAGTAAGAGGTTTACGAAATTCAGTCTAGGTATCCGGTGATCCAGTCGTAAGCTAACGTAAAGATAGTGGCTGGATATACCTCTTCAGAATACATAAGTTTGAGTTTCTGGAGTTGATCAAGATGACATTGTTTGTCTAGAGTAACCGTAATCTAGCTCCTTGAGGTATATTTTTTGGAACTTGATATAAGACAGTAAAAGAATAGTGCTGTTGATCGATTTAGTGACTCCTTTTCCCAACCATGCGGGTACATGTTCACGAACACGCAATATTCCTTCATTCTTGCGTTTATTTCATTGACTTCCTCAACTGTATTATTAATGTCCAATTTTTCTCATTATTATTGCTACAAGAGAATTTTGATTTGTTTTAATATTCATCGCATTGTTTTTATTTTGTTGTATTATTGTGTTATGGAACGTTGAGCCAATGTACATCTGTTCCAGGCTGTAAGCAGAGGACGACAAACTGACCGATTAAATGAATATATTCAAATTAACAACAAAGTATCACTAACAATTGACCAAATAAACTAATAAGCTTCATGAATCTGAAAATTTTCAAATAAGAAAATTAGTGTTATAACGGCTGGTTTTCCACGTTTATTTACCTTAGACGAATATCTTCACTAGATTCCTTCCTGGTGTCTATACTTCAACTTAACTCAGATCAAGAACACATGATTAGCCTGACTAGAACGTAAATATATTTCCACACCGAAACTCGAAACAATCCAACAACAATGAACAATCAATAATAATGAAAAGAAGAAGAATAGGAGGGTATATAACTCATCTAACGCCTGTCAGACTATCTTCATGTCTGACTAAGCAGACAATCAATCATTATCATTCTCGTCCAGACATCAATTAGCATTTTCTTTGTAATAATGATACTATTATTTATCAGAAGTCACATCATCGACTTAATCTAAATATGATCGCTATAATATTAGCTCTCAAGGAAACTACATCTGAAAATCATGAGAATGTGTATGATAAAAGGATCATAGGCAGACGAAGCCTTAGACT